TTCAGTGACAAGTCAGCGCCGAGGCTGCAACCGCGTTGTGTGAATCATTCAATAAGTAGTGCTACTTTTTTGTACACTCTCTTTGTGTCTTATGCAAAATCAACTCACGTTGCTGCGATTTCATGCGGATAGGGTTTCCCTTGTGATGTTACTCGGTGTCTCCGTCATCAACATTAGAAACCATAAGAAATTTGGTCTACAAAATAAAGTGCTGACGTTCAAATTCTCAAGTGATATAATAATAATACTGCAGTATAGAGAGAAATGGCACAAATATTGTTCTATTATGAGTTAAAATTTAATATTTTTTTCAGTTAAACAACAAATTAACCAATTACTAAAAAAGTTGATGGTAAAATTATTTTTAAGAATCATATAATTATTAAACATTTATCTTATTTCAATCTTTTTAATTAAAAAAAATTAGATGTTAATTATCATTTTCAATTATTGTTCATTTTGAACGCTGTTAAGTGTTTTGCACAAATTCGGAAACTTTTTATTTTACAAAATTAAAATTTTGCCCCTTTTGGCTATTTTACAATTTCAAAATGTTAGTTTATGTAAAATAAAAATTTAGGATGTATTGACAATTACGGATTTAATTGCAGTTTAAATTTATTCAGGGCAAAAGTTGTTTGGTTTTAATAGTTTCGTTAATTACAATAGAATTAATTATGACATTTCTGCTGATATTAGGAAATAGTAAAGAATTATGGTTAGGAAAATTGCCATTCATGCAATATCTCTATAAGGGATTCTTGTTTTAAAGTTTTGGAAATCCTTTGTTATTAATTTTTTTTTGTTTATTCCCGTCCAAATCACGGAAGAATTGAGAGGATTTAGCTGCATAAAAAGATTTTTTTCCCAAATGAGTTATTCTAGGTTTTTAAATTATTTTTAGAAACAATTTGATGATGATAGAAAAATGTCTTTTTTATAATTCAAAATTATTATTTAGCTTAAATAAGAATGCAGAATAAAATTTGAAAACGAAATTCAGATTATCAGCATTTCATTCGAATCGACGGAATTTTCCTGTGTTCTCCCGCAGGCCAGAGTGTTTTTATATAAATGGAAAATCACAAAGCGGCTTAAGGGAAAGGTGCGTTGCGTGCAAATGAGGAAATGTCGGAGACACGCGAACTGGCACGTTTCACAACAAATCTATTTCTCTGCCGGCCGCGAGTGCTGAAGGCGCTTTTCCAGCACGGCCGTCACGTGAAGCGGGGTGTGACCAAGCACCAAGTGACCTTTCGTCCGACGGCATAATTGGATCATCCCGCCGAGAGAAAAGGGTTATGCGACGGCAAACACTCGAGACTCACATGGGGATTTGGTTTCAAAACATATATTTATTTGTTCTCTGGCGAAACCAAATTAGAGAAGTCTGCCTGATGCAAGGAGAAGTTGCGGGGCTTGAGGCATTGACCACCGTGCACGCAAGACATGAATGGTCACTAATTTTAGCCACCGGCACCTGCAATCAGCAAGCTCGGAGAGGAAAAAACTCGTCTACATTAGAGACTGGACCCGAGCTTGTCGTTTAGCATGCGGGCGAGAAGCTCAAAATGTGCCAACCACACTAATTAACAAATATCTCCTGAGAAGGAGAACATTTTCAGAAGCAAAAAATAAATAATTATTATTATAAAAATCTTATAAATTTTTAATTTCTTTTCAAATAAATTGTTTCCAAAAAAAAAATGTAACAATAATTTGGACAAATAATGAGCAATATTTAAAAAAAAATTTCGTAAAATTTAATCTCTTCAGAAGACGGAATTTGTACAAAGAAATTTAACAGAATGTAATTGGAAAAACTGATATAAAATTCAAAATTGAAAATTATTAGATTTCTCCGGCTATTGCTGGAACCGGCTGGAACCAAACCGAACTTTCACTGCAAGTTATAAATAATATATCTTCTGGCCCGTATTTATTTGATCTCGGCATATCCATTAGTCATATATATTTTTAACAACTTCCCCTTCTCTGAATCTTTTATTTTTAGATTCCATTCATCACAAATGTAAGCAGGCACCAAAACTCCACTCAAAATTTAATAGGATTATAGATGGCTTAGACCAAAGAGCGCGTATTTAATTTCATGCTTCGTTTTTCATGAGTCACAAAAATGCCTCGCTCAACTTCTTATTATACAATCTCTCTTGAACAGACGCCAGCTGATTTCTTCCAGCCTTCCACGCATAATTTTTTATGTCTCTCTGCGTCGGTGTTTCCCGCCGCCTAATCCTTTTTTCAACAAAAGGGCGATATCGATTTATTACAAAATAAATGTGTACACCGAAAGGTGGCGAGACAATAAAAGCTGGTCTAGTCGCACCTTTCTCTTGTTTTGTTCCCACACACATGCCACCCTAACTGTTTACTCTGCACCTCGATAATGTGTTTTACACGGAGCAGATATAAAAAAGTGTAAAAAAAACGACCAGCCGGCTTGTTCCAAATCCGTGCTGGGTTCAACGCATCCCCTGTAAAGTATGCAAATCTCGTCGCACCTCAAGTTTACTTGGCTCACTTCTACAATAAAGCATAATTTTTTTCTATTGCTTTAAAAGAAAAACTGAGGGAAAGAAACATTCATTTTTTTGAAATGATAAATTAATTTAATTCATTCTCATTCATCATTTCTTACACAAAGTTGAAAAAAAACATTGAATATAATAATTTTGGATTTGATGAATAACTCTTCCTGCCTATAACTTTGTTTTAAAATTTTGACTTAAATACAAATCGAATAAGATAATCTTTGAATTTGAAGCTAAATAATAGTTTATCGCATCAAAAATAAGTGATTAACCCATATTTTATTATTTGAAAACTGGCAAATTTTAGAGAGTCTATACAAATTTTAATAATAATTTTTATTTGAATGACTGAATTTTTTACTAGTAATAAATTTTAGTTTTAATAATTTTTAAATATTAATTTAATAAATTTAAAAATAATTGAAGATACCAAATGCACGCAACATACATTGCTTTTGAAACCAAGTATGGAATTGGAATAGGCCATGCCATGTGGGCATGGAGGAAACGCGAGGGAGAAGAAGTTTTTCTTATCTTTAAATATCCTCGGAAAGGCGGACGTCTCTCGCAGCTTGTTTAGTAAATAACCCTTTTTAAAGCATCCCCCTTTCCCGTCTGGACGGATGACGACTTCTTTTTTCTGGCAATAAACTGATATTAATTGTGCAAATGGTGCAGTCGGTCCGTTCTTTCTAGTTTAATCGATGGTGGTGCAGCTGATGCAAACTGCGTCTCGAATTCTCCTTCTTTTTTTCGCTCCACGGCCATTCTTCAGCTCAAGAAAGGGGCAGATGTTGAATGAGGGACCCCCCTGTTGCACGGAGAGAGCACAATGAGCGTGCTGGCCGTGGAGCCGTGTAATTGATCAGAAAGAGAAATAGCGCTGCATAAAGCGAGTGAGAGGCCCTTGACTATGCATTTGGGGGCTGCTCGAGTTTCAAGGTGGAAATAATTTAGAAAGACGACTTCTGTAATTGAGAGCAAATGGAGCAGACAAGAGATTGTTCAAGTTTTGAAAAGGCTTTTGAAAATTGAATGAAAATCATTCCAAAAAATGTACTTAAAAACATTATAAAGATATTCCGAGGATGTCAGGGTGTTTCTTATTATTTAAACACTCTTTTTGTTCCATTTTTTTTTTTAAATTTGTTCTTGGCTGTAATTGCAATATTCAGTCGCCAGAACTTCGGTTAAAATTTTCATTAGAATATGAAACTTCAAATATTTACTGAAACCTAGGTAATTAAATTTTTCTTCTGGCCTGCTTGGCTAATAAATTCTCTCAAGTGTAAATTTTCCTAAAACAAAAATCTGTATGTGCGACAGCTGCCGCTTTTTTTAGTATGAAACAAAACCAGTTTCTTTTTTCCTTCTTGGACTATTCACAAATCTTGGACATTTATATGCAGATTCTCTCGGTTTCTTTCACCAAATTTTACGGCCGCGGATGAAAAGACCCACCGCGTCTTTTTGTTCGCCGCGTGCGCTGGCAAGGGCAGCTGTTTCTCGCAAGGAACCAGCAGCAGTTCATAAAAATTATGAATATAACAGCGCCGGCATTCTTTCTTGGCAGCTGTCTGCTTTTCTTTATGTATTTCGCGTCTGCACTTCTTCTTCTTCTCCGACAAGCCAGCTGAGAGTCTCGAGCGTGACGTAACGCCCCTTGCCATTGCACACACACACGTGTCCTTAACAAATATAGCAGCACCGTCAATGGATTTTGCATCTTTTGTCAAAGAGAAGCAGCCTTGAAGGTGCTCGGTCACTAGGGGAGAAGAGGCTCCCCTTGCTGTGATTCAATTCAATATAGCGTAGTAATTTTTAATATGTTGGCATATTCATAACAGGATAAAAAATACTACGACGGTATCTTTTTCAAAGATGATTTAAAATTTTGCACTTCACTATTCGATCAACCAACCAAGTTTTTAACATCGAAATCAATTAAATCCTCAGAAGTGTTACACATTTTGAATGAATTATAAAAATCTTTACTCGATTTTTTTGATTGGATTTCAATTACTTATCTTGTCATCCATTCCCATTCTTTCAATTGATATGTTTTAAAAACGTTTATAATTTTTTAAAATTATTAGAATATTACCATTTTAATTTTTCAAATATTTTGCAACTAATATTTTCCTCAACTTCATTGCTTTTAAAATTTTCCTCCAGAAGTTAAATAACATTAAAATATAATACTACTTCTTGATTAAAAAAAATCCAGTGTGATTCATTAATAGATTGAGAAGAGATATTTTACAAAGCATAAAAATCTATTCCGATGGACGTTTTGCTTTTCTTTCCTGGCCTCTTATGCAACATGCACAACATACGTGTAACTGCAGGTTGCATAACTTGCTGATAAATCTATTAACGCGCTATCAATTTGTTGCCTTTGATTAATTGATAAGTTTCATGCATGGAAGTTTAAAAGGCTGTACTCACCGCATGGATTGCGCTTTTGCTTTAGATGGATAGGCGGCTGAAAGAAACATAAGAATAGCTTTTTACTTCAACTGGCTCACTAAAATAAAGTTATATTTTTAGTTGTAAGAGCTTTTTTTAATGTATAAATTCCAATTCAAATTCAAACATTTATAACTTTTTATCAATGAAAAATTGATTTTATGAAATTCAGAGTACTCTATTATTTCCGGAAATTTAACTACCTTCCACTGTCCGTTGATTGATATGACCCACGTCATTAGAGCAGTGTGGTTTGTGTCCTCTGTGAGGACTGCTGAGGCGTCTCACAGATGCTTTTCTTGCAATTTTTGCATCCTCCAGGAGCATTTTCTGCATTGCACTGTCCACAATGTCAACTAAAAATTTATGAAAAAGATTAATTTATTTTTAAGGTTTTTCAAAGCACATAAAAATTTTCCTCAATAGCAACAATAATTAAGTGTGGTATTGAAATTAAATTATCATTCTGAAATATTGACAACCTTGCACTGCAGGTTGATGGCCCACGTCGTTGGAGCAGTGAGGCTTGTGATCTCTGTGGGGACTGCTAAGGCGTCGCACAGAATTTGACACTTTTCTTGCAATTTTTTCATCCTCTAAGGCACTGTCCGTGCTGTCAACTAGAAATTTTAGAACATATATTAGAATCTAAAGAAAAATCTTCCCTTTGATAAGCAAAATAGTATTATTATTTATAAATGCTTATAAATTTTCTTCAGTCAGATTATTAAAAATTGAATTAATTTTCAATGTAAATAAAGTGATCAGGCTTTTCCTCTTTGCAAAAATTTCAAAAACAAAACAGCTCTACCTCTTAATTTCCATGATCATTGTGTCAATTTCTTAAAATTTTAATGTGTGTATAACTATAATAAAAAAATTCTAGTTTTCAACCTTTCACTATTGGTTGATGTGTGTGGCCGATGTCATTGGAGCAGTGTGGTTTGTGTTCTCTGCGGGGACTGCTGAGGCGTGCCACAGAGTTTGACACTTTACTTGAAACTTTTTTGTCTTCAAGAACCAGCCTCTGCAAAACACTGTCGACGCTCTCATCTAAGACGTTTTGAGGCTGTTCTGGCTCCGGAAAATTTTTTGTTTTAAAAGCATTTTCTAACTGAGACACTCTGTTCTTCAATGCTTCCTCTGCGGTCCAAGCAGTGATGTTTTCTGATGGTGCCTGGACAAGAAAAATAAATATTTTAGATTTCAATTTAAAATAGTTGCAAATATTTACAAACCTTCAGAATAGATTTTCCTGCAGTCTGTGCTGAGATTTCAAGCCTTCTTCTTGAAGATATTCCAGAATGAACTGACTTTGTTGACTTTGAGGTCCTGTGAGACAAAAAACATAATGTATTAATATGTATGAAGAAAATTTGCTGTTGCAGTTAAATTTTTTGATGAAATACATAGCAAAAAAAAAAATGGTTTTTTATGTACAAAAATTAAATTTCCAAATATTTTTGCCTATAAAAATTGTGTAATTAATCTTAATCATAGAACTAACGTTGCAGACGAAGATTTGCTCTCCTGCTGGCTCAACCGAGACACTCTCAATTTTGAAGCCTCTTCGCTCTCGGGCCGAACGAAACACGGAAGCGAAGCCGACGTTTTCGGCATGAGAGCCACTTGCGGAGGATCTCTATGGTGCAACACACGGATCGTTCTTTTCGGCGCAGAAAAATTTAAAGACGACACGGAACTCACTGTCGTTGCTCGAGGATGATTGCGAGGCATTTTAGATCAAACGAAAAATATCCAACCAAGTCGAGTCATTCACTTTTTCCGTAAATTGTCCGACCGGAAAATTTAAAAACAGAAAAACACAATTCACAACAAAATTTTAACGGACTTGACAAAAATAGCGACTACTTGCTGCATAAGAAAGTGCTGCCCTCATTTTCGCGCTTTTCGCGGCGGAACTACAAAAGGGGGCGTAACGAATTTTTGCAAAGTAATAACAGAACAACGTGGGTTGTGTTTAAAGCCGAGTTTAATTTGAAAAATATGGAAAATAATTCTTTATTGGCCAAATTTTAACGTAATTAAACTTCAGTAATCTTTTCAACTCTTTAAAACGTAAGTTTTCATCACTTTATGGAAATTTTAATCCAAAATTTTGGTAACCAAATCAATTTTCATTTTGTGGTAATTTATTATGTTTCTATTTTTTTCAGTGTAAATTTGAAATGGATGGCAGATTTCAAATCGAAGAAGGTCAGTTTGACGACGCCGAGGAAGATGGACCAACAGTTATTCCGAGACCCCTTCCTGCGAATGCTATAGCAGCCAAGCTGAAACAAATCAAACTGTCTGACTCGAGCACCACCGAGGAAGAGGAAGACTGGTACAATGAGGAGGCAGACAGCGACGATGAATGGCGTCATCAGGAGGATGAGCGACCCAGAAATCATGGGCCGAACGCCCAGACCAGTTCTTTTAAAGTGTCTAATTATCAGCCGAGCGACAAACTGTTCAAAAAGTTCACCAACAAAATCAACGTGGAGCGGTACGAAGGTCCCAGCAACCTGAGCGGCTCTGCTGCTAACAAGCTGATTGACAGCAATAAAAAGTCTGCTGCAGATAAACATAGGAACAAGGACAAAAAGGACAGAGCCACTGCCGAGCAGGTGATGGACCCGAGAACAAGGATGGTCCTGTTCAAACTGCTCAACAGAGGAGCCATCACAGAGGTCAACGGCTGCATTTCGACTGGAAAAGAGGCCAATGTGTACCATGCTCTTGGACGGTCTGGCTCAGATTTGGCCATCAAAGTTTACAAAACGTCTATTTTAGTCTTCAAAGTAAGAAGTAGTGAAATGAATATGTTTGAAAAAAAAAATTTAGATTTTTCACTTTTTTCTTAATAATCAATTTCCTCTTTAATTATATTTCAGGATCGAGACAAGTATGTGAGTGGAGAATTCCGTTTCCGACATGGCTACTGCCGAAGCAACCCCCGCAAGATGGTTCGTACCTGGGCTGAAAAGGAAATGCGAAACCTGGTGAGGCTGGAGGTGGGCGGCGTCAGGGCCCCTCGACCTTTGTTACTCCGCAGTCACGTCCTGCTGATGGAGTTTCTGGGCACGGACGGTTGGCCGGCTCCAAAACTCAAGGACGTCGAAATGAGCAGTAGCAAATCCTGCGAGCTGTACAGAGAGTGTGTTGAGTTGATGTGGCAGCTCTACCATGATTGCAAACTTGTGCACGCCGACCTGAGTGAGTTTAACATGCTCTACCACGAAGGTCACGCGTATGTCATCGACGTGTCCCAGTCTGTGGAACACGACCACCCGCACGCCCTTGATTTTCTTCGAAAGGACTGCACAAATATAACCGAGTTCTTCAAGAAGAGAGAAGTGGCAACCCTGAACATCAGGACCCTGTTTGACTTCATTGTCGATCCCAACATTACCAAGGACAAAGTTCAAGAACGACTCGATGAGCTCTCGCAGAAATCCGCCTCTGAAATTTACGATGAGGTTGATGACGAAGTCTTCAAGAAGGCTTACATTCCCAGAACCCTGACGGAGGTTATTGATTTTGAAAAAGACCTTGCCAAGGATGACTCAGAAGTTTTGTATAGAACGGTGGCTGGAATCAAGGTGGATAAAGAGGGCAGTGCTGAAGAGTCTGGTTCCGAGGGTGGAGAAGAGGCAGATTCGTCTGCTTCCGAAAGTGATAGCGAAGCAAGCAAATTTGTGAATTGTGCTAGGCCGAGAGAAGAGTCGCCCAATTCTAAGAAGGAGAGGAAAAAGGCCATCAAAGATCAACAGGCGGAAAAACGCAAAGCCAAAATTAAAAAGCATGTTAAAAAGCGAAAGGAGAAGTTGGGCAGTAAGAAGAAATAAAAATTGATATTTATAATCTATAAAATTGGTTTGTTTGTTTTAATTTCACTTTAAGGCAGAGATTCTCTTGAGGCATAATTTCAGCATTTATTATTTTCACAACAACTTTTTAATAGTTTTTGTAGCAAGAAATACAAGTAATATCTATAAAAGGCGGCCTCGTTTGCGTAAAAGCTGCACAATGATCACTCCTTCCGAGGACAAGATCAAACTTTACTTATCTGTGGAATAGCCTTTTTATCACAAAATTAAATATACAATATTTCCATATTAACAATATCAATAGCTTAACAAAACCTATTGCAGTGTAATAAAATATATATTATTTATGCAGTGTGCGGAAATAACTCCTGGATAAAAATACTCAAATGCTCATTTTTAAAAATAATCTTAATTTGTAGCAGTTTGACATTTTATCGTCGTAAAATGCTATATTTCTGGAGACAGTCACAGCGGTCGATACATGTAAGATAAAAATATACAATGTTCTAAAAAAAAATAGATTGCCATTAGTGCCCTCGAATATTTGATTTCGGTTGTGGAGGTAGGGCATTGTGTTAAAAATACTTGATATGTCATTCTACACAAATTTCATAACAGAACTACTTAAGATTTCTAAATCCAATGGACTTGTCGGAAAATAGTTGCCTCGTTTTCGACTAAGGACCCTGTGATCGACACTACTAGCTTTGGCTTCAGCGCTTGTTATTCGTTAAATCCAGTAAGTGTTAAGGCAGTAAAAGTTGCTGGGCACTTGACGTCGGATCTACTCTAGCATCAGCGACTGTAGATTTTTGTGCAAGATGGTGTCCTTGACAGCGTTGAACACAACCTTGATGTTTTCCGTGTCCACCGCAGTGGTGAAATGATGAAACAGAGGGCGTACCCGGTCTCTTTTTGTTTCACGGAACAATTTATACATGAAAACCTGCAATAAAAATATAAATTAATTTGCTGTTTGTACTTTAAAATATTTTTAATCAAAAATTAGTAATAAAGAACAATAATTCCAAATTAAACAATGCAAACGCACACAGGAAAATTTCAAAAAGTGACGTAAAAAAATAATAAAGAAAATACGAAAAAAGTGCAATTCATTGTGTAGACTCACATTGAAAATCCACTGTGAACAGACCTTCAAAATGAGACAGATGAGTTAAATGAGTGAAGGTAATGAGAACAGTGATTATGATATTTAATTTTTTCAATTCCCTCCACCAGAAGATTTATTCAATTTGGATCTTATAAAAATTCTTACCTGGACATCAGTTAAGGAGTAAGGATCGCCAACAAAATTTGGCCAGTGCTGACTAATATCAGATTGCCGAGAACGAAGCTTGGCATAGAGCAGGTCCGTTTTGTTTAGGAACAGGATGATTGAGACGCCTTTGAACACAACGTTATTTACAATTGTGTCAAAGATGTTGCGAGATTCGTCCAAACGATTGGTTTTCCTGAAATAATACAAAAATAATTAATAAAGTTCTACTACAAATTTTTGAAGAATAACACACCTATCTTCTACCAGCACCTGATCATACTCGGAAGATGAAACGAGAAACAAAATTGAGGTGACAGAGTCGAAGCACTGAAACCACTTTTGTCTCTGAGACCTCTGCCCTCCGACGTCCACAAATCTGAATGGGATGTTGTTGATTGGAATTATAAACTCAGAGATTCCTTTGGTTGCTTTTCGAGCGTGTAGTATGTCTTGATTTACAGGTTGGTAATCCTAAAGAGATAAATATTTTGTTATTTTTTTTTATCTTGAAGTAAAATACTTGAAGCAAAGAATGATTATATCAGTGTTTGATTAATAAATAATCTCTTACCAGTCTTGAAATTCTATCCATGTTGTCGAGGAAGTACTTGACAGAGTCACTCTACAAGGAAATAAAAGATGAAAATTAAGCTCATTGAAATTGAATGGAGTAAAAAATTTACCAATTGAAATTCCCGTCGCCTGTCAAAGGCCTGTCTGATTGCCGAGTCCATCCACAGTCTTTTGATAGAGGGGGCGTAGTCCTGGAAGGTGTGACTGTCCAAGACGACCAAGTTGTCATACCGCAGCAAATGCTGTCCGAAGGGCGAATTCTTGGGATTCTCCCACGGAATGTTGAGCTTCTGTCTGGCGTCGACGAGGACCTTCATGCCCCGCACGATGTTTTGGTAAATGGTCACCTGGAATTCCTTGACAATCTCGGGCTCGAATCTCTGACCATGGATGATTCTCATCTGCTTGAGGAAGGTTGACTTGCCGCTCTCTCCTGCGCCCAGCAGCAGCAATTTCACTTGTCTCCTGATGGCATGTTTGTCCTTCTCCAGCATCCGATCAATTTGCTGACTCTTGTGCCGCTGCTCTATCTCCTCAGGGCTGAAATTAAAGCGGAGACAACAGGCACAGGCCCATCTAATGGGCGCCATCTTGGACCCTCTTCTTTTGATAATGGGAAAAGTGACGTCACTGTTTCTTTATAAAAGTGCCGACAACAAAGGTGATTCACGTATGCGCAGAAGCTGAATGTTGTTCTGCGCAGGATTGAAAGAGGAATTAATTAAGCTACTGAAGATGTTCTACGTCACCTGCGAGTGTTTACATGCTGTAGAAACCACGTGAAAAATTGTCCAGAATTTATTTTGGTGAGAAAATAATGAAATTAAACGTTAATTGATTGATTTCATTTTAAAATTTCATTCTTTACTCATTATTTTATTCATTTTCAGAAAAATGGAGGAAGAACAGGCAGAATCTACTCTGCAATTCCACGACATGGAACTGGATGAGAGGTTGTTGAAAGCCATCGCCAAGCTTGGATGGACGGAACCTTCTGCAATTCAGGAGGCTGCGATTCCTCTGATGTTGGAGGGCCGGGACGTTTTGATTAAGGCTCGGACTGGGTCTGGAAAAACCGGTGCCTTCGCCATCCCAATAATTCAGAAAATCCTGAACGCCAAACAAGGCGCGACAGAACAGGCCATCCGTGCCCTTGTCCTGGCACCTTTCAGGGAACTCTGCAAACAGATCAACGCCAACATTGCCCAGCTGACGTGCAAGTGCTCCAAAGACGTAAAGTCCATGGACGTATCCCAGTGGGACACTGGAGAAGCCCAACGTTCACTTATTTCCATACAGCAGCCGGACATCATTGTTGCCACTCCTGCAAAGGCCCTGATGCACCTGAAAAACAAAAACATGGTCTTAGACCAACTTGAAATCCTCATCATTGACGAGGCCGACCACATTCTCAGTTCTGGCTACGAGGAAGACCTGAAGGCTGTTCTCAAATACCTGCCAAAAGTTCACCAGTCAGCCCTGGCAAGTGCCACCCTATCCGACGACGTGACTGAATTAAAACGGTTAGCCCTGAGGAGGCCTGCGGTTCTGAAACTGGAGGAACCGGAAATGGCTCCAGCATCCCAGCTCACACATTACCACATTGGTGCTGAAGAAGAGGAAAAGGCAGTCATTCTCTATGTCCTCCTAAAACTGCATTTAGTCCGAGGAAAGACCATCGTTTTTGTAAACACAGTGGACAGATGCTACAAGCTGAAATTGTACCTGGAGCAGTTCAACATTCCAACCTGCGTCCTGAACTCGGAACTACCAGCAGCCGCCCGATGCCACTCGGTGGCCCAATTCAACGAAGGCCTCTACGACATCATCATTGCCTCGGACGAGAAAAATTTGGAACAGCCTGACGAGGCCCCGTCAACCTCGAAAGGTAAAAAGGGCACCAGGAAGAAAGACAAAGAGGCCGGTGTGTCCAGAGGAATTGACTTCCAGTTTGTCTCAAATGTGATCAACTTTGACTTTCCGAAAGACATCAAGCCATACATCCACAGGGTGGGCCGCACAGCTAGAGGAAAGAATAAAGGCACCGCCCTGTCCTTCGTCAGCATCAACGAGCGACCTTTGATGGAAAAGGTGGAAGAGTACCTTAGAGGTGGCTCAAACGAAACGGTGATCAAGGCCTTCCAGTTCAAGATGGAGGAGGTTGAGGGCTTCAGGTACCGCGCCAGGGACGCCTGGAGAGCCGTGACTAGAATTGCAGTCAGGGAGGCGAGACTGAAGGAAATCAAACAGGAAATTTTCAATTGTGAAAAGCTGAAGACCTTCTTCGAGGACAACCCCAAAGATCTGCAGTCGTTGAGGCACGACAAAGCCCTGCATGTGGTTAAGAAAATGCCTCACATGGCAGACGTCCCTGAGTACCTTGTTCCTCCGACCCTGAAGAGACTGGCCGGCATTTCTTCGAGGAGGAGAAAGTGGAGGTCGGATGATGCAAAAGGCAGTGGACGACAAAAACCAGCGGAGGCGAAGTTTCAGGCAAAGAGGAGGAATCCCCTGCTCAGTATGGAGTTTTCTGGTTTTAGCAAGAAGACCAAGAAGTAAAATAACAGATTGAAAGAAATTATATGAATGTAATTATATAATGAATCATGAAAAATAAATTTAATTTGGCATTAAAATTTGAAATTTTGTATACAATTTTACTTTCAAATAAAAATTAAATTAGTAATAAAAAGAATAAATTGATTTTTTGCTGGATGCTCAGAAACAGAAATATCAGAGAAATACCTAAAGAATTTTTCTGACTTTGAATTTTTTTAAATTATATGAAAAATAATTGTAAAATTAATTTATGTATTAAAAAAATAAAAAGGAATAGAATAAAAAAAATATAAAAGTTATACAATCATTTTTTTTTAATCGAGTATGTGTTTAAATTAAGCCATTTTTCAAGATTAAATTAATTATTAAACGTTTCAACAGAAAAGAATAGATGGCGGTGGGGCCAAGTTTATTGAGTGGATTTCCCTCCCCGCGTGTTCGCTCGCGGCTGACGTCACCGTCACAACAAAAACAGCGAAAATATGGAGCGGGACGACGGGCCGCTGTTGGCCCTGCGATAAGTGCGACTGTGGCCGCAGAAGAGGCAGGTCGTCCGGCATGCCTTCGCCCTGGTCGACTCAGTGATGTCCTCCGCCATGCGAGTCCGTGTCAAGTACGTCCTTCAGGCGCTGCTGCTGTGCTGCGCGGCGGCCCTGTCCACCCTGTGTCTGTACCGCAGCCTCCGTCTGCCACCTGCCGACAAGAAAGGGTCCTCCTCAGGGTCGGCGTGGCAGGAAAGGGCCCCGCGCTCCCTGTCCTTCGGCAGCAGGGACTACGAGGTCGTGTCCAACGGACAGTTGCTGGCGCAGTACGACACCAACGAGCTGCAGCAGCCGCTCGACCCTGCCGAGGTCACTCCGGCCCTGCAGGTCCTCACCAGTATCAGCGACGTCTTCATCAGCGTCAAGACAACGTCCAACTATCACAAGAGTAGGCTTGATGTCCTTCTGAAGACGTGGTTCACCCTAGCAAGAGAGGAGGTAATTTTGCGTTATTTCAAATAAACTAAACATTATCAAAATGAAAATTATTTTCTTTTGTTTTGATCATGATCGTAATTTTATTTTTTATTATTTCTTTCTTCTTCTTTACTTTCGTGTCAATTACAAATATTCAGAATGAAAATACATCAATAACATTTCTATGTTCTGGCCTTTTTTTCACAAGAAATTATAAATTTAATACATACATGGTGTAGAAGGCTCAAAATTTTTATGCAATTTAACTTTTTTTTAATTAAAATCATTAATTTATAATGCAATTTTTTTTAATATCAGCATCTGCAGGTTTCTTTTGAGAAAGAAATTAGTTTTATTATTTTCATTATTTTTATTTATAAAATATATTGCTTTCAGGATCTGTGTGATGAAAACTCAAATTTAAATTTGGTTTTTAATTAAATCATTTTTCAATTTCATCCGAATATTGACTATTATAATATTAAATTGCTGTGAATTCAAATTCTTTACTATAATTCAATTAAATGGAGAGGTATGATTGATAATTTCTGAAAATTTGATTTAGTTTTTCCAATGGCAAATGTTTTTATTGTTATTTTGGGTCATGTGCTTAATTATTTAAATTTAATCTTAAATTTTTATATAACAAAAAAATTTGGTCCCAGTTACACTATTAATCACAAATTCTGTTATACTTGAATTAAATGGCATAAATTTCTCTTGAAAATTTGGTACAATTTCAAATAAATAATCCAAACTAGAAGAACAAAAATTTGTACTGAAATTTAAATTAATTTATTTAAGCCATTAAAATTAATTTGATCAATTGTGCGGTTATTATTTTTACTTTGCCAGTATTAACATAAAATTAACACAACACCTCAAATATTTAGGAAACAATTTACGCGTGAAGCATAAAATTAAAATTTTAAACTGCCCGAGGGCCCAATTCTACTAAGTATGCGGTTAATAATAATTACGGATGAATAATTCAAGAAGCGACCGGGGTAAACATTCATTGTGCTCGATCAAAATCAGAAATTCGCGCGCGCGATAATCGGCTCGGTTTGCGCGCGGCAAATAATTTACTAGCGCGTGGGAAATGGCCACAAAGGTCGCTTATCAAACGTGACCCCGTGACCTGATCCGTCGGTGTAATAGGCGAGGAAGATGAGCCAAGAACCGCCCGGGAAAACAATACAAGCCGTTTTTTCCCATGGATGCAGGGAACGGGACATCTCAGGGGACAGCACGCGAGTCGCCGTTCCCACGCGCCACCCCGACCGCGGCCGCCCCTCGACACGAGTTTGATCTCTCGCGCGGCTTAATTCTAATTAATCAATTAACCATCCATCCGAACTTCGAGCCGCGGCCATTTGTCATTTCACCTGACAGCCCTGAAACAAGTAATTACTCAAACTTCGGATTCTCCGACAAATTTCTTAACAATATTAAATCGCAGCGTGGGAACGATTGAGTTTTGGCGCTTCGTGGTTTTACATTAAAGCAGATAAATTCGTTTTATATTATGCGTTCCTCTTGATCGGATCTCGCTGCTTTTTTACACGAGAGTTATGTATGCGCTTTTTTGCGGACGCGGCGCTTTCCTTGTTGGCTGTCACCACGCTTCTGATGTTATATTTTCCTTGTAGAACACGTGTTTGATTAATGTTGGCGCTGTTTGCTATTTTTTGAAAAACGAGAGTTAGATTACATTGATAAAAAAAGGAGGAAAACAGGGATATCGGAGAATTTTGAAGGAAATTAGAGGTAACATTTTTTTAATGAAAGATTGATTTTTATGTTAAAAAATTAAATTTTAAAGGATTAGTTCTCTTGGATTAATAAATCTGTGCAAAACTAAAAAACATTATGATGAGACAATTACTTTAATGCCATTGAATTTGAAGGGAGAATAAATAATATAAAATTCAATTCACCTCCAACAGAAACTTTTATATTTTCTAGTTTGTTTTGTCCGTCTACTTGACCTACCTTCAGAAAATCTAAATTTCAATTAAAACTTCGTAATTAGTTTTGTTTTTACGAAACCTTTTATTGGCTTTTATTACTTTGATCTTTGAGAGCTCAATTAATTTACCAGAAAATTTAAAATTTCCTTGTATTAAGAACAAGCGTTTCAGTTTTCCTATTTTTTTTTAATCGATTCAATCTTAAATTTCCTCTCTTCTGCAAAAACTTGCAAAAGAGCCAAAAGGAACAAACACATAATAAGAAATCTCAGCTCTGGCTTATTTTCGTTCTCACAGAATACAAATTGCAAACCGCGATGGAGGATATTATACGTATTATTTTCAATTCCCTCGAATTGAATTTCACGGCCAATTCACCCGATGCAGCGGGCGCGTAGCCAATTTCACCTTTTCCATTCCAATAATATATATCCGCACCAAGCAGAGCGAACGAGAGACAAACAAAAAACGCTTTTTAATCCAATATCGTGAGAGAGAAAGGAATTAGTTCTGTCACACGCAGTGCTGCTGACCAGAGGAGGAAGTCGCTGCCCAATTTCACACTTTAACCGAATGCGTTGGATAAAAAACGAACATTGTTTCATTGCGAGAGATGCTGCGTGGGACTCGTCGCACGCGGTTTCTTTTCTTTTCTCGCGCGCCGAGTGCATCAATTTATTACAAGAGAGAGAGACGAGTGTAGCCATGTGTTAAGTCGCGGTTAGTAATGCATCCGATTATACCGAACTCTGCGCCTTAATGACACTTGCATGAAAAAAATTCTCGTTCCCACACACACACACATGCACCATATCACGCATCCTTAATCTATCTGTTCCCGATGGTGACGTCACTAATATGTTCACCAAAAGGTCACCCGAGTCGTTCACATTTCGACCTCGTATCGAGACACACACGGTGCTGATTGAAATTGCCGCGACGAGAGTGAAAAAAGGCACGGAGAAGTGATTGAGGTGTCGAGAGACGTGATGGAACTTTGAATGACTTGAGATTGACGATCATTGGTTTGATCAAGAGATATGCTTGAAAAATCTATTAATTTTTTAGCATTTATATTTACTCCAGCGATTATTTATTATGTTCTTGGATTTAAAATTTTTAAGAAGTAAAAATTTCACAATTTATTTCAAAATTGAGGTTGAAAAATTTGCACAAATATTATAAGTTGAAAAAGGGATTAATATAAGCGGCTCAAACAGTTGCTAATTTTGGCTTGAAAGTTAAACGATTCATCTTATTTTAAGTGTAAATTTCGCTGCAAATGGCAGATCTGGGTCGATACCTTTCTTTAATTTGTCTTGTCAGCAGCTAATGAACCCCTTTCTTCCCGCAATCTCTCCTCTGATTCATGTAAACCATCGCAATTGCCAATCAGATTTCCGCAGCGGTCAAATCGCCCCCCGTCCGCTTTCGCTCGGACGCCGCTTTGAATTTTAATTGCGCTGCCAAGAGGTTCGTCCGCCCGCTGAGCCGACCGGGCACTCCCCCTGACAAATACGTGTATAATTATCTATTTGCTCCTCTCTGCGGCATGTCAGACGATAAATTCGCTCGCATTAAGAATGAAAAATGCTAAATGCCGTTCGGTGACCTGCGAGTTGCTTTTTTACACGTTCGGCCTTCCTGTCTTGTAATTTCAAACCAAATTGCACGGCAATTCAAAAATAAATAAAAAATATATACGAGACCCGCGGCAAAGAAGAGCGGGCATTAAAGTCACTCGGCGAAAAAGTCGGCTTCCGCAATTAGTTGGTTTTAATTGCCGCCGCTCGTCTTGCGAAGGGGGTGAGGAGGTTTTTGCTCCGATTCAACACTTGTCGGAGATGCTGTTTATTGCGTGTCGCTGCGCATCTCGGCACAGCAAGTCGAAATTGCTCAGTCATTAATCCGAGAGCGCCATATATACCAGTGTGGATGTTTATTGTTTATTAACTTGGCGAGACGCGTGTTATTACATTGCTCACATCAGCGTGGAAGGAAACGTTCAGGGCGGGCAGCAACTAGAATCATGATTAACAGTTAAATTGATGAAATTCACGCCACAAATTAATGTGAAGTTCATTTTAAATAGTTCGTTCCAATTTTTTCGCAACTTTTGTTAATTTTTAAATTTCTTAAAACGTTTTGAGGAAACAAAAAAGTTAATTTTTTTTTGGCCAGTAAAGAATTTATTTCTCTTTTAAGACTAAAAAAAAAAATCAAATCTTTAACAACGATACAAAGGTACAATAAAAGCCAATATTTCCCATTAAAAGTAGGAAAAAAAAAATTGGGAAAAACGTGCGTAAATTTAACCAGATATTTCCACACAAGCCTTGTACATATGTGTTTTTTTTTTTATCTTATTCCTTTTCAAGTTAACATTTTTAATTTTTCAGAATTTTTCCACTTTTTACTGACAAATATTGTAATAATTTACAATGTGACTAACAGCTTCTCTGAATTTTATTGGTAAATTTTTATTCTATTGTTGCTGTTTATTCTTAAAAAATGTAAAAAAAAATACATAAGTGTCATGGCAATCAGCACAATAAGTAAATTGAAAAAAAATTTGGGAGGGGAAATGTTTTTGGAAAATAAAAGGCAAGAATTTTGTTAAAACTCTCGAAATCAATAAGGTCTTCTAAAATAATTTAATTTTAATAATTATCTACCTCATTAAATTTGCTTATTAAAATGATTCCTTATCATTTTTACCTAATCAGATTGAATTTATTAAAAATACCTAGAACAGCCATTCAAATTCGTTTGAATTGTTTGCCCACTGACTTCCTGCCGACGACCAAATTGAAACTCGATACACTCGACTGCCACACACAAATTTGCCATTATTTTCCAACCGACCGGCTCTAATTTCGTTAGAGGAATAAATCAATAAAGTGGCCAGACGGTTGGGAGCAGCAAAAAATAATAAAAGATTTAGCGAACAAAGTAGATTGGGTTTCAGCTTTGATTTAGTATCAAGTTGGTTGTCGGTCGGCGTCAGTTGCGGAGCGCCCGAAAATCAGAACACAAAATGTTTGCACGCCCGCCCGAAGGGGTTGAGAGAAATTATGGCTTCTTATATATAAAGTTGGTGTCGCGTGCGTTTGCATCTCGAAAAGCATCAAGGAAGGCAATACGATACATCCTTTAGAAAAATATGTTATAAACTTTTCGTTCTTTCGCTCGCTCGCCTTCCTTCCACCGCACTTGGAATCGCGCAATGCATCGGCCAGCGTTTTTCCATGAGTATTGAGTTACGATGACACGCTTGGTTAGCGAGAAAATTCAATTTCGCCGCCGACGCAAAAACTTACCGACTGCCTTTTCACGACGAAGCTTATTGAATTTCGCTTTGCGTTTGTTTCAGACGTGGTTCTTCTCCGATTCCCATGACCCGGAGTACCAGGAGCGAACCAGTGAGTATTCGATTCGATTAATAAAACAAATTATTTATTTATGTGTAAATGGATCTCATTTAATTAGCTATTGCCGGTACTTATTTGCGGGGTTTAAACAAAAGTGAGACAAATTTTTATTTGATTTGTATTTATTTATTAAAAAATTTATTGTTTTTTTTTTCATAGAAATTTATATGCTGTTTTTAGTATTAATAAAAATTAGCAAAGATTTTTAATTTCAATTTGATCCACTCTGATCCGTTTTTAATTTGACAAAAAGTATAGTATATATTGTACATCAAGGGATTTTGAGGGCAAAAATTCCTTTTATACGGAAAAAAAAACTATTATTTTTTAAGACAAGGGAAAAAAGTTCTACTTATTTAAACAACTATGTATCAATATTGCTTCTCTGTTTCTGGTTTTCCATTTTTGGGCAACATTTTCGTGAAAAATACGACTGCCGGTCTGAAATTGCATCGCTTTTTCGGCCGCCTTGTTTCGCAGAATTTATTTCTTCCTCGGCGGCGACTTTATTTGGTCGGTCTGTAACGACTAACGAGTCTCGCCACTTTTTGCACAGGCCACCTGTCAAATAAAGCACAAATTGAGTTATTATATCCGAGGAATCGACTCGATTCGTCTCATTGCGATGCGCGAAACGCAACCAATTAAGCACCGCGGTCTGCAAATATTCCACTTAAACCGGCGCGTCGTGTGTGATCACTCAAAAGTCTCAATTCCTTTTTTGCAAGTACTGAAGCTTCGAATCGACAGGTTTCTTATTTTTTAATAAATGTTTCCTCCGCAGAAGGAATAAGTTTTGCAGACTGAATTATTATTGTTCGGTTCAAAATTTACGAGCGGAACAGGATAAAAATTCAAGGAGCTTCAAATCTGACAGAGTCGAATAGTAAAAAATTTATTAGTTCTTGGCTCTACTCATGTGTTCCGCTTCACACACTCGCTGAGATGCACATTTTAAGAGCGCGGTATAGTTTTACGAGAGCTCTAAATTCCTCATGCATGGTTGATCGTCATATTTTATTACATAAAGTGATTGGCTGCTGGAGCTTTACGAGTTGTGTTAAATCATCTGTTGTGCGGCAGTTTTCCATCATAATCTGTGTAAAAGTGCGGTGGGTATTAAAGTAGAATAAAAAAGGGTCCAATATTAATGAAATTTATGTCACAAATATCAATTTTTCTACCAAGAAATAAGTCAAATGAAATAATAACTAGGTTTTTCTCACATTTCTCGCCTCTTTTTCATTAATAGATGTCAAAATTATAAAAATTAAAAATAAATGCAGGAAAAATAATTAAAAAGAAATGTCAAATTGGGAAAAAAAATCCCAGTTTTACTATAGAGGCTAAATTTTAATCTGAGATTTTAACATTCATAGTTTTTTTTTTTTTTATTAACTAGTTAATTTTGGTCATCAATTTTTTTAGCTATCTAGGCTTCAACTTTTCAAGTTTTTTTTAATCTATATTGAGATCAGTTATTTGCCTCTTTCAAAATAAAATAGACCCTTCTCCGAAATTTTGGTGCCTCTCGTTAGATTTTGATTCTTCATCCAACTGCCAACTTTGCGGGCCGTCCGAGGTCGGAAGGATCAGGCTGGTTTGACTGGATTTGCTCTAATTGGGCGGCACCGGAATGCCTCAGATACATTTACGTGTATTGACGCGTTTTCGCCTTGGGCCGAGGTACCCATCAGGTCATTCACTGCCGCGTTTGTGCCCCTTGGGGAGCCGCCCAAGCCCGTGTGTCAAGCGCGCGATCTCGGCACGCAAACAAATAATAAACCGGTGGCGTTAAGAAAAAATCAGACCAATTACTCAAGCCGCTGCTGCAGGATTCCTTTCATGTATTTTATTTTCCAGCCCGAAGCAGCAACAGCAGGTTGATTATTTTTTGCCCGGCCGACGATTTATCTCGGCGTCGCTATCAATAATTTGCAAAATAACTGCCGTTTCATAAATTCTGTTTTGGTCTGAATAATTTTTTTTTCAAATGAAAAGACCTCCCGTCGCGCAATTTGCCTCCACGTCACATTTTCATTCATTTTTTATTGCGTCGAAATATGCAGAACAACCGCGCAGACCAATCTTTTCTTACAATTTTATTCTCCGATTGTGAGAGCAATCAAAGCCCGAAGGCATCAAACTTTATATACACGAAATTCCCATGTTCAAAATAATATTTTCCGTCGTAATAATAGTGTCGGATACGTTTGATTTTTTTGGGGGGAAAATCACTTTATTAATAATCATGACTTTTGATTTTTCACCCACAACTTCACCTTTTTTCCTCTTGCAACAATCTTTGGGAGATAATATATTATTAATTTTCGCCTCCGTACAAAAAGCTAAACCGTTCTTTTTTTCTCGTGTGTTTGCAGATGGCCACCTCATCAACACCAACTGCAGCTCGTCCCACAACAGGTAAGTTCAACGCAATAAAAATTTATAAATCGGTGCCATGGGAAAATCACTCGGCCTCGTTTATGCGACAATTAAGAAAAGTACTAGAGCCGGTTTCGGACTCGATCTTCCCATCATTTTTCAATTATTTCGAGAATCTCACCTACTTTTTTTCCTCAAAACATCAATAATGGCATTTAACAAAAATAATGAATTATTACAGAAAGGCGCTGTGCTGCAAAATGTCTGTGGAATTCGACACATTCCTGAGAAGTGACAAAAAGTGAGTAACGCCAAAGGCTGTTTCCAATCTTGCATAATTTTTTTTTAGAATTCCTTGCCTTCCTTTTTGATATCTTTTTATTGATTCTGCATAGTTTTGCGTTTTCAAGGGCCATTTTATTATAGAATCCGCCTCCTCGCATTCCCGCAGGCCTTGCTCGGATTCTTCCAAGTTTTTTAGTTTTATCACCGAAGTGTGTCCGCTCACACGATCCCCCGAGGGCTGCCAAGGTTTTTTGTTCCGCGCACGAATAATAAATGAATACCAATTGCTCGCGAGAGTGGCAGTCATGCTATTATTACTTTTGTTTCAAACAGAGACAAAGTGGAAAAGAGTTTAAATTCTGGCTCACGCTGGCTGCTTTTCAATTAGAATGTGCGATGATGTTAAACAAGGATTTTGACGCATTGATGCGGTTTGCTTTAAAAAAAAGAGGTAGTAAATATTTACTCAACTTTAGGTCTTGGGCTTTTTTGAACGTCAAGTTTCGGTTTCACTAAAATTATCTCACTTATTTAGTTCATTTTGCTTTTTTTAGTTGAATGAACAAATCCTAATTTATTTTTTATTTTTAATTTTTTTCAGAGTAAATAAGTCTTTTATTTCTAATTTTATACAATTTTGATTGGTTCCAGGTAAATATTTTGTTGTTAAAGCCACCTTGTTTTTTGTACAAAGATTTCAAAAGTATAGCAGAAGATTGAATGAAAATAATCTGAACTGGAAAACAAGTACTTTGAAACCCAATCTTTTGGAATGTACAAAATCAAGAATTCAATTAATGTAATATAATGATATATTCAAAATTATATATTTTGAAATAAAATATCCATGAGAAAAAACTAAAAGACAATTATTTGTTACTGCAAAAGAGTAATTTTTAGGTTTTGTCAGTTGTTAAAAAAATTGAATTGTTATTTTCGTAAATTACACCGAATTATCCAACTAAATTATATGCAGGCTCAAAACTTTGTGTCAGCCTTGTATTTAAAGAGTGATTTTCTTGAACGAAAAATTCTTTAATCTGTTGAAGCCGAAAAATGTTCTTGAATCCGCATTCACGGATGAATTCCTGAAATGTCCACCTAAATTAAAATTTCCAAAACCTCCAAATCAGAATAAGTTATGTTGGTTTAAACGAAGTAAGTCTTCATTCCGCGGGAGAAAAATTCCTCCTAATTAGCCGCGTCACCTGCTCATTAGTTTCGAATCGAAAAAAGGTTCCCAGAAGAGACCCCTTTGACAAGAAAGAGAGAGACGCATATTTTCCTCGTGAGATGCTCTATCTTCCAAATAATGCGTGAGCGCGCGTGGTTTTATGCTTTTCCCAGTGCGCCTTTTCAGCTTGTTAAAATTTTTCACCGCGTGATGGATGGGCTGCCCCTCGAAAGGTGACAAGCGCTAAATGTCGCCGCCGAGCAATCGAAGGTATTTCGGGTCCTGAGAGCCGAAAATTAATTACCGTCCGAAGACCGAAGCGTCTCCTCATTATCAGATCGGTCCACTTTATCGTTTTCCGAGCCGAGATCGTGTTGAAATATCAAAGTGAGGCCCATTTTTGCTAATCCGCCGAGTCGGACCGGCGAAATGATTTCCGAGCATCAATCTTCATCGGTCTCGCAATCTCGAAAAGCCATCAGAGACGGAGGAGTTTTCGTTCGTTTTAATTAACCGATTTGCAGAATGTGTCTTGCTGAAGGTCGTCAGGGTTGTAATAAGCTTGTGCACTCGAATAAACGACCAAAGAGAGAAGCAAGCGTCACGGGCTGCTAGTTGAAATTTATTGCTCGCCGGCCACCTGCCGCCCCAACTCATTAGCCGGCCGCTTAAAAAATTATTATATACTTGCGCCACTTTTTGCAAATTCAAAATTTATGTCCATTAATAATATGTATCCCTGCGTGCGGCGAGATTTATTTATTTATTTTACATTTTCCTTCCAGAAGCAAAACCTTTCTTGGCAAAAGTCTCTTTCTTAGCAGGTGCTCCTTCCTCGTAAAGTTGTGCAAACAAGACTCGCTTATTGATGCGATGTTGTGTTCTTCTTTTCCTTTTTGGAACACCTGAAAGGGAAGAAGTGTGTTTTTTCGCCAGCCAATTATTTTTGCCTTTTATCGCGCATCAGCAATTTTTCTCATTTTAACACAATAAGTAAAAATTTACATCAACAAGCGGATGCAATTGCCGAGGCACCTTTCCGTCTGGACTTCCTGCGAGTCGCCGTGACTAACTTCCCTTTAAAGCGGCGGACATTTCATTTTAATGGCGGCAGAGCAGGTGCAGCGAAATAATAAGTGTGGCGCTCGTTTCTCACGGTTTTCTCTTCCTCATATATATAAAAACTCACCAAGATAAGACTAATGAGCAATTTCTCTAGTTTCAAATTTAAATATATAAGTGTGCCAGAGTCAAAATCTTACAATAAACTCTAAAATTCTAGGATTTTCTATTTTTATCCAATGAAAATAAGCTTGAACTTTGTTGAAAATAACTAAAAGAATAAAAATATATGTTTCTAAACTGAATTTAAATAAAAATCATCCAGAAACCATTGCAAATAATCTTTATTCATATTTTATTTTTTGTTCAGTTTTATTTTCTCCTTTATGCATCAAACGAATGTGATCATATTGTCTTTCCAGTCACATGTTATTCGCCACTTTTTTTATTCTTTCCCCTTTTTAATCTTGGCACCCAGCAAAGTCTAGCCATACTATTTATTCTTCCGTCAGCTCGAGGCCGGCGCTGCAAAGCTAGAATAAAATTATTCCGTTTTGCAGCACTGACGGTCACGTGAGCGCCGACAATAAGTGAACACGCATTTTGAATTGGCACAAGCACAGCGCTTACACACACACGCTTTAATTGAATATATCCTGACTTTTTTCCATCATTATACTTTCCCTTTACAATTCCCCCTCGCTTCGTCTGCTCGACCATTAAAATAGTCTTCACCCTCTCGGCGCGTCTCAATTACAATTAATAACCGCACACAGACTCGCTCCCATATTATCACGTCGGACACTTTTTACTTGAGCAGATAATTACACGCGTCGACGCGCACCCTTTCAAATTTGGGAAGGAATGATAAAAAAATTGAATTCTTCTCCAGCCTAATTGTATTAAAGAGCCTCTAAGAAATTTCTTCTCTTGAATTCTAAAGAACATAAAATTTCATGACTGCATTCAAATCTTTATTAAAAAATTAACCCTATATATGTATTGAAAAATGTTTTCCTCTTCAATTTGCTAATCACTATAATTGGTCTTATAACAATAATTCTTGTAGGCATTAAAATTGAAACTCTTGAGATTTACAAAAATTTTGTTGGGGAAAAGGTCAAGATGAATTCACCTGTTTAAACTCTTATCGTTAGTTTGAAGAAGAAAATTTGCAATTTCTGTCATTAAATTTTGTGTTCTTTCGAATTAAAAAATATGAAAATCAGAGGGGCTCTTTCATGCAATTAGTTTGGAGAAGAATTTGTTCCTCTGTGAGAAATTTATATATATGTATGTTTCTATTTGTGAGTGGTAATTTTTTCCACCCGGGCTAACTTTTTGACTGCCAAAGGAAATAGCGACTTGTCATGTAATTGCCACCGTGCTCGCGCACAATCAGAATGCCGCATCACTCTCCTCCTCCGCCTACGAAATATTTGTGTGATCATTACCGGCTCCAGCACCGCGATGATGCAGCCGAATTCATAATGGCCTGGAAAACTGCATTCCCCTTCGTCAAACACCACTCTTTGTCCATTCGAAACCCCTTTGAAGGTTTTCCTTTCTCTATTTTTCTCAAAAAACGATTTTTTATGCTCGGCAGGTGGTTTTGCCACTTCGACGACGACAACTATGTCAACATTCCGAAGCTGCTGTCCACTCTGGGCAAATACAGTCCGCAGGAGGACTGGTACCTGGGCAAGCCGAGCATACGCACGCCACTTGAAATCCTGGACAGGGAGAAGAAGACCCAGTCGGGAATCAACAGGGTAAGGATATTTGAAAAGAAATCCAATCTTTTTGTTTGTCAGAGGCAATATTTGACTTCTTTAAACTCAAAAGAACCAAATATTTAAGGAACTCTTACAGCTTAATTTTCTTGTCAAACAAGTTTATTTCTTTTATTATATTAAATATCTTAAATAATTTTGTAGAGAGTTTGAAGATAAAAATTTACAAAAACAAATATAGTCAATTTGTTAATTATTATTTATTGTTTGAAGCATCCCTAAATTATATAATATTTTTCACACTTTAGTGTTTTTTTTAATGACTAATTTTTTAATTATTTTGAAATCATCTTTTGAATTTGCTTACATTCATTTGAAGCTAGGTATTTTAATTAAAAATATTCAGAAATTTAATTAATGCAAATCTTTTAATAAATTTTATTATTAAATTTATAATGTGAAATTAAATTTCCTTAATAAAAATTTTTTTATTCCCATAGTATTTAATAATTTATTAATAAATCATTTAGTTAAAATTTAATTTATAAACTTTATTTCATTTACCTCCCTCTTTGTGAGACATATTTTCACACTCTTTACGAACATCACTTCCATGTAAATGGATCAATCAAAGGTTCTTATCTGAATTTTTTACTTTTACCGCCGCCGACATCTTAATCAAAGCTCCATTAAAAAGCTTTTAATTATACGCAAATATCCACTACAGCTTGCCGACCAAATAAAAAGACCTTACCCTTTTTTGGTCCACACGCCACATTAACTCTTATCTCTTCTTTTTTTGTTTCGCAGGAGAACATAAAATTTTGGTTCGCGACTGGAGGTGCCGGCTTTTGCATCAGCCGGGCGCTGGCCCTGAAAATGTCTCCGGCAGCCAGGTAAAAAAAAAAAAATAAAGTTTGGCCGGCGCCGCTAACCGGCCAATTACCGCCGTCTCGAAATAATTGATCGGTCTTTTTGACTGCCTTTTTTGACGCATTCTCAACGCTGCTTGAGTCGAAACAGTTTTCGGCCAAAATTTGTGCAATTTTCTGGGCGGGGATTCTTTGCAAAATCTCAGCACGTGATCAGAAATTGGCGTATCTTTCTAAATTAATGGAAGGAGCAGTTTTTAGAAAACGTGCTAATTACTCTCAAGTGCAGCTTTTGTTTTATTTCCACCACTTAACTCGCCTTTTAGTCTCCAAGACTCGCACGTTTTCTGCCCTCATATTCAAGTGCACTCAACCAGAGAAAAGTGAGTGGAGTTTTCTAGAGTTTTAGAGTTGGCAGGGATAAGGCTTTTTATAACGAAAACTATTTAAGTTTTTTAAAATGCAAAAAATTTATGTGAAACATAGAAATAAATTCAAATTATGGTCTAACAATAAATATTTATTCAAAATATTTATATCTTCTTTATTATTATTTTTTATTTTTTGCTCAAAATTTCATCTTCAAAATTATTACTTTAAGAAGCACGTACGTATCAAAAAATGCAGAAGTCAACTTTTTTTAGATGACAAACGCCGATTGCTCCAGTTGCCCTCACTCGTAATTACGGTAATAATCAGTAATAATCATAAAGGAGCACAACGGAGAGTCTCTTTTTTTCTCCGCCTGCAATGTATAATTATACTTGTACACACGGCGGCCCGGCGTATGTAATAAAAAGAAGTAATAGACCGCTCGCGGCGTTTGTTGTTGTGTCTGGGGCTATTGTTTTTTTTTAACTTTTTAGAACCGCGTCTCTTGTAAGTTTTCTGTCAGAACTTGTACTCGACGTCAAAAAAAATATTCAGTACAGACGGTTTGAACAAAGCAGGTTCTTCTCTCTGCCAAAGGAAAAGAGAAGAAGAAACAGTTTTGACATCCTGTCATTTTTTTCTTGGCAAATTTGTTCATGCCAGAGATGTTTAATCAGAAAAATAAAAAGAGTAAATTAAATTTTCGCTTCAATTCCAACAACATCTATTTATGGAATCAGCAAAACGTATATTAGATTTAATATTACAAAGTGCAGCCCGCTCGTTTGCAAATTGGTTGGAAGCAGAACAAACAAATAAGCAAAACGAAAAAATTTCAGAAAAATCTTCCCCTACTATGAAAAAACTGAAATTGCGCTTAACTTCGTTGGAAAGAAATAAATAAGAACTGTGACGCCAAAAGTTGACTTGAAAAATATGCTGGTACTTTAAAATTTAAAACTAAGTAGTTTACTTGTTCTAATAGGGGAGTAATTAATTAAAACTAAGAAGATAATTTGAAAAATCCTTGGTTTTAAAAGTACCAGCAGATCGCACATATTTTCTTTAATTTTTAAATGAAGTCCAAATTTTCAAAATACTCTCACATAATTTATCACTTTAGAATTTTCTACAGAGCAAATCTTAAATTTTATATTCAAAATTTAGCATTTTTTTTTTTTTTTGAGCAGTTCATTAAAAATTCAGGCTTTTGGACAGAAATTAAAAAGACGCCAATTCAGAACCGTTTAAAGCGGTTTTGCGAACACGACCGTCGGCGATTTGAATACCCGGTCTTTTCTTAATCACGATGATTGCCCGCATGGCTTGCCCAAAACGATTACACCCATCGTTATAATATGTTTGTGGTGCCCGTGCAATTCGCGTGTCCAGCGCCTCGTGCTGGCCGCTAATTATGCTGGTACCGGCAGCGAGGTGTCGGCGTTTTGTTCACTTGGCCAGGCAGAAATTATTGTCGTTTGCTCTCGGTGGTCCAGCGGAGGGAGGCAGCGGCGGCAGGTGCCGGCCGAGCACCTGCCGCCCGATTAACCTTGGCTTCTTTCAACTCTTTCGCTAATCACCGCAACCGCTTCTCTTTTTCCACCCAGGGCACGCGATTGACGTTTATTGAGAAAGCGCGATGGGCTTCACGCTAATTATGCACACAGGCCGTCTCGATTATTATTTTTCATTTTTTTAATGACTCCAGTATATAATTTCACGTCTTGAGAGGATCTGTTTTTTACTTCAAAGCGCGACCTTCGATGATTTTGATTGAAAATAATTTATGGAAGTAATTAACAAAATATTAATCAAAGCTCTTTTGTTTTCAGTGGAGGCAGGTTCATCAGCGTGTGTGAGAAAATCCGTCTTCCTGATGATGTTACGATAGGATACATAATCGGTAATTTGCTGTACTAATTAATAATTATTAATAATTAACTTCTTTTTTAAGAAACTATTAATCAAAATTTGTATCTTCTTCATTACTAGAATTTTTTAACTAATAAAACATTTCTTTTTTTAAGGTTTATAAGTTTAAAAGGCAATGACATTAAAAAATTAAGCAATTAATATTCATTTTTTCTTCTTTTAAATAACTCAAAAAATGATAAACCATTATATCCTCAAGGATAACCAAATTTTAGATCTCTTTATTTTTGAATATTACTACTTTTCATTTATTTATTCTGAATCTTATTGTATTTTATTCTCCAGAGCATCTGCTAAAGAAAAAATTGACCTTCACACCCGAATTCCACTCTCACTTGGAGCCCATGAAGTTCATCCAGCAACGACACCTTCCCGAGCAAATAACCTTCAGCTACTCAGGTCAGGGCAAGGATCAAAACGTGCTGAAAATTGAAGGACTGGACCCAAGAATCGACCCAACAAGGTATCAAAATATTTTTTTAACAAAAGAGCAATTTATTAAATTTTGGTTTGATTTCAGATTCATGTCTCTGCACTGCTACTTGTTCCCACACTACAGTTTCTGTCCGCGATAGTGGAGCAGCAACACGCAACTCACTGGCAGCTAGTCCCTCTCATCAATCATCTCTTCATCCACATGGGAATGAATGTGTCTGTTGAATTCAAAACTCCTAAGAGTGGCAAAACGGTGCTCACATTGAGCAGTGCAAAGAACGATGGTGCGTCAAAGTTCGGATTGAATTCCTCAAAAAAATGTGATTCATTTAATTGTAGACATTTGCAATCTGGAAATGCATAGAGTTTTTCTGGAGAGTCTTTCAAAATTTTGTTTTTCACAGCTGAAGATAAAGCTGTTGTTGCATTTATGTTTTTTTTTCTGCGAAGGTCTGAAAGTCTGCAGATTTTGTATAAAAATCAATTTATGGCAATTATCATATTTTAACTAACTCTCTACAAAGAGATATTTTAACCTGTTGTATGTACAATAAATATTTTTTACATTTATGATTGTTTTTTATAATTTAAATAAATTCCCAATTTTACAGAATTCATCTAAAGAATCAAAATAATTAAACAATGACCGATAAGAATAAAAAATATTTCATTAAATAATTATCAATTTTTACTGCAAATCATAAAATTACAAAATATAAAGGTTCAAATAACTTAATTATGAACGTGTCATACCTTTTATATTTTTGTTTTATGTTACTTTATATAAAATTTATAAAATATCAAGCGTCGTTCAAATAAAAAATTTATTTAAAAATAATATAATTTTTAAGCAAATCTTAATTTTAAATTTCAGTGCTTTTTTAAATGATGAAATAAATGATTTTGAAATATATTTTTTATTTCTAGCAAATCACTGCACTCAAAATTCGCAAAATTCTATCAGATACTTCTTCCTTCGCGGGCATCTGCGCAAAATTTGTACATTTTAGAACCACGCCCCCTAAATTCGATCTCTGATTGGACGTCATCGCCCAAGTGGTGATGTGTACTTTTGCCAACATCAAGCCAGCAGAGCACAAAGTAAGCACAAAATTTGCCAAATTTTCCTCTAAAAGAAATTATTTGGTCTCATTTTTTCACGAGTTATTCCTTCAAAGTACCAAATTCTTAATTTTAGCTTTCAATAAAATAAGGGTGGCGAGAAAGGAGCGGAAGAAAAGAAGTAAATTTCTTCACACGTCGCCGGCTCGACTGACAGATCTCTGGAAGGGCTGGTCAATTTTCAAGAATGCTGACCAAATTCGAGACCAAGTCGGCCAGGGTGAAGGGTCTATCCTTCCACCCTAACAGGCCGTGGATTCTCTCAAGGTAAAAGCACAATTTTAGAAGGAAAAATAAATTAAATATAATCCGTTTTGTTTATATTTTTTAGTTTACACAATGGTGTCATCCAACTGTGGGACTACCGAATGTGCACCCTATTGGAAAAGTTTGATGAGCACGATGGGCCTGTCCGCGGCATCTGCTTCCACAACCAGCAGCCGCTTTTCGTGTCCGGCGGTGACGACTACAAGATCAAAGTGTGGAACTACAAGCAGAAGCGCTGCATCTTCACACTCCTGGGCCACCTCGACTACATCCGCTCCACCTACTTCCATCATGAGTATCCGTGGATTTTGAGTGCCTCCGACGACCAGACCATCCGCATCTGGAACTGGCAGAGCAGGACTTGCATCTGCGTGCTCACCGGACACAACCACTATGTCATGTGTGCCCAATTCCACCCCACAGAGGACCTTGTTGTGTCCGCCTCGCTCGACCAGACAGTTAGAGTCTGGGACATTTCTGGTAAATATTTATTATTTACTGATTATCATAAATTTTAATCTGTGGCAAAAACTAGTTAAATCTTGTGATGCATTTTTTGATTCCATAAATTTTTTTTTTAGGTTTGCGAAAGAAGAATGTTGCCCCAGGACCAACAGGACTAGAGGAGCACCTCAAAAACCCAGGCTCAACAGAAATATTTGGTCAAGCTGACGCAGTAGTAAAGCACGTCTTGGAAGGGCACGACCGTGGGGTCAACTGGGCCTGTTTTCATCCCACAATGCCGTTGATCGCATCAGGAGCCGACGACAGACAAGTCAAGTTGTGGCGTATGAATGAGGCCAAGGTTATTATTATTTTCCAACTGTTCTTTATGAACTGTTTTGTAAATTGCTTCTTATTATTATTATCAGCCTGAGGTATACTAGCCAGTCTCGTAGATATTTTGTGCAATTTGAAAATTCATAAGAATATTTCAGTTATTAATCCTTGCTATCTTTATTTCTCGGATTCTCTTCACTACCTTGCCCGTGTATGTAGCCAGAGGTAATTCTTTCTTACCCTGTACGGTGTGAAAATTTTCAAACCTTAAGTGACCAAAAGCAACACCAAAATTTACTAAAATATTATTTTTTTTGGCAAAATCTCACTTCTGCACAGGAATGAAGTTGAGGAATGATTCACCTATATTCTTAAAAGCCGTCTTGATTCAATAATAACATCTATCCACTTTGTGAAATAACTTTTATTTTACATAATAAAGTAAATATCATTTCTAATTAAATCGTTTTTATTTGGCATCTCTACAGGCCTGGGAAGTTGACACATGTCGTGGTCACTACAACAATGTCTCCAGCGTTCTTTTCCACCCTCGTCAGGAGCTGATCATCTCAAATGCTGAGGATAAAAGCATCCGAGTGTGGGACATGACCAAACGCACCTGTCTCAACACTTTCCGCAGAGAGAACGAGCGTTTCTGGATATTGGTGGCTCACCCCACTCTGAACTTGTTTGCTGCTGGTCACGATTGCGGCATGGTCATTTTTAAGGTAGATTTATAAATAAGTATTTTTTTATTGAAGTAAAAAATTTTAATATTTTAGTTGGAGCGCGAAAGACCAGCTTATGCAGTTCACGGTAACTTGCTTTACTACGTCAAGGAGCGTTTCTTGAGGAGGTTGGATTTCACCACCTCTAAGGATGTGCCACTTATGATGATCAGAGGAGGAGGAAGAATTCCTGTCCACAGGTACAAAATTCATTATTTAGGTTTAATTTTGATAAATTTTCAAACTGATTATTTCTTTTGATTAAAAATTGCTTGTTTCCATATTTGAGATGAACATAAAATAAAAATATCATTATTTTCAGCATGTCGTACAATCCTGCTGAGAATGCTGTTCTCCTGATCACGAGAACAAGCAATGTGGAAAACAGTACATACGACCTTTACGCTGTTCCCAAGGACGTCGACACTAACTCTCCTCCCGAGAGTGTGGATAACAAGCGCTCTTCCGGCATCACAGCCATTTGGGTGGCTCGCAACAGATTTGCTGTCCTTGACCGTAGTCATTCGGTAGAGCTCAAAGTTTTATTTTTGGGATTTTAAAATCTGAATGCTCTTTTTAAGGTCATTATAAAAAATTTGAAAAATGAGGTTACTAAGAAAGTGACCACCCCAAACTGCGAGGAGATTTTCTATGCTGGAACTGGAATGCTCTTGCTGCGTGACCCTGATGGAGTTACTCTCTTTGACGTCCAGCAAAAGAGGTAAAATATTCTGGGTTTCATGTGGAACTTATTTTTTGTTAAATAAAATAAAATTTTACTGATTTTAGGAGCCTGGCTTCTGTGAAAATGGCGCAGTGCAGATATGTGGTTTGGTCAAATGATATGTCCCACGTTGCTTTGTTGGCAAAGCACACCGTTACCATCTGCAACAGGAGACTCGAGACCCTCTGCACCGTCAGGGAAAACACCAGGGTCAAGTCTGGAGCTTGGGACGACTGCGGCGTTTTTGTCTACACGACCAGCAACCACATAAAATACTGCATCACCAATGGGTAATTATTATATTTCAGCTATAGGATGTTTAAAAAAATGTTGTATTTTAGTGATTATGGAATCATCCGCACTCTGGATTTGCCGATCTATATTACCAAAATCAAGGGCAACCAAGTCTTCTGCTTGGACCGCGAGTGCAGACCTCGCATCCTCAACATTGACCCCACTGAATACAAGTTCAAACTTGCGCTTATTAACAGGAAATACGAAGAGGTAAAATTTAGTTAAATTGAGATTTGTTTTTCTTAAAAAATTCCACAAAGGTTCTTCACATGGTGCGCAATGCTCGGCTAGTGGGTCAGAGCATCATTGCTTATTTGCAACAAAAAGGCTACCCTGAGGTGGCTCTGCACTTTGTCAAGGACGAGAAGACCCGATTTGGTCTCGCTCTGGAATGTGGCAATATTGAAGTGGCGCTGGAAGCTGCCAGGGCACTGGACGACAAATCTTGTTGGGAGCAACTTGGACAGGCAGCGCTCATGCAAGGAAACCACCAAGTACAAAATTATATCAATTTTTGAAACCTTTTTAAAAATGAATTAAACAGGTTGTTGAGATGTGCTACCAAAGAACCAAGAGCTTTGACAAGCTGTCCTTCCTATACCTGATCACAGGAAACTTAGACAAACTCCGAAAGATGACCAACATTGCTGAGATTCGCAAAGACACATCTGGACAGTTCCAGGGTGCTCTGATGATGGGTGATGTCCAGGAGAGGGTTAAAATTTTGAAGGTAATAAAAATTAACTTTGTGCGTTTCATTTCTGTTGTTATTTATTATACCCTGAATTGTTAATAAATGAAATAAATATTTTCCAGAATTGTGGTCAGCTGTCTTTAGCCTACCTCACTGCACGCACCCACAACCTGAATGAAGAGGCTGATGCCATCAAGGAGATGGTTGATCCTGAAAAGGTGCAGTTGCCAGAGCCAAATCCAAACGCCGTTTGCCTCCGTCCCCCAATTCCTGTAATGCAGGCGGAAACCAATTGGCCATTGCTTACTGTGTCCAAGAGTTTCTTCGAGGGCGCGATGGCCAGCAGGAACAAGAAAACCATCAACGCTGCCTTGGCTGCCATTGACGAACCGGCTGATGGAATCATCGACGTGGACGCCGGAGGCTGGGGAGATGATGCTGACCTCCGTTTGGATGAAGATGGAGAAGGCAGGGATGACTTTGGAGAGGAGGAAATTGTTGCTGCTGATGGAGGTAGTAAACTTAAAAAAAAAAAAAAAAAAAAAAAAAAAAAAACAGGAGTTTTAATACTTTCATACTTTTTTAGATGCTGGTTGGGATCTTGGTGATGAAGACTTGGAACTGCCTCCAGAGGAGCCAAGCACACAAGCATCAGGAGAGGCAGATTATTTTTCACCACCCACAAAAGGAATTGCTCCAACCACTGCTTGGGTCAACTCGTCTCCTCTTGTAGTTGACCACATAGTGGCAGGATCATTTGCCACCGCCTTCAAATTGCTACAGTCACAGGTAATTTTATAAAATATCAAGGAGTTTTTTTTTTAAATTTCATCTTTTTAATTAGGTTGGAGTGGCAAATTTTGAACCCTATCGCCAGCTTTTTTTGAGCACATATAGCCGAAGCAAAACGTCTTACAATGCGCTTCCCTTGCTGCCAGCCTTATCAGCGTATCCTCAGAGACCATACAAAGGACCAAATCCAAATGGTCGCTGGCCTGCTGTGGGATTGAAACTTTCAGATTTAGTTCAAAGATTACAGGCAAGAATTATTAAAAATCTGTTCAGAAAAATTATTCTAAAATTGCAAAGCAGCATAGATTTCTGGAATTATCAGTCAGATTTGAAAACTTGCCACTTATTTTTGTAGGTCTGCTATCAATTTACAACGGCAGGAAAGTTTCAAGAGGCCGTCGAAAAGCTGCGATCGCTTCTTTTGAGCATTCCGCTCCTTGCAGTTGAGAGTCGGCAGGAAATTGCCGAGGCGCAGCAGCTGTTGCAGATTTGCCGCGACTACATCATTGGTCTCAACATGGAGCTGCAGAGGAAGGACATGCCAAAGAGCAGCTTGCAAGAAATGAAGCGTGTGTGCGAGATGGCTGCATACTTTACTCATTGCAACCTTCAGCCGGTGCATTTGATCCTCACTCTGCGAACGGCTCTCAATCTCTTCTTCAAACTGAAAAACTACAAGACTGCCGCTTCATTTGCGCACAGGTTGCTTGAGCTAGGTCCTAGACCAGAGGTGGCCCAGCAAGCAAGGAAAATCCTGCAGGTAATTTCTTTTTAAAAAGTCAAATTTTCAGACAAGGATTTTTGTTCCTTTTAAACATACAAATATTCTATTCATTGCGAGCCGAAAATTTAATTTTGCGTCTTATTTTTTTTTTTATTTAAGTTACCATTGTCTTAATTTATGTTTTAGGCTTGTGATAAAACGCCAACGGATGAGCATGAATTGGAGTACGACCAACACAACCCATTCCAACTCTGTGGCCACACGTACAAGCCGATCTACCAAGGAAAGCCAGAGTCTTTGTGCCCCTTGTGCCACGCCAGCTATTTCCCTCAGTTTGCGGGCTCAGTGTGTACCGTTTGCACAGTAGCAGAAATTGGAAAGGATTCAACGGGTTTGAAGATCAGTTTAATTCAGTCTAAAGTCTAAAGTTGCAGTCGGCCTTTGAGTGATTTCAACATTTTTTTTATTTAAACATTTCAACCTTGCATTTTTTGGATTTAGCCACTGTATTACTTGATTGAAGCAGATTAAAGCTTTGAAATGCGGTTATTGATGTACACAGCTATTTACTATTATTGTTCTTGTTTCAATAAATTTAAGCAAATTTTAAAATATCAGAAGATTTTTCCTTAATTCATCTAAACATATCTACACATTTTTAAGTAGATATAAATTATTTATTCTTGGTTGTGACAGTTGGGCTAGGTGAAGACAGTTGAATTATAAGTGAAGCAGCTGCAACCCTAGCCTGGGCATCTTCTTGTGAAATATCGTGGCTCCACTCGACACGGCCCCACCGTTCACACTGGTAGTCTTCCTCAAGACGAGACAGCAACACAGCTTCGGGAACTCCTAAATGCCGCCTCGCTAGGGCTGTTCCAAGAACTACAGACTTGAGAACATCCACAGCGTAACTCAATCCATGCAGTGCCACAAACGAGTGCGACAGCAAATATCTAAAAGATATATAATTTTAAAGTTATAGGTTTATTTTTAGTAAATTTTTTCAACCTTATCAGAGATTGCTTGTCTTTTTCTGTGATATCAGGAGTGGAAATAGATGTTGTATGCTTTAATGAAGAATCCATGACATCGTTGTACCACGCTATGATAGGAACCCACTTTTCTGCCTGTAGATTTAAAAGATCTTCCGGTTCCTAAAGAAATCTCGACTAATTTCAAAGAAAATCAATTAAAATATGATACCTCTGAATGGTATAGAACTGTGTCAGTTTCTAGATACTGAGCTATACTTTGGGCCAGATCCATTTTCGTCAATTTGTTTGGGTTATCAAGAGCGGTGCTAACAAGACCATGCTGTAGAACAAAATTAAATATAATGAAGAACAATTAGTTAGTGAAATTTATTTTCAACACTCAAAACTGACTCAAAAATTATAAAAAAATCTTGCTTTTTTAAATTAAGTTTTTAGATATTAAAATTATTTTTTCAATTTATAATTATTATTTGAATTTTTATACATAATATATCATATTAATTACCAAATGCATGGTGCTCAGGTTAATTGTGTCCTTTTGAGAGTCCCATTCGTGACATAGAGCCAGGGCTAGAGACTCGTTGCTCACCCTGAGCACTTGTCCAGCAGGGGTTCGCACTCTCCTTTGATCCAGGGTCACCTCCCATAAGCCACCACCAGCCTCAAGTACACTTGTCCGTCGATAAAATCTCTTCTTGGCCACTAAAAAGTTTTTCAACTTTAAATTGATTTTTTTTAAATTTTGAGAAATAACAATTAACCTAAGCTGCTGTGTCTGAGGGGCACCCTGAGTATTCCTGAAGTGCCCAAGAAGGGCCTCAGGAGCCGGAATCCACAAAAACTGCTGCCTGCCATCGAGTCTCCAGACCTCCAGAGAAATTTTGCAAATATGCAGAAAAGGGGGCGTGGTTGACACAGCCAGCAGGGAAGAGGGGCGGGGCGGTTTAGCAGGAGTGGCGTGCGGCAAAATGTCCATCAACAGTGTCAAGGACCACGTCCTGGAGGTTATTTTCTCTTATTTGGAGCTGCCTGAGTTGCGGAACTGCTCACTGGTGTGCCGACGGTGGTACCGAATCTTGTGTGATGAGAACAACGACGTGTGGCGGCTGCACTGTGTTCGCCGGCTCGCAGAGGAGGCCCTCAAGTCGGACCTGCTGGCTTCGCTCCCCTCGTACAAGAGCAAGCTCAGGGCCTTTTACCACGCGTGGAACCCAAACGACACATCGCGCAACATCTACGTCAAGCCCAACGGCTTCACCATCCACCGGAATCCTGTGGCCCAGGTCGGCGACAGTCCTAACCCTGAAATAAAAGCCCTTTCAATTATTTACACCGGCGTCAACCACAGAAATTTTGTGATTTATTTATTTAATTCATTACAATTTGATCGAATTTATTATTAATATTCATAGATTGAATTTTTTCATGAAATATAATTTAATAAAGAAATGCCTACTTATGATAATTAATACAAATTGGAACTTATTTTTTCCTTCTTAAAATGTGCAGCTAATTTCCCAGCCATTGCATGAATTTCATTGATGCCGGACTGTCATTTAAATGTCAAACACTGACATTTTGACCCACAGTGTATTAATAAATCACTTTTATTACTTTATGACTTTATCCAACTGATATTTAATATTGCAGAGCACTGACGCCTCTCGAGGGAAGATAGGCTTTCGAAGTGGTCGACATGCCTGGGAAGTTATATGGGAAGGACCGTTGGGGACGGTGGCTGTTGTTGGAATAGCCACAAGGGATGCCCAGCTGCAGTGCCATGGGTCAGTAGATTACATTTTTCTTTTATTATAATTATCCTCTTTTTATAAAAAAGGGGGAAAATTCAACCACTTGCAATAAGAAGGCAAAATTTTCTAATAAGAATTTTATTCCAACCCAGTAGATATGTTGCCCTGTTGGGGTCAGATGACCAGAGCTGGGGGTGGAACTTGGTCGACAACCACTTATTACACAACGGTGATGCTCACGGCAACTACCCACTTTTAAATAATGCCCCTAAATATCAGGTAATAATTTTTTTAAATGTTTTTGAAGTGCAATTGAAAGAATTTCCTTAAAAAATCCATAGGTAGGGGAGCGCATTAGAGTCATCCTAGACTGTGAAGACAACACGCTATCTTTTGAAAAGAATTATGAATTCCTTGGAGTTGCATTCAGGGGTGAGCTTCATTTTTAATTTATTTTATTGAAGTTATCAAATTACTTATCATTTTAATTAATTTTCCATTTGCAGGTTTGCCCTCTAAGAGACTGTTCCCGTCAGTATCCGCTGTTTATGGCAACACAGAAGTGTCCATGGTGTACCTAGGGCCACCGCTGGACGGCTAGCCCCTGCAGCACGTTCCTGCCCTCCATATTGAAGGAAGTCCCTTTCGTCTTTTAGTTTTTGTGATTATTGGCCGAAGACTTTCATCTCATTGTTTGGCCGCACCACGAACTTTCTTTTTTGTTCTGTGATATTGTTATTTTGTTTTTTTGCTGTTGAGTGTGAAAGAAGTGCTGAAGACTTTGTAACAATAACAATTATTATGCGTAGGCGATTTCTCTAGTGACTTGACTGACCGCGAGTGCATGATGTGTGCAAGTGAATTAGTGTAAATATATATTTGAATGAAATCGAGAGAAGCGATTTGTAAATTATCAAATGTGCAGACGATGACTGACTGCTGCATTGTTGACCACAAATAAAGTATGATGAGACTAGACCCTCACCACAATAATACTTATGTTTCCTATGTAGTCAATAATCCCTCAAGCTTAATTTCAGTATAACCTCAAAAATAAATCAATTGCACTATTTCATGATAAGAATTTTAATGCCATGTCAAAAAGCATCAATTATTATCCATAACAATTCACATCAGCTTTCTTAATAATTATACGAATTATACATAATTATCATTTTGTGATAAAACCAAATTATTTTGCAAATAGGTACCAATTTTTTTTACTTAGGGAGGCACAAGTCAAATGTCTTTGCGTCCATACTGGACAAATTGAAAATTTCCAAAGCGTTTTTATTAATAATAGCTCCTAGCCTTTGTTTATTGAAATAAATCGAAAAGTGACGTACATGAGTTGCATCGCGATCATATAAATTACAAAAAAAATCATCAAGAGGAGAGACAGAGGAAATAGACAGTAAGTGGAGGTGGTTAGAGGATCCCGACGGGCGCTTGGGCTCCCCCGTGGCCCACCCGGTTGGAATTTTTTTTTTATTTATGTTTTTGCTTCTGCATTCGTTCATTCACTCTGACTGTTTATCTCTCTTTTGCTCTTAGATGAGGTCAGCCACGTTCTTAGGCATTTCCTCAATCACCGTGTTGTAGAACTGCTCAATGTCTTTAAGCGTGCGCTTATCCTCAGCCGTCACAAAGTTGATGGCCACACCTTTACGACCGAAACGACCACCTCGACCGATCCTGAGCACCAAAGAGAAAATTCAAGAGTCAATACAACAAATTTTAAAGTCATAAAAATAAACCAACCTGTGAATATAATTTTCTCGGTTTGAGGGAAGGTCATAGTTGATGACGAGGGACACCTGCTGGACATCGATACCTCTGGCCAGCAGATCAGTGGTGATGAGGACGCGGGACGAGCCGGTACGGAATTGCCGCATGATGACGTCACGCTCCTTCTGGTCCATGTCTCCGTGCATAGCAGACACCGTGAAGTCTCGGTGGTGCATGTTCTCAGTCAGCCAATCGACCTGAATTCATGCCCGAAATTTTTAATACTAACAACAAATTTAAGACAAATTTTGTAAACAAACCTTGCGGCGGGTGTTGCAGAAAATAACCGCCTGCGTAATGGAAAGAGTATCGTAAAGATCGCAAAGGGTGTCCAGTTTCCAGTCCTCACGCTCCACGTTCACAAAGAACTGCTTAATACCTTCTAATGTCAGCTCCTCCTTCTTGACAAGGATGCGCACCGGGTTGCGCATGAAGCACTTGCTCACGCTGAGCACATCATCAGGCATTGTCGCCGACAACAAAATCACCTGGACACAACATAGAAAAATTAGCTGCCGGTCTAAAACAAGAAAATGGCTCAATAATTACCTGGACGTCAGCGCATCGCAGGGTTTTGAAAACGTCGTGAATTTGCTCAGTGAATCCTCTGGACAGCATTTCATCGGCTTCATCCAGAACGAAAATTTTGATGTAGTTTGTCCCTAGAGACAGAAAAATTTTAACCATTTGTTTTGCAAATTGATTCAAGTTCAGAAACAGAGAACTAAAATTCATTTCACTTACTGAGGGCTCCCCTGCTAATCATGTCGTAGACACGGCCGGGAGTTCCGACCACCACGTGAGCACCCGACTCCAGCCGTCGAATGTCCTCTCGCACGTTGGTGCCTCCAATGCAAGCATGGCAGTTGGCCTTCATGAAATCGCCCAGAGCGATCACAACCTGTACAAATTTTGAGATTTTAAAATAATCTTTCCTCATACAGGGTCGCAAGTCTAACCTTCTGGATCTGCTGGGCAAGTTCTCTCGTGGGTGCAAGGATAAGAGCTTGACACTCGTTGAGTGACGTGTCGATCTGCTGCAGAATGGATATCGAAAACGTAGCAGTCTTACCAGTACCTGAAGACAAATATTTAAGTTAGGATTTATTAAAAATTTGATAATACTAAAAAATAAAATAAGAATATTTAGATATAATTATCTTCAATTTGAATAGATCAAAATAACCACAGATTTTTAGATTCTAAATGTATAAAGAACAATTATATATTAATTTAAGTGAATATTTTTTTATTACATAAGAAAGTAAAGTTTATAAAAGTACTTTTGACGATTTAATATTAAAATCATTGTAATACTGTGAAGCGGTGGCAGCAAATAATTAAGTGCAAGTCATTTTGTAATCTTTTTACCTGACTGGGCCTGGGCGATAACGTCAAGGCCCTGAACGCAGGGCATGATGGCGCGCTGCTGGATGGCCGATGGCTTTTCAAAACCATAGGCGTAGATTCCACGCAGCAGCTCCTCTTTCAGCTTCATGTTGTCAAAATTGTCAACCACCTCATTCCAGTTAGACTCAATGATTCCGTCAGGGTTCATCCCGGCGGGGCCATCGTAGACCTCAGCAGGTCCGTTCTTCCCTGGACCCCCCTCATACTCGTCATTTCTGCAATCACAAGGATAATCAATTTTTGATTAATTTAATTGTTGATTTTAAATTTAATTTTTTGTTTCTTTCAGGTAAAGCACCAAATTTCGATCATCGATCAATGCACTGTTATCAGCTTAACGCACGTGTGCAGTGAAATTTGCATTTGGCATCACAAAGGCAACTTTCACTTTTGGTCTTGCCTTGAGATTCTAATGAAAGATATTACCATCTCAATTAAATAAAAATGGATAAACATTTAGTTCTAATGTGATTGAAGCATTGGAATAAAAATTTTGTTTATTGGCTACCAAACAAGGAAAAAGGGCCTAAAAATTGATAAATGGGCTTGCCCTGAGGCGTTTGTCTATAAATGCCCAGTCATGTCTGTAAGAATGACCATATTTTTCTGAATCCGCAAAACTCAATGCCACAAGGTCGTCCGACGATAAACTTTTCAGATTTAAACGCTGATTAGGCAATTTAATTAGGGCAGTATGCAATCAAGAGTGCCAAAATTAAACTATAAAAGTGCACCACGATCAAACTGGTTTCGACTAAAGGCGCAGGTCGAGGACCAAACAAAATAATAAATTTATAACTTTCAACAGGAAATGAAAAAAAAATTTGAAAATTATTTAAAAATGTATTGAAAAGGACGCCGAGGAAACCCATAAAGATGCATCACACGACCAAACTAGGGATCATGCGTGATGAATTATCACACCCCGGTCGACCACTCACTAATATTAGGGTGAATTTCCCCTTGCAGAACCCAGTTGCGAATCCCTGGGGGTGTAAAATTTAAGGCAAGGACCGGAAGTGCGCGAATACCACCTCCAGAAGGACCGTCACGCTGTAACAAGGCGAGAGAACGGCCCTGTAGGGCCCTGGCAAGGCCCACGGAGGCCCCTCCCGCGCCATGTTGGCAGCAGTCGCGTGCTTCTTTTTGAAGGAGGATTCGCTGCAAGTACGGCCTCCGGGGGTGGCACAACCGCCTCCCGAGCAGCCTCGGGGGTGGAACGATTCGCTGGGTCGCGGGCCGGGTCCCGTGGGCCGCTGGGTCAAGCATGGTGGGCCAGAAACTCACCTCCTGTCACCGCTGTACGACATTTTTGGCTCAGTGTGCACTGAAAAGAGTCCTCCGCGAGCACCACTCTAGCTCCGCTGCTCGGCCCAACGTGACTAGTGCGATTTATTAAAAAATCAAAACGGCGACATTTTAATTCATAAAATATTTATTACTCGTTTCAACTGCATGACATTTTTTGCTTTATTTGGAAAATTACACTGATAATTTGAGAACAAATTGCAGATCTACTTTTCGTGCGGTAGCATACAAAATGGTAGGCGAAAGTAGTGCTTTTCGAGCGCCCGAAACAAATGAGCAACGACAAGCAGTACTGGCGCCAAACGAGAGCACCCAGAGCATTCCAAACAAATTTAAAAATCAGGCGGCGAAACAGCGTGGATCACTGGTGTTTTGTGCCAAATAGACAAGACCGCAAGACCGAAACCGGCTTTTCAAAATTCAAAGCCCCAGTTTGGATCTTGCGTTACTCTCTACGGCAGAGAAATGCGGCGATCACAGATGAAAGTTGCGGCGATCGATATAATACATAATATAGCGAGGAAAAATAACGCCACTTGCCAGCCCACGAGGGCGGGGAACGAACGTCAAAATTAGCGTTCACCATCATTATGAACTTGGCAAGTAGCGAAAAACAGCCACGAATTAAAATCCTGCGATGTGCACAGCCCTCAAACTTTGTAGCCCAATTCACTGCGGGACGGTTTATAATCACAGTCCCCCAAGTGGATTGAACTTAAAAGTTCAAAAGGAATTTGCAAATAATATCGATAAAAGCAATGCAAGAACAAAAACAAATAAAAGTGCCCAAAACTTTGCAGTCCAATGCACTGCGAGACTGTTTTAAAAATCACAGGCCCGCTAAATGGATTGAACTAAAAAGTCAAAGGCATTGGAACGAAATCAATGCAAGAACAAAAAAAGAAAAGTGCTCACTTTGCAGTCCAATGCACTGCGGGTCAGTTTTAAAATCACAGGCCCGCTAAATGGATTGAACTAAAAAGTGAAGGCACTAAAAAAGCATAATTAAATAAAAACGATGAAAAGTTGCCCGCTAGTACTATCATGGACTCTCCTGGCATATAAATAAATGCCCTGAAGAGACCATGAACGAACCAGAAGACAAAAAAGATCAAAATTAACAAGCAGTAAAGGAAGTTTCCGATCAACCAAGAGGTCCATATGAATAAGCGGCTTTTAAATAATACAGCCCCTCATACGTATGAACTACGTGGATGAATCCGAATGACATAAAATAATGCGACGATAATTCCACCTTGCCATGACCAGCAGAGATGCAGATTTGCAAACACAAAAAGCAAAGATCTGAACCCGGCTGGTTACGGAGAGGCGCAAAGCAAACTTACGACAAACAAGCGTGCAGATGTTGATGTTTTGACAGCGGAGCGACAAATTTGTCTGGGCCTAGGGTGCACGCGTTTTATATACACGCGTGCAACACGTGGAGTGGGGCGCGCGGCGCTTGCTGCTGCTGCACCCTCAACAGGGGGTCTGCCTGAGGGAGTGGTGGAGGCGGAGGCACCACCAAGTAAACAAACAGGTCGCCACTATTGATTTTTTTACTCAAAATATCACATAATTTTTTAATTTAAAACGCTAAAAAAGAGTTTAATTAACTCCGCACTCTGTTTTCGACAAAGCTAATTTAAAAATCAAAATTTATAATTTCAGGTTCGCTTTATCAATAATTTTAATTTACTATACGCGTTTTTCAAAACTTTGAAATTAAGATTTTCAACAAGCATTTTGCATAAAAAAAATCAAATTTAAATTTTAAGCCAATTCTAAACGCTGCGCAGGAAGTATTTTGGTTTTCCTTCTAATTACAAAAACTTCAAAAGCTTTCCATTTCCTAAATTTAAATTAATAATTTATTTGCAACACCTTAATTTTTAGGAAAATATAACATGCCTATCTATGGCAAAATTTGTGATAAGTGATAAAACAAAAGCTTAGACAACCAAGGCTCACTGCGGCGGATGAGGTCTTTTTGATCTCGGAAGTTAAAAAAATTCTTGCTTCTGGCGGTGCCGTTTCGTCCAACAAATCCTTTTTCTTCAATAAATTACTATCAACAATTGAATGTAAACAATGAATTTGTAACAATGTGGACAAATTAATAACAATTATACCTAAATTAAATTTAGAGCATATTTCAGAGACATTTTTTTATATTAAAAATAGACTATATAAATTTTTAGTCTTCTCTCGACCACCGCCGAAAAAGCTCAAGAATTATGGCTGCAGCCTGCAGCCGAAACATGTAGAGCAGGATATTATTATTATTATTTTTTAACAATAAACAAATCATTTTGGAAAAGCCGATTCTAAATTCAAATTACCCAAGAATCAGAACCTCGATCTTGAAAGTCCACCACTAAATATTTATTATATCTTTTTTTAAAGAAAAAATATGCAAACTATTTAATTAGCGACTTGGCCCCGACAATTTAACATTGCCTTTATTGACAAAATAATAAAATAATCCTATGTTATGTGTTTTTATCCAGCTGGCCGCCTCGCTTTTGAACTTTCTGTGAGCGGTGTTTTCCAAAATTTCTTTCTGAAGCAGCACCCACTTACCACCCACCTATTTACTTTCAGCATTGCCCATCACTACAAGTAATTTATTGCTCTCCTGAAATGTGCCTGTCGCCGCCGATTCCATTTTTCCTTTGTATTTAGTGGTGCCTCTGCCGTCTGCCCCAAGTTCATTTTTTCCCTCTTAGGAAATGGTATTCTCCAAAATTCCCTTTTCTTTCTCTCCTCTCCAGAAATTGCACCCCAAGCAGATAAGATGTTTTTCACAAAGGCAGCGAAATTTGTTTGAAGAAGTGCGGTCAGAGAATTTGGATGAGGCTGTAAAGGAGAGAAAAATGCATGTGCAGTGAAGTGCAAAAGACACAAAGCCGCCGCCTCTCCTGTTTTTGTTGCTAGGGCGAGCTCAGGTCAATCATGGCAAAAATGTCTTCATTTGTTCTCACCGCACGTGTGGCCAGGCAAAACTTTCTTAGGAGCCGCGAGATCAAATATGAAGGCGCATTTATCCTGAAAGCGTGCCTTCTTTACTTATTTTGTACATTTTCTGAGCTTCGACGCCAACCTAAAATCAACACAAAGCGCTTCAGCAGACGCAGTTTATGAGAGGCCAATAAAATCGCGGGGCTTTAATTTTGTGAGTCTTAAATTTTCTCAAAAGGAATAAATATTATAAATTATTTTTATGTCAAGGGCTTTGGATCGATTCAGATCGACTAAACTGAAATAGATAATGAATATTTATAGTGTGATTAATCGCGCGGCGCCGCCAATTATTCAGGGGTTGGTGTTTTTCAATTTTGCTGACTTTTGTATTTTTCTTGCTCATGAAATAATCCGCAGACCTGATAGAAACCGGTAAAAAGCCGAATTTTTTTTAATAAAACAATTTTTAACGAGGAAATGACCGATCTCCTGAATTAATGTAAATTTTTTATGTTACAATATTGTCAATATTATAAAGATTTTCCTTTCTTTCTCGAAAGGGTTTGTCTTATTTATTTAAATTATTTGTGAATAAAATAAGACTAAATATTTATATTAGATATAAAATGCATGTAGTTTCAGTGCAACAAAAATCAGCAGCAATCAAAAAGAAAATATTATGAAGCATTTTTGTTCTTGGTTCTTGCATTTGATTTTTTTTTTTTATTATTTAAGTTAAATGATTTTAATAATTTTTCTTTCATCATTTCAATGCAAAACAATGTAAAATTTTCGTTACCACAAATATTTTTTTTTCGTATTTATAGTCGGTAAGATATAATAAGAGTTTTTTATGTTTTTATTACTATTTTCCGCTATTTTCTTTGCTCTCGCACATTGCACATTTGTTATATTATAATTAGAAAAATCACAATTCATTAAAACTCTCGTGTGTAAATACGCATCTGTTTTATTTTTTTAATAAATTTTTAACATTAAACACTGAATTGACAGTAATGAAACTCGTGATTATAAAAATATTGAGCGCGGTTTATCACAAAATTGGGGTGAAAGGATGAGAAAATCGCTGCGCTTTTGTTAACGCGCCACGCCCCCCACAGAGGCCGACTGTACTTTTGGAAAAATGTCCTTGCTGCGAAATTTGCTGGCCGTCCGGGTGTCCCGCATCCCGTGAGTGTCCATACAACCGCTCCCAAGACACAATTAATCCAAAGCGAAATTATCTGGCTCCTGAAATTTCAATTGCTCTGTACTCGAAGATATGAATTAAATGCGTCAAAAAAATTGCAGGCCCGAAACTTCTAGGCCCACCCGGTTTTAGAATTTTGAGGAAATTTCTTCAACTTTCTGATGAATTTTCACGAAATTCATTCAAATTTAATTGATTTTTTAACAATTTAATAAAAGGGGCACCATCTCTTTTATATGTGACCTTGAAATTTGGCACAAGTTGGCGCAGACGGGTTATTGACAATGACGCATGCTGGTCCGAAGGGGGCAACGACAACCAGCATTGCGCGCAATTGAAATAATTGAGAAGCAGTACGAGTTGCACTTGCACTTTCTTTGAACGATCACTCTCACATTCAGCAACAGCTGCGAGTTAGTGCGCGTTTTATTTACTTTTTCGCTTGATTTAAATTTTTTTGTATCATTATTACAATTTTTTATAAGACCACACGCTCTGGATATAGGAATTTTAATAATTTTATAGCAAATTAAAACAGAGCTGAATCTCGCCAAAACAATTTTAAACGAAATCTATTTCAATTCTTAATTTTTTATTTTAGTTTAAAAATTATTTCCTCAATTCCGTCTATTGAATTATTCTAAAAATTTTAAATTTTTTCGATTAAATTTTGTTATAATATTTGCTAATTTTTTAAAGCATTCGACTGATGTCCGGCGAACCAGGCAGTGGAGCTGGAAAGGGTGGTGGTGGCGGCGGCTCCATCAGGGAGGCTGGTGGTGCCTTCGGAAAGATGGAGGCTGCCAGGGAAGACGAGTATTTCTTCAAGAAGGTATTTAGGACAATCCAAATTGGAAAGTTCAATTTGCCTTTGTTTTAAGCATAATTTAACTAAAAGATTCTGTGAATTGCGTTTAAAAATGTAAATTGAATTTAGTTATTTTTTTCATGACAAAAATTGTCCAATTTTTACATGATTTATTAACTTGTGAACTTATCAAAGATTTATTATATAATTAATTTTTTTAAATCCTAGCAACAAGAGCAACTGCACAAGCTGAAAAATGAATTGCACGACGAGATCCACTTCCACGAGGAGCAAATCCAACGTCACCAGGAGGCCATCAAGCGCCATGAGAAGCGAGTGTCTGACATGGACAAGAATAAGTGATGGTAGTAGAAAAATTCCCAAATGGATCAATTAAAAAATTTAACGACTCTTATTCATTTTCAGAGGTTTGAGGAAGACTGGCAGGCCGATAGGTCGAATGTAACAAAACGTGTCTGATGAGAGGCCTGTTCTTGTTCATTAGTTGAATTAAAAAATTAGACTTTTAGGTGTTTATATCCCATCATTCTGTGTGATTATTCACTACGTATTGATTTATCATGTGTACAATTTTTGTTGTTGAGAAATACATACATAACTGTCCAAATAAAAATATCCCCCTATTCTTCACACATTAATTTTATCAAGTTTTTAATTTATATATTTACAAATTGAACGTTTCCAAGGAGCCACTGCTGGAAAGCCAGTTCTTTGTTCATTAGTGGTTCTTTACATTTTTTTTTTATTATTTAGGGGAGGATGTTATTGGCAAAAGGATGAAAAATAGAGCCATAAAAATTTAGAGCACTTATTTAAAATCCATTATTTTGCTACAGAGAATTTTATTTTTATGTGCCAAAGTTAAAAACAACCAAAAGTAATGAAAGATGTTGCAGGAGCAAAACATCTTCCAGCTGCTCTTTACTTTACTTTATTTTTGAAAAGTGGGCAGAGGAAAAAGAAAGAATTATTATGATGCAATAAAATCGTCACGGCGGCGCAAGCAAAGAGAGTCACAAAATCAGCAGAGCGCTGACATGCCTTCTGATCTCTTCCCTTCTTCCCCTTCCCCTTGGGGTTGTTTTTACTTGTTTTTGCTTGCTGGGCGCACATGTGGGCCGCCGCCGGCAAGATTGGAATGGAATGTGTGCAGCCCATTGTCTATTGTTTTGACCCCGAGACGAATTTCAGGATTTGGCCGGCCGCACGAAAATTGGAAAAGCGATTTGCGCATTTTCCATCTCAGCGTGACGGATGCGCTGCGGCGGGGGTCCAACTCCTTTTTCCGACACACGTATTTAAAGTTTAAAGGCCAACACGTACGCCGCAGGTGAGCTCTACATTTTCGTGATTTTGTCAATCAAACGAAAAGATTTATAACTGAGACTCCGAATTTCGGATTTGTGGAATTTTTGCTTCTTGTTTTGATCGTGAGGCAGGAAGTGGAAGGAAGCAAATTAGGCACGGTCTCGATCTGAAAACAAAATATTTTGCGATGCACTTTTCTGAGGAATCTTTCAATTAGTCTCAAGCTTCTGGCGAGACGCGATATAATGAAAACAAAAACACATTCCTCCGATTTTTTTAATGAAGTCCGCATGTTTACTTTTTATAAGTTAAATCTCAAGCACACTTTTCTAAATTTTGCATGAATTCCTATTGTTTTTTTAATACGTATGAATAGTAAAATTTATTTTTATGCATACAAAAATTCAAAAGTTGACGACCTTTCTTTGTATTTCATATTCAATATCGTTCAATATAATGCAAAAATAAAAACTGGCGCGCTGAGTAAAAAATAAATGGGGGCAAAGCAAAGTTGCTGTGCATCTAACCGAGATAAAAACTAAAAACTATTAAAAAAAAATGGCACAGATGAGATTTTTAAGGCACGGCAGATGCAGTCAATGAATTTCTTTTAACAAAAATCCTAATTTAATGAGTGTTTATTATAAAAACCGTAAAAACCTTAATTTTATTGAATTTCCTCTACAAAAATCATTATAAACAGGCACTTGTCGTGGCGTTCGGAGAGATGAGTTTGAGTTTGCAAAATAAAAGTAGGCTTTAAAAAATTTATCATTCTAAATTATTTTTTTTCTCGTATATTACATATTCAGGCATTTCAAGTGCCGGAAATGCTTAAAAATTCCCCAAATCATATTTTTCTCACTCTATTTAGCAGTTTTTGTTCAAACTTTTTTTTTAAAACATAAAAATGGAATTTGCAAATTGTTCGTTCTTGGGATCGCGTCGCCTTCTCAGCTCGACACGTGCGCGAGTGGAGAGTTGCATCATTTGCATAATATCGGTGAGAGTGCTGTGAAGAGAGTTCGAAAATTGATCTTTTGCACGGTGCAATTTGATCGCTTTGCGGTGGCATCGGTGTTTGTATAAAAAGGACAAGCCGCCGTGCAATGGCATCACTCAAGCAGCATGGTGGCAAACGCTAAGGTGAGCGCGCTTCATTTTTTTTTTTTTTAATTTTAAATAATATTTCCATTTGACTAAAAAATTAATTAAATTAATAATAATCTATGTAAAAATAAAATTTTATTTTCATATTCAAACTTATATTATAATAAGCGAAAATGGCTTTTGTAAAAAATCTAAAATTTGAATGTTGAGTCAGTAGAATTTTTAAGTTCTGTCAAACCAAATTGTATAAAAAATATTTCATTTTCACTTCAAATTAAATACCTTTTTTGAACATATTTTGCTATTTAAATAAATAAAATGTGTAATTTTTGTTTTCATTTTTTTATTTTCAGCTTTTGGTCGCCTTGGTTGTTCTTGGTGGGGCCGTGGCCTGTGCCAAGGAAGAGCAAACCCCCAGCAAGAGCAGGCGCGGCGTTTTCGGACTCGGCTACGGCCTCGGCGGTTCTTCTTACGGACTGGGACTGGAAGGCGCCGCCTTTGCCGGAGGTCTTGGTGCTGGTTTTGCCGGAGGACTCGGCGGCGTCGGCCACGCTTTCCAACCTGAAGTGACCATCACCAAAGAAGTGCCCGTGCACATTCCGCACCCTGTGCCCGTGCCCGTCGTCAAGAAAGTCCCCATCCCCGTCGCTCACCCCGTGCCCTACCCTGTCGAGAAGCCTTACCCCGTTCCAGTTTTCAAACCGGTTCCCGTGCCGTACGAAAAGCCCGTGCCCTACCCTGTCGAGAAGCCGTACCCTGTGCCTTACCCTGTCAAGGTTCCCGTCGCGCAGCCCGTCCCTTTCCCTTACCCCATTCACCATGCTGAGCACTCCCTGGAAATTCCCGTAGCCAAACCAGTGCACTTCCCTCAGCCCTGGTAAATGTTTTAGAATCAGATGAAATAAATTTATTTTGACTATAAAAATGATTTTAGAATATTTTGCTTTTATTTTATATTTTACAGACAAACCAATTTTTTAAGCTAAGAGATGATTTAAATTTTTTTGTTTAAATCATGTGTTGCTGGATCCAGTCGATGTAATAGTTTACTCGGGTGAAGACTGCTGGGTACCCAGGCTCTGCACAACCAAGTGCCCAAGACACAATTCCGTGTTGGATGCCGTTCACAACAAGGGGGCCACCGCTGTCACCCTGACACGAGCCTTTGTTTCCCTAAAATTAAATAATGGGGTAATCAAGTGATATCAAAATATAAACATTCATAGGCCTCTTAATTATCTAATTATTGAATTTTGGTTGATATAGGCTAAATTTAAAATTTCAGATATCAATTTTTGATAATTAATGAAATGTGACATCAGCAAGTAATTAAGAGCAAAAATTTTGAACTTATATTTTTCTGCAAAGAAAAATAACTCTCAGATATTGCGGATTTCGAACTTCTTGCAAAGATGCTAAGTAAAAATTGTGCAATTACTTTTATTTTAAATTATGAAAAAAGAAGATTTATAATTGTTATAAAGTCAGTCTTGGTTGTATTTTTATTTTTCAATAATTTATTATTTTTTGAATACTTTTGTTGAATTATTATATTTTTTGTTGAAAAATCACAGAAATTTAGTTTTGTAAATTAGTTTTTACTAGTACTTAATTAAACATTAAAATTAGTTTTGATTCAAGATAATCAAATAAGCGAATCAAATTTTTCTACAATCAACAATGAACTATAAAAAAAAATTAATTAGATTAAAATATTATATCTGTACCTCTGGAATTCCTGCGCAAACCTGTCCCGGGTAGACAGGATATCCAATTCCGTAGTAAATATCCTGGCAGTTCCTCTGCGCCCAAATGTTGATGTCCACCCTCAGCAGGATATCCGACCTCGCTTGCGTGTCTCCCCAGCCGGCGACGACGGCGGCCGCTCCTTCCGCAGGGTCGCTGCCCAAAGCTGGCAAGGGCACGATTTCGACCAGGCCAGGTTTGAGGACAATGGGCGTTTCGAGGGTGATAATGGCCACGTCATTGATCCACGCATTGATCTCGTCGTAGTCTTCATGCAGAGTGAAATTTATTGCGCGATAAAAATCTCCGACGCCCGAACCCGCTTGCACTGAACCTGCGACGATGCGGATGTCACGTGGTCCCCATCTTTGGAATTAAAATATTTATTTAAAAGAGAGACCTTTTAACCAGTATAAATAGCTTGCAATAATTTACAAGTAAAAAAATTAATTCATGAACATTATAAAAATTTACGGAAATATAAATTTTGAACACTCTACATTTTTCTCCAGTCATATTGATTGAAAATATGGACAATTTTTTGCTCTTATAAATACTTTTTTTTTCAAGAATTCTCATTTTGTATATATTAATTCTTTTTTTTATAAAAAAATTAAAAATAAATTTACGCAGTCAGGCAATGCGCTGCCGTCAAGATGTGTCTCTCGGAGAGAATAGTTCCTCCACAATTGTGCCTGTATGTGTTGATGAAAACGTCCACCTGCACTGATACAAGGAACGGAAACTCCCCTTCCGCTGCCGGTTCACCTCCGATAATGAAGGGTGAAGGGATGGCGGCCCCCAAGGTGCCCAAAAGACCCACAAGGAAAATTGTTGCCAGCCGCATATTTGAGCAACAAATTAAATCTCGTTTACAATGAATTTCGATAAAATTATACCGCCTTATCAATAATTATCATTTTTGCTATCAAAACATCTTTCATCTCAATGTCAGACAAGCTCTCAAGAGCATTGTTTTATATGCAATCTCTGATAAAGCGCCTGCATTTTTGAAAGCGGGCTACTTGTATAACTTGCTTGTTACGCAGGTTGCGTTGTTCAGTGAGTTTATTTTTAAACCTAACTCGCTGTTCATCGATCTAGCATCTGTCTAGCGCAAGGCAAGTTCAATATAATTTTTATTACCTAATTTTTTTATTCTGGAAATTTTTTTCCCTTGTGGAGTATTCTCGACTAATTTTTTTAGTTATGCCTGAATTATTATAATAAAAATATACAAAATGCATAAGTTTTCTGATAAATTGCATATTAAATGCAATCGTTGATAACTAAGATCATAAATATGCGAGATAAGATCGTTTTTATGACTTACAAATCATGACTCGGTTTCCCAGATTTTACGATTTCATTGACGTAAAGTGTACAGTTTGCATAAGCTTTTATAAAAAAAATGCATGTATACTTCTCGAATCAACGACTCGCTATTTCTTTTTCTCATTCAATGGTTTTAAAACTGTCCGCTCTATTGGCTGCTCGGGCGCCGAAAACGACAAAAAAAAAACGCGGTCGCATACTCGCTGTGACGAAATTTTGGCTCTTTTGCCTTTATTTGCGTGCACTCCGCGTGACGTCACGCGGTGATTCCGATTCTCAATTAATTCGAACCGGTTTTCAGTTAATTTGAATTTTAACGACCATTTTGAGCATTTTTAAAAATTATTAAACACTTAATAAATTTCAAATTTCATGTTTAATTAAAATTTTCCAACTTAAGTTGATTTTTAATTTTGAAGATGGAAATTCTGAGGAAAAAAGAAAACGGTACAACCGTTTGAACCCAAACCGGTTTCCCGCAACTCGCAAGAATTCGCGGGTTCTGCGCAGACGTCTCGCTCGTCTTCTGTCGAAAAGTGGAGAACCAAGTCCTTTGGGAATCGTTTCTAGCTGACCAGAATGGCCCTTCGTGTGGGTCTTGGGGTCGTTCTGCGGGGCTTCAGACGCCCCCGCACTTACCACACACAGACGGTGAGTTGCCCTACCGCGAAAAACGCACCGACCCGTCGGCCGCGCCGATCGATTTCTGCCCTATATAAAATTATTTCACTACTGTGGCTGTGCAGATTAAAATGCACCCCGCTCGTTTTTCACCACAGATTTCACATCTGTTCCCGAAACACGTTCGCCTGAAAGAAACTCGCGTCATTTTTCCTCATTTATCCTCATTACGTCGAAAATCTTCCATTTCAAGCCAACCGAGGACCAGGAATATTCGCGCGTTTAAAAAATTCATACAGGGCAGAAAAATCAATAATTGCCCCGCGACGGGCCGCGTGCAACAGGAACCTTCCTCGGGACGTTCGGACGCAGAAAGAGCAACTCTGATTAGTGTCGGTGCCTTTTAAAGGCAGAGACGGGTGCTAATTTGGCCACTAGAATTTCTCAGGTGATGCTTTGGCACCTGCAATTAGCACCGAAAAGGGCAATAATCAATCACATGAGTCGAGCACAGCAGTGAAAAAAATAATATACCGAGTTGACGAAATTAAAGTCCATTACTTTTCACCTCTCGTGTCACGCTTTGCCGCTTCATCGCGTGAGCCACCCTGCTTGTTACGCAACGAATTAAATTTACGCGCTAATTATCACCGAAAGCACTTAAACTCATTTAAATTTAACCTGCCGGGGAAAAAAGTCAAATCTAGATGTTTTTTAAATGCAATGCGTGCCGGCGCTTATCAAACGGAAGCGGGTGTTTTTTTTTTATGGCGAAAGGGCCACTCACCGTGTCGGTTTAGCTTTTTATCCTTTGGTGCAAACGGAATAGCCACTTTTCATACATACTCGTGTATCGATCAAATTTCTGCTGCTGGAAGAGACAAAGGGATCAAAAGTGCCTGTCTCGACATTGCAACTTTTAGTGGGAAATGGCACCTGTGGGTGAAACATTTAAACAAATAACGACGTTCTTTCCATAATCGCGGTAGAGCAGCAATACCTGCTTATCTCGGCGATAAGGACGAAATAGTCTCACACAAACAAAATCTATGCGAGTCCAAGGCAGGAAATGAGAGTTTAGTCAGAATCCTCTTTAAAATTAAAATCTAATTTTTTATTATGCTTAAATATTTTAATTGGAACTGCAAAAAATTAATTAATTTTAAATGTGAAAACAAAAGATAAAAATAGCTTGAATATTATAGAAATTATATTAGAAATATGTTTGTTGAATTTAATTATAAAGGATTCGCATTGACTTTGATGATGAAAGAGCTAATAAATAATACATTTTTAGTTAAAAATATTTTTGTATCATCTATTTAGAAAGAAAGTGTATCAAAGTACAAATTTAGCAGCCGAATGAATTAAGGTGAATACAAATAAATTGAGTAAAGACTTTAAGATATTCCCAATTTCAATAATATAAATTGACCAAACTTTAATTTTTTCTAAAACAGCGAACTATTTTTCAAAACTTATGTTCGACTGATAAGTTTCAACTTTTTATTACTTCCCTTGCTAAATATTTGCATTATATAAGAAAAAAATATAAACGAAAAATATTTGATAAAAATTCAATCTTTCAGTTACAAAGTTTGAATGAAATTAAAATTATATTTAATAATATAAAACTTATTTAGTGCAATTTTCTTCAATTTTCAGCCTCTGAGCGCCGGTTCTAATCACGTCAGCCGCGTCTTCTCGCCGTTGGAGGAGTTTCAGCCGCCGTCCGGCACGAGGTGAGTTGGCCATGCAAAGGTATAAAAGGGCCCCCGCCGCCTCTTGCCGCCCATTTGCTCCAAACCATGCAGCACGGTGCGGAGGCGGCCATTGAGGCGGCCAAAATTTTGGAGGCCCGCGTCCGGGACCGGCGCTCGTCCAAGCAGTGGCTCATGTGCCAGACGGGTGGCTCCGACCTGGCCACCAGTCTGGCCGCCCTCAGGGGCGACGTCTCGCCCTCGGAGGCCTCGTCGGGGGCGGCAACCCCCACGAGACACGCGGCGCACGCCACTGAGGCCAACCAGCGCTTCTTCAAACTGCTTGCCCGCTTTATCAGGTCAAAACGTTATTTTTTTTTTAAAATTATAATCAAAATTTTCAAAACTCTAAGTTGGCATTCGATTTAATTTATAACTCAGATATAACATTTTGTGAATTTTTTAGAAACATTTATTGAGAAAAAAATGAAAAACCTACATTAATAGGATTCGTGTAAAACAAAAGCTTTTTTTTAACTTTTCAAATTATATTTAAATTTTTATTGTAAAATTTTTAAAATTATTTTACATCTTTTTAAAATTTTACAAAACGCAAAATTTATTTAGCCTATTTATCCAAAATCAAATTATTTATCAGCGATTTATTCTTCGCGTTAATCTTTTTATTATTAATGATAAAAATAGCAACAAGAATCTTTCCTTTACTGATTTAATTTCGCTTGTTAATAATAAGAACGCCTCCGCCTTTAATCCGCCTTCCTCCTTCCTCCATTTGAGGCAACATCAACTGCGAGTTATATTTGGCGCACTCTCCCTTATTTCCCTCCAGCTCTTTTATCAGACGACTTATTTATTTCCTTCTTTATCCCCCAAATCCAGGTCAGCTTGTCGGAGAGCGCAATTCAGATTGAATAACCCTAAAGCTCTTCTTTCTCTCGAGCGCGACCCTTTAAATAAAAAGAATAAATCGTCTGGCGCTGGTCGAGAAGAAGTGACGTGGTTGAGAATGAAAATAATTTGGCCACGGTTCAAAAGCCAAAGTCTGAGTGAGGAGTATGCGATTCAGAAATAGCCCCCAAAACAATGAGAGTGAAAGTAAATAAATATTTTTTTTATCGCCCCTGTCATCGCATTTTTTTTTTTGTATAATATAAAGAGAAAGATAGAAAGTAAACCTCTGTTTGTATCTCTTTCTGTTTGTCTGTGTGCTCTCACAAACTCTGTCAGAGGATTTGCATTCGTTCACGATTCCGACTACACTGCTCTGTAAGTAACTTTTACTCGCAATTTACAACTCAACAAAAGTGCCTGCTGTTAAAAAAAGAGTCGACCTGCTTGATTTTCTTCTTAAATGAGACCTGCACGCACAATTTCATAAATAATACTTATTGGAAAACATTAATTTTTGTGTTTTTGCTCGCCTGAAAAAAAAATTAAGTTAAAAATAATTGATGAAACATGCACGAATATTAAAAAATTGCTTGATATCTAAAAATTAATAACGAGTTTTTACCCTGAAAATTTTTTGCAAATAAAATTGATTTTTAAATGTTCAATATTATTTTATTATGAGAGTATTTAGTAGTGTTTCTGGTTGAATGGTGATGTGCACTGTATGAATCTTTGTATTTTAATTTTTTTTTTAAAGTTAAAATTAAAATAAATGTTATTTTGTACTTCTTTTTATGTACATCTATTTGTTAAAAAAAAAAAAAGTCGCATCTCAGACAAACAATTTTATCGTACAGTACATAAAATTTTTTATTTAGTGAACTTTTATTTTAATCAGGTGCAGATCAGGTGATTTTACGCTTTTTTTATTTTATGTTATAGTGCTCGCGATCAGGATCAGAGCAAAAATGTCGAGGACGTGCTGTATGACATGTTCAAGAATGAAGACACTGGACTGTTGCCCGTTGGAAAATTCTTGGCCGTAAACATGATAAACGATATAATATTACTCACAAATAAATTTAATTTTAAAATAGGCACTGCGATCCACCGGACTGAGGAGAAATGATCCTAGGTTGGCCGAGATGACGGAAAACTTGCGCAAAGTGCACAAAGCGTCCGGTCACGAAGGGGGATCTCCCGAGACTCAGAAACTGGACCGCGAAGCTTTTAAATCGTAATATAATCATAAAAAATATTTAAAAAATGTATAAATCACATTTCAAATTTTCTCAGAGTGATTGCGCCAAACATTGTGCTGATTTCTAGAGCGTTCCGTCACCAGTTTGTGATCCCCGACTTTCAAGGCTTCTGCAAGTACATCGAGGAATTCTACTGGCGCTGCAAGAATAACACCGAAGGAAAAGTACGAGGAATTTTAAAGTTAATAAAATTAAATGCTCTAATTTTTTTCTATTTTTCAAGGTTGCTGCCTACATTCCTCAGCTGGCAAGAATGAACCCTGAATACTGGGGAGTATCTGTGGTCACAATTGACGGACAGCGCTTTTCAATAGGAGACACAAGTGTCCCATTCACTCTGCAATCTTGCAGGTATGAAGAAACCTTTTGAAGGGGCATAATTATTTTAAATTTTTTTAATTTTCCAGCAAACCCCTAACTTACGCAATAGCCTTGGATCAATTAGGTGCAGATGTAGTGCACAAATACATTGGCCAGGAGCCATCAGGCAGGAATTTCAACGAACTCGTTCTCGACTACAATAGTGAGAAATAATTTTCTTGATTTATTTTACAAATCTGATTTCTGATTTTATTCCTTCAGAAAAACCACATAATCCTATGATCAATGCCGGTGCCATCCTCTGCTGTTCACTTCTGAAAACTTTGATCAGGCATGAAATGACTCTTGCTGAAAAGTTTGACTTCACAATGAATTACTTCAAGGTAATAAATAATTTAAATAATGGTTATTTTAAAATTCAATGATTTCATATGCAGCGTTTAGCTGGTGGCGAGTCCATTGGCTTCAACAATGCTGTGTTCCTTTCCGAACGTGAGGCGGCCGACAGAAACTACGCTCTTGGTTTTTACATGCGCGAGAACAAATGCTTCCCAGACAAAGCAAATCTGCGGGAGTGCATGGATTTCTATTTTCAGGTATAAATTTAGAAAGTCGCATGATGAGTATTTTATTTTTGTAAAAATTATACGATCCATTTTCAGTGTTGCTCGATGGAAGCAACTTGCGAGTCAATGGCCATGATGGCCTCTACTCTGGCCAACGGAGGAATATGTCCGACCACTGAAGAAAAGGTGCTCAAGCCGGAGAGCGTGCGCGACGTGCTATCCCTGATGCACTCGTGCGGCATGTACGATTACTCTGGTCAATTCGCCTTCAAAGTGGGTCTGCCGGCAAAGTCGGGTGTGTGCGGCGCCCTGCTGCTTGTTGTGCCCAACGTGATGGGTCTTTGCATCTGGTCACCTCCTCTTGACGCCCTTGGCAACAGCTGCCGCGGCGTCCAGTTTTGCGAGGTTAGCATAAAATTTATTTCCAAAATAAAGAAAATTCATCATTAATTGTTTGAAGGAATTGGTGGAGGAGTTCAATTTCCATCGGTACGACAACCTGAAGCACGCCACTAATAAGAAGGACCCCCGAAGGCACAAATTTGAGACCAAAGGTCTCAGCATCGTCAATTTGCTCTTCTCGGCTGCTAGTGGTGATGTTACTGCCATGAGGAGGTGAGAAGATTTTTTTTATTTCGAAGAATGAAAAAAGTAATAATGCTCCAATTTGAAACAAAATAGGCATCGATTGTCTGGAATGGACATGACCTTATCTGATTACGACGGACGCACAGCGTTACATTTGGCAGCCGCGGAAGGTCACGTGGAATGCGTCAAGTTCCTTGTTGAGCAGTGCAGCGTCCCGTGTGATCCTAAGGACAGGTAAAAATAAAGCCCCTGATAAGCTCCGTGTATGCAACCAGCTCAGCTCGGAAGCCTTTCAAGTTGCATAAACAGAGCCCGTTCCCAATCGGCCTGAACATCTTAAGCTTTAAATTGGCCAATTGTTGCTTAAAAATCGTTTAATTATTTTTAGATGGGGTCGAACGCCGTTGGAAGAAGCACAGACTTTCACACACACAGAAATTGTTGAGTACCTGCGAGCCAGACAGACAAAGAATGACGGGGTTGAATCAACCGGTGAAGAATCTCCTCCATCCCCTGCTGGAACGCCTACGCCCTGATTAAAAATATTCCCCTCGGACGATTCCGTCTAGGTCGCCAGAGCGCACCCTTCACTCCCTCCCTTCGAAAGGGGATCATATACACATTCCAGGGAGGGGGAGAGGCGGCCACGAGTGTCAATTGTTGTTCTGGTCGGAGGGTTCGCCCGTCGGTCAGATCTGTCTGTCACCCTTGCTCTCGCCTCCTACCCCTAAATCGTTTATCACTGTTGTAGATGTTGGTTGTTGATAAAGAGGAAAACTAACTTCTGATTGCCTACGGCCGAATTGAGACAATAATTACTCATAAAAATATACCTCTGTGTATTCAAAGCAAAAATGTGATCAATTATCTAAGTTCTAATTGATAAATAAACACACATTGCGCTGATTCTATGTCAGTTCCAAACAAATAAAATCAATATTATGCTGTTCAGCACACAAAGTTGGGAGTATTTTTAGCTCTTCGCACACTGCCTCTAATTAAAAATGCGTGCCATGGCCGCAAGGGAAATTGCTCAAGAAAAAGAAAGCTTTTTGTACAAATAAATCAACATGAGCTTTTTATTTTAGATAAAAAATGGAATTTAAGATAATTAATATTTTATCGTTCACCGACTACAGGAAAAATAAATTAATTCTCATCGTAAAGGGGAGTGGCGTCACCACCGCCTGCGCTCTCCACCATGGAGTGTGGACTGTTGATAGTTCGTGGGGTGGATGTGTGGCTGGCCATTGACCGAGGGGTTCCGTGAGGCGTGCCAAGTCGGCTGTTTGAGCGACCTTCTCGTGGCGTGCCTCTGTCCCTAACATATTAATTACATTTTAAATGATTATTTTAATTTTATAAAATTAGTTAGATCAAAATATAAAATTTTTGCAGAAAAATCAATGTTAGGTTAAATAATTTAAGAAAAAAATATTTACCTGGGAGTGTTTCTTCCCTCGGATCGAGGAGTGCCCCAGTTTCCTCCGTCATTGGAGTGAGGATTGCGCTTTGCCTTCGCCCATTCCTCAGCTGCGCGTTTCCAGTCGGATGGCTCAACACTTGCAGCAGCAGATGAAGGGCGACCACTACCGTAGGTTGGGGTCGAGCGGTAGGTTGGAGTGCCTTGGTGGCTTGAAGGGGTGCCACGAGGAGTGCCGTGAGGCGCTGAACTTGGGGGCGGCATGTCACCGCGAGAGCGGGAGGAAGGTCGATGCTGCTGAGGTGAAGCCGATGGATGGCCTTGCTGGTAGCGTGGCGTTTGGTACGGCGTCATGTAGGGTGTTTGACCAGAGGGCGTGTATGGCTGCAATCAGAAATGACAATTGATTTATTCAAAGATTTAATATTTCTAGTTAATTTGAGATAAAAATAAATAATTTATTATGTTCTTACCGTGTTGGCAAAAGCACCACCGTATCCAGGGAAAGGCGCAGCGGCTGCAGCACCGGGAGTGTGTGGATAGGCAGGGGTGTGCGTTGCTGCCTGGCTGAGCGAATGCAGCATGTGCTGGGGCAGGTTTTGCGCCACCCTGTGAATGGCTTCAATGCCCCCAACATTCAACGTTGGTGTCTGGTTCGTGAAAGGTGTGCGGTTTGAGCCACGAGGGGTGCTCGGGGTGCCTGGAATGGGGTCACGGAAGTGCTCCTTGAACCATTTGAACAGGCCGTTCAGGCTGTCAAACATTTGTCTACGATACCTGGGAAATGTAAAAAGAACCATTAGACAGGTTGCAATTGGTATAATTGTTTTCCAAACTCACCGGAATCCCTCAGGTGTGACAGATATAAATTCATGTTGTGCTCGCAACCTTGGCAAGTAAGAGAGCATAAATTTTCCCGGATATTCCTGTCGAAAAATGGAAAATTAGTATTCTTTTTATATTAAAATTTAGGTGAAACCAAATTATAAATTTGGAAATTTACCTTAGAAGCGGAGAGGAAGTAGTGGATCTTATTTTTATTCTTGTCCCTTTCCTCCAGCAGATATTTCTCAGCAACATCTTTTTTGCCACCGTCAAAGTCTCTGTAGTACCTGAAAGCTAGTATGTCCCGTGCAAAGCCTGCCATTGGAGTTATGTGACGAGCTATTATTTCATCCAAATCTTCAAACTCCAAGTTATCTGTGAGAAAAAATTTTAATTTAGGCATGCACGATTTTCAAGAAACAAAATTAATACCTATCCAGAGAGATTGTCCCAAACTAAAGGCATTTTCTTTGCCCGTTTCTTTCACATCTATATGCTGGTAAATATTGTCCGTCACTTTCCATGTCACTGTTAAATGATCAGCACCCTAATAACATATTTTAAACAATTAAAAAATTATTATTTTTTTTTCCAAATTTTTGATTGTTTCACCTTGCTGGAGGGACGAACTATGGCATCACCCTGGTCCATTGACTGCATCATTTTCTCAGCCTCTGAGTACGAGATGTTGTGGAAAGAAGGGTGGACGATGACACGCTTCACATAAGTCTGTCTAGCTTTCTGCTTCTTAGCATCCTGCTCTGTTTGAATGTCTTTCAATTCTGTTTCAGAGTCGTAGTAGGGATCCTTGGATGGCCGAAGACTGTTGTTCTTATCTGACAAGTCGGAGCTTTTCGAAGTGCATTCAATCGAGAATCGATCAACCTCAATCTTCGTTACTCGACAATGCACAACCTGAAACAAAACAACAATTAGAGATGAATTTTTAGAAACCATTATAACAGCATACAAATAATTTTAGTTTAAATTTTAGGCTTCTTTTTTTGTCTTACCTGTCCAGCACGGACTCGATCCTCAGGATTGGCAACATGTTGGTCCGACAAATTCTTAATAGGAATGTATCCTGAAATTCCATTGTCAAGTCTGACCCTCACGCCTGTAGCCGAACCAGGACAACCGCCAGCGTCAAAGTGGTTCCACACATCAGACAATTCCGAAAAGTCGTTCTTGAGACAGAAGGGACACTGCCACAATCCGGTATCATCATTTTTCACAGGATTAGCATTATCCAACTGGTCTCCTTGTGGTTTCCTTCATTTGTGTTATTAGCACATTTTAAATTAACAAAAAAAGTAAAAGTGTCAAACCTGTGAGTTATGCCAGTGACAGTGGCTGTGATAAGCTTGCCAATATAGAAGGTCTCAGGCGTTTCCTTAGTGAGCATGTCAAAAAGCTCCTCAGGGTTTGGAGATTGGTATTGACAACGGAGGTCTTTGTATCTGTGATGCAGTTCTGCTCTAATGTCATAAAGGGTGATGCTTCGATTGCCAAAGCCCTGAAAATTTCCAGTTTATAATTAATGCACTCAACTGACAAATTATTTGCTATTTCCATAGAAATAAATCAAATGTGAATTGAGAAATGTAAATACCTGTCTTTCCAGTTCCTCGGCAAAAGCATCCAGATCGAGATCTTTCAATTTCTCGGGCGAATCTAAAATTTCTTCTAGTGCACCAGCAGGATTGAGCTCTTCATCATCATACTCGAGAGCATCCACAGCCATTTTTCTAGCCCACTCGTACGTCTCAGGGTGAACACGGGACCCATCGAGGACTTCCACGTAAACCTCAGTGCTGTCACCAAGCGAGTTGGTGTCGATTTTCAGGAAGCCGGCAGAGTTGATGAAGATTGTGGGGGCCATGTGGCAGACTGTGACCAGCTGACTGCGGTTCTCCACTCGGTGGTTGGCCTGTTTGAGCGTCTTGAGAATTGCTGCGGCCTTCCTGGGGCCGAGGCCACACACAAACTGAAGAAGGTTGGCCACATTCGACTCTTGGATTGTGCGGTTCAGATCTACACCCACTTCATTAGTTCGGTTGACAAACTCTAAGTAGAGACCTTCTAAAAGCTCTTCTTTCTCAATTTGATCCTAAAAGTAAAAAAAAATTAGAAATTGTAAGTTCACATTTCACTTGAGAGAAAATTGAGTATCTGCATACCTGATAAGGATGGAACCTCATGCAAAGGATTTCTTCATCAGGAGTGCAAAGTTGGCCAAATTCAATTAAAGGATCCTGCATACGTCTACCTAGAGAGATTGCTTGTCGCAACAAAGTCGGATAATCTCTGAACTCATTCTGAAAAAAGGCAAAAGTTCCCTTAAATTAACACATTTTTAAGATCATTCTCTCTTTACAGTTGCTCGGTTGGAGTTGGCGTAGATTTTGGCCAATTCGTTGTCCACAATCTCAACCTTAATACTCGGGAACTGCTCATCCTCTGTCAGACCAGAGACAAGTTCACGGAGATCGGCTTGAACCATGGTGGCCTCTCTGGATTCGCCCCCAACGACGACCACATGCGGCCTTCTTGAAGTCATCAACCTCCTCAGGGCTTCAAGATCAGCTTCCTTCTGAAGCTTGTCATCCTCGCGCCACCCGTTCTTGCGCTTGAGCAAGTTGGGCAGGCGAATGAACTCTGCACACTCGCCCTGAGTGCCAATGACTGAGGCAAAAGCTGCTTGCGACAAGTCAGGCACATATGCAATGCTCAGTACTCGAATTCCACTGCTCGTGTCCCACTCGTCCTCATCTTCGTCAGGAAACTCAACACTATAAGGCGCCACCTATATAAGAAAATTAAATAAAAACAAGACTCTTCCTTTAGAATAAAAAGATAATTAATTTACTGGAAAAATGAATACCCGAGAAGCTTAACATATTCTGGCATAAAGAGTTAAATGATTCACCTTAAGAGCATTGTACAATTTCCGGCAGCATGCCTTGAGGACAAATTCTCTCGCCTCCTGCAATAACTTTTCCTTCAGCTCGGTCCTCATGAGTGGCAAAAGAAGCTTTTTGTACGCTAATTCTACACTTTCAGTCCTCAACTGATTCCATTCTTGGACGTTCTTACTGAAGCCATCCTGAATACTCCAATTAATATCTATGTAAATTCCAAGTTTAAAAAAAATGCTAACCTTGGTGTACAGATTTTTAATTTCCTCCAGATAGGATACAGTAGTCATGCCGTCGAAGTCTTCACTTAATGTGATTGTGAGCAGCTTTTCTTGCTCAGCCATGTAAAGCTTGAGGAACATGTCATTGCTCAAATCAGTCACCGGCTTGTCTTTCAAATACTTTATGCTAGAGAAATAATTTTTAAGGTAAGATCTGTAAAACACTCTCTCAATAAGTGAATATACCTGTAACAAGGGTGGTTTTCGTCAATTTCTTTCATTCCTTTCTTTGTGGGTCTGACCATTAGCTTTGCCTTTTCTTGATAAGCTTGGCGCATGGTGGACCTGACCAATGGTTCTCTTGACAACTGGATGGCCACCATGTACTTGGCACCCATGAGGACATCTTCACTTGTCTTGAAGATGCTGCGATTTAATTAAGAGGTAAGTATTTTAATTAAATTCTCAACCTGAGAAAATTTAAATAATTATCCACCTTGAGAAATGTTCTTGTGCTGTTGTAATTGGGTCCTGTTCTTCCTCGCCCTGGATTTCGTGGCGTTGGTAGTTGTCACGAAGATTCTCAGCATATTCAGTAGGAGTGAGACCGAACTTTGCAGCCAGACTTTCAAGACCAGCACGGCAGCAGAGGGAATAGGTACCACCTCGGGAAGCCTGTTTCACCACCTCAATTTCTTCCTCTTCTGGTTCCTCTTCTTCTTCAATTGGCTCCTCCTCAGGCTCTTCCTCCTTTAGAAAAAAAATATGTTATAAAATTTACTAGCCAATTGAAATAAACCAACATCTTGATTTTCTGGGTCAGCCCTGCGAGCCAAGCGCTCCTGCCTTTTTCGTTCCCTCTCCTCTCTGGCCTGTGCCTTTTCCTTCTTCTTGGTTGCCTCTTGCATGGCCGGTACTTCTGGGCCGTAGTACAACATGAAATGCTGATACACATCTCTCAACTCCTCCATACAATTCACTCCCAAAACCCTGTATAAAGAGGAAAATTCAATGACGCATTTTTAATATCCCATTAAATTTACCGAGTGATGTCCTCATTTTGAATGACCCTCAAGTTTTCTGGAATGGGTTGATCGATGTTTTCCATCAACTTGTCTGTTTGATAGTTTCTCATCTTCTCAAACAGCTTGGCCAAGTTTTCTTTCCTGCTCTTCAGTTGACACCACTATATGAGCATCATTTGTAAATTAAATAATATTCACAATAAAAACCTTGAATCTATACCTTTTCATCGTATTTGTATATTTTCCAAAGGTCGTTGATGTTGAGCTCTGGTTGGGTGTACTCTTTGCGATAGAAAGCAATAAAGGGCACTTCGAAATGCTCACATCGCATAAACTCAAGGCACTTCTTGATCTTAGGGGTAGTGGATTGAGGATCTTTCTTTGTAGCATTGCGACCTCCTTCGCCCTCCTGCTGCGAAATGGTTCCCTTACTGAAGGCATGAGTGAAAATCCACTTGGCCTCTTCCTCAAGCTCAGGACTTTCTTTCGGCAGCTTGACAACTGGGATCTGACGGAGCTGCATTCGCTCAGGAATATCAGCATTCCTGATCTAAAATTTCATTGAAAAAGTATTATAAGAACTGAATGGCCTGCAGTTGAGATTTTTACCTGGTTGTCTAGATCAGTGAAGTGACCTCGCTTGAGTTCGTCCGGTTCGTAAATCTCAAAGATTGATTTGCGAGATGTTTTCTTAGATCGCGCCTTTTTCTCCTTGCGCCTTCTTTCTTCACCACCCTCTTCGTCAATGTACTCATCCTCCTCCTCTTCTTCACTCTCTTCCCCGTATTCATCATACTTATCAAATTCTTCGTAATCAAAGTCCACGCCAAAAATGTCTTGGGCTTCTTGCAGTGCCCTATGAAATAATATTTTATTACACATTTGTGAAATAATAGTATCAAAATAATTACGCGTCGGTGAATATAGGCTTCCTCTTCTTTTTCTTGGTGGCTATGGGCCTGCCCTCGTCATCCACAATGAAATCGTCTGGATCATCGGAATACTCGCCCTCGTCCTCCTCGTCTTCATCCATGGCTTCGGCCTCAGAACGCTGAGTAGGCTCACCTTCCTCTTCATGATCGGAGCCACCCTCAAAAAGTTCAGTGGCAATCGCCTCCCTGGCATCACCAACTCCCACACCAGCATCATCGTCATCGGACTCTCCATCATCGATTCTTCGCAATCGTTTGAAGTGTTTCTAAAATTTGCACACAAATTAGTTTATTATAGTAATCGTATTTTCGTATATCACCCACCTTTCTGTCAACTTTGACACCCAAGTTGGCCTCAAGTAGGTCGTAATCATCTTCATCCAAGCCATCATCAAGCTCATCCTCATCGTCCGACTTTTTCCTCTTCCGATTTTGACCCTCTTCATCTGACCCGTCCGAATCATCTTCTTCAATTGGGTTGTCATCGATTAAGTCTTTCAGTTCTTCTCTCATTCGCTCCTCATCCTCTGTAAATTAAAAAATATTTTATTTCTTTGATTAACCGATATAAAAGTTGCTATCTATCGGAAAACAAACCATCATCCTCGTCTTCATCGTCACTCTGGATGGCCTTTATTTTCTTTAACTTTTTCTTTTCCTTGTCAGTCAGCTCTTGTTCTTCCTGTTAACAAGAATTTAAGTAATGAAATATTATATGATTGACTGTTATAACAAATTTTTAAAGCTCCTTAAAAGCATCAGATAATCTAGCACGATTGTAAACAAGGTCCTTGCGGACGAAAATAAAAATTATTTTACACACCTCGCTCTCCTCGGCCTCCGAATCGATGAAGTCTGCCATTCTGGATGAAGGCTGCTGTTTAGCTTAGAGAAGCGAAAAATCTGGGAAAAGTAGGCAAACACGTAATTTAAGAGGAGAAATGCAACATTCGAAGAAAGAAAAGTCGAGAATTTGCAGATTGACTTTGAAATCGGGTTTCGCCTAATTCGCCTCCCCAGAAAAGGTATTGATTGAAAAAAATTGGAACTTATGAGTGAATTTAAAATTTAGGTGCTTAAAATTTTGAATTTTTAAAAACTTGCAATGAATAAATCGTGAAACAAATTATTTTCAGCGAAATTTGTCCAAAAATGGCGGAGCATCTCTGCTTCAAGTTCTCGCTTTTTTTTCTCCTTCTTAGTCGATTTTCATTTGATAAAAACTCACCGATTCCGTCGCCGACGAGGATTGGCGGAGAAAAAAGCCTAAGGAAGGATTTTCGACAAAAGAATCTTCTTTCAGCCGAAAATCAAGGGTGTGTTTTGAAGATAAAAAGGGAACCGACCTGGAAGATCGGTTCACGGACAAGCACACACACGCACGGCGGCGGCGGACAGACTTGCCATAAAAACACGCATTGCATGCCATCTGGTGGCGGGCATTGACCTAATAAATGCACCGGCCTTGGTCCTCTTGGCTGCAAGTTTGAAATTGGGGTTATGAGAGTTCAGGAGGAAACTATTTTTGTTCTTTGTATTTTATTATCTTTAAAAAAATTCATCTTGCTAAATGCTTTGTTTTCGTTTCATTTTTGACTGGAAAAACACAACATTTATTTAAATATTTAAGCAAGTTTATTTCTTAATAATGCGTTAAGACATGAAAATCATTCCAATCATTTTTACAGCGCTAAATTGTAGTCTTAAAGTTGGAGTAAAAACTCAGCAGGTTGGATTAAAAAAAATTGCTCAGTTTAAAATGACAAGACATGCAGAAGTTCTTTGCACAACTTCCCAGCGTTCACAAATTGATCGAGTTATGTCAATAATTTCTGTGTTCATATTAAGTCGTTAGTACATTTTCGGATAATAAATACAAAACTTAGACCCTATCAAATTATTGAGACACCACAAAGAGTGGCGAATTTGAGTTTTGAGTGTTGATAAATTTAAGTTTGGTGCTTTTATCCAAGACTTTCAACAGCGACTGTGCTGATGCCCTTTCCGCCCTTGTTGATGGTCGTCTTGAACTGTTCTGGCACAGCATACTCAACCTTAAAAGAAGACCATAAGTTAATAATTCCAAAAATTAAATATTAAATTACAAATTCGCCCGATTGGTCAGGAAGCAAGATGTTCATTTCTGAAGATTTTGACGAGACGATCTCGACGTGGTGCGACTGCTCGTTCAGGTACATTTGGCAGCCATCGGTCTTGTCTACCGAAACGGTAGGCACAGTTCCCAAAACCTAAGAAGATAATCAAAATATATAAAATTTACTTTGGTGTTTTATTTTAAAAATATTACCTGCATCTGCACCGACTGGCAATTGACAAACTCTGCAGACGCAACGAGCGAGTCAACAACGATTGCGGACTTTTTGCATGAATCCATCACCACTGAGTTGAGCTTTCCCTTGATGGTGACCACACAATCTTCGCACTTAAATATGTACACGACATTGTTCATCTCAACCTGGTCAATCACCAGATCCTTGCGACCTTTGAAGTATTCCTAGAATAGTGACACAATTTAAAAAAAGAATCTAACAAGGAATTTTTTAATCACTCACCACAACCCATTTCTTTCCCTCCTTGGCCATGTTTGGCGGCTTTGCAATAGGAGTGACCTTGGCAGCAGGGGAGGCGTTCGATGCGGGGGCCTTGAAAGGTGCTGGTCCGGACCGCAGGTTAGGGTTCTTGTGGGTCTGCATATCAGAAGTCACCTTCTTCAGTCCTAAAAATGTATTAAAATTTATCTTAACATCGGATTCAAACCTTGAGGGGTAAAATTAATTACCACTGGTGATTCCCTCGCCCTTGTTAATCTCAGCAAAGAGGGCCGATCGGTCGTTGGGGTCGTCTCCATTCGAGACATTCAGTTGACTCATGTCCAGGACGGGAGGTGGTGGCGGACAACCTGGAGGGGGTGGAGGGGGAGCCCCAGCTGATTTGAAAAAAAAAATAGAAATTTTGTTAGTTTTTTTAGTACGAGAGTTGGATTCACGCACCAGTTGCTTGTTGCTTGCCAGCCCAAACAAGTCCGGTGGTGTGGTGCTGCTTGATGAACTTCTGCAGCTCCGTCAAGGTCTGCACCCAGCCTTGCACCCAATCAACATGCACTTTGTCCCTAAAAAAATTAACAAATTAAAAAAATAATAATACTGAGATGATGTGGCAAAATTTTTGAAATTTATAATTAAAAAAGAAATATTAAAAAAAAAACATACTTCTCCTTCCACTCCTTGAGGACCCTGTTGGTATAGAACTGGCCGGCGTCATTCATCTCCTTCACGTAGGGACCAGGAGTGGGCGACTATGTCAGATTTAGATTTATAATAAATAGTTTTAATGAAATTCTACAAAAAACCTACCACAGCAACCCATCCCAGAGCAGGGATGCTCTCAGAAATTGCGCTCAGGTGGTTGAACAACTTGGAGGCGCGGTTTTTCTCCCGGAATTGCTGAATCTCCTGGATCTTTTGAGACGTCGGCTGCAAAAAGTTCTGCAGCTGAGCCGCAGCTGGAGCGGCACTCGTGCTTGCCATCTCCAGGTATGACCTCTGCACTCTAAAAGGGAAAAATCAATGATGATAAAATTAAAAAAATTATTATTAATAAGCTATTAACTGGAAAATAATTTAAATATCTTGAAGGAAATTTAAATTAAATGTTAAATTGAGTAAAATAATTTAAACCAAGATCAATTAATGTACTTACGCAAAAGCTTGGCGCACAACGTCGGCATGGGTGGCGACATCCCCGCCGATTTTGGTCGAGGCGGCCAAGTAGGTGGCCAGCGGCCCCTGAAGAATATCGTCAAACGCCTGAAGTGAAGCACTCATTGCGACAATTCCACCTGCAAAAATTAAATTAAAATTTTTAAACATTGATAATCAAATCACAAATTTTAAAACAATCCAAAATCCGAGGGAGAGGAGAATAAAATTGTGGATCAAACATTTGCAGGTTTCTCGCGTTTCAGGGTCATTCTAGGTCAAAGGTCACACCGAGCACAAGGTCAAATCTTACTGGCAGGTGCTGCGGGCGCTGAGGGGGCAACGGTGCCCGGGGGCAGCAGAGACTCGAGGCGGGTGGCGACCGCCTCCAGGCGTCCGACCAACGCCTCCAGAACATCAGCCATTGGCCAACAGAAAGAAAACTGAACTCGAAAATAAAAGTAACACTAATTTGAGATTGGAGTCTGGACAGTGTTTTGAGATCAAATTGTCGGACGGACACGCGCGTCTTAAAAGCGTTTGACGCGGAAAGGTTCCCCGCAGAGAGTAATTGCCAGCGACGAATTTAGCCTCTCGGCCGCTGGAGTTAAAATTTTTTTTCCAGCCTGCCACACCGGTTTTCAGCTCGCGAACGGCCGTCGAGGAAGTGGAAGCGAGCAAAATGCAAACTGCATCTTCCAACTGTGCATCTGATTTTTATTATTAAATTTTCATTTCGAACTCAGCGGTTGCTCTTTTGGACGGTTGCCAAGTGTGCAATCTCTGGAGTGGGACCGCGTCCAAAGTGATGTCACGTTAAATTTTATTCTAAAATTACTTCACAGAATTAAAAATTAATGAGCTCTTAGGAAGGCCTATTCATTACAATAAATTGAAACAAAAATTGTAGAGTAAATTTATAAAAGATAAAATTCCAAATTAGTAACAAAAAATTAAAAAGTTCATTCCATAAACTTTTTTCATTTAACATTATAGATAATATAGTTTTCAATATAAAAATTTTTACAGTAACATTAATTAACTTTTAACATTCATAATTTTTCAAGCAAACTTAATCGGCCTGACTTTTCAGAGACTGGGATGTCTGGGATAATGGTATGTGAAGCGGATTATTTACATTTCGTAAAAATAAATATATTGAATAGGAAATTATCATGTGAATATAATAAACTTGAATTTAATTAATAAATTTAAAACGTTTTCCAATGAAGAAGGCAACGTAAATTGATAAAAAATAAATTTAAGTACATGATGGTGTTTTATTTCCCGCTGTATGATAGAAGCCATATGATAGAAGCCATACAAACCGCGCTATTCACTACAGATTGTCAGCGGCACTTCAAATTATTATTGTTGTTTATTCATCCAATCGTTTCAACCCCACAATATTTTAGTCAATTTTAATAGCAAAATAAAAAAACATTGATTTTTAACATTTTTCATAATATTGCAAATGGTATGATTGTGTTATGATCGGGCGTTTTAGCAAACATCTGCTAGTTGTAACCCTTTTTGCAATTTTAAATTTCAATTTTTTCGTATCGTCTGAGAAACATAACTAATAATAATAGCAATATTAGTATTGTCTTCCTAGTAGAGTTGAACATAAGTAATTTGATATATATAAGAAACAAAAAGTGAAAAAATTAGTTAAAAATTATTGATTATTTTACCAAATTTGGTATTCATTTATGAAAACTTTGCTTCATAAAAGCAAGTATGAGTTTTGCTATTTGTTGTTTTTTTTTTTTTTATATATATAATTTTCTTGCTGGAACTTTTAATTTATTTTCAGCGCTTCTAAGTTGTAAGTTTGTTTTTTATATATATTTTTCATTTTAAATTGTAAATATTTTACATCAACCTTCAACTTATTTGATGCACTAAATCAAATATATGTATTTAATTGTGAAGAATGCACTATAAAAGTGTCAACAATGTTTTGTAATTTGATAAAGCCGTCAACTTTGACGGGGTGAGTGTGCCACGCCCAAACGGGAAAAAGCCGGTTCGGATAATCAGCGAGCGGAAATTCTTGCACAACAAACCACAGCCGCGATAAACGGCGGCGCGATAAGCCGAACTAAAACTTCCTCCTTATCTCTTTCTCACCTTCCCTGAAGAAGCGGAGGCGGCTTTCGCGGAGGCGGTCGCGCGCCCCCGGCGACGGCTCTTCCGCCTCCGCGCCGTTTTCAACCTGCTTGGCCGGCGACGAGGCCTCCGGAGGCGGCGGCGAGGGCGCTTTTTTCTTCGGGGACGGTTCCGCCGGCGGGGGCGGCTCTTCTGCCGGGGGCTCCGGGGAGTCGGGGGCCTTCTTGGGGCGGCAGCACAACATCGCCTGCCCCCACGTGTGACGCCCCCGAGACTTGGCGCTTTTCACCGGTGCCTCCCGAAGAAGAACCTACCGGTTGCCTAGGCAACCGTGCCCGGCCATCCTTTCCTCAAATTTGAATATTTTTGCAGAGAAATTTTTCGAATAATCGACAAATAATAAAAATCGAGGAAGGTTTTTTCTTGAGGAACTTTTGACTCCGAATGTCAGAAAGTTTGATGAGACTGAGGAGATGTGGAATCTGGCGCTGGGCCCTGCGGTGAGTTTAACGGTAAAAACTCCCGCAATACCGGATGTGTGTCTGCTGCTGGCTCAGTGATTTCCAAGTTTATTTTTGCATTTCACATACATTTTTCGATGGACCAGTGCACAACACGTATGCAATGCACACACACCAAAGAGAGACGCCAGACGGCGATCGGCAACATCAAAGTTGGCGCAAAGTTAAAAGGAAAAAATACACGGACAATAAAATGCATGAGCATGTCCAGTCCATTCCATTATATATGTATAAAGATTATAAAGAACAATTGAAATGAAGTTATAAAGTGTGAAAAAAAAAATGAATAATTGACAAACGTGGAATATATTAAATAAACAAAAAGTTACTTTTTCATAATTATAAATTTTTGCAAATTTTAATTAGGTTTACCAAATTTTACAAAATTGCTATTCAGTGCTTCAATCAAACATAGTTTTTTCCTTAATTGGTTTTGGCAATCAATGAGAAAATGATTTTAAAAACACTCTTGAGAAGGCTATTAATAAAAAAAAATTGAAAATAAAAAGAAATTCAAGAACTGCTAGATTTCAACATTATTTTCTTATATACTTTACATAACTTTAAAAGAAATATTTGTAAATTAATTTTCAAATCAGATTATTTAATAAGTTGTCATAAATTATAACAACTTAAATATCACTCTTTTAAAAATTTTACATAGAATATTCCACGATAAGTACGGCAGCGAAAGATAAGTTTGTATATATAGCTTGAGATAATTCTCTTATTTCATTAAAACAATTTCATTAATTTTTATCATTCATTCGTTGAAATTATAATGGAGTATATAATTTTTTTTAAATGGTTCGACTTTTCAGTTTTCCTTATTTAAAATAGACAAATTTTTTAATTATAATGCAAGAGGCTGAATATAATTGAATAACTGGAATTAATGGCTAATCAGGTTTGAGTTTCAGTGATATTCTCAAAATTAGGTGGCCCGGTGCCAAATTTGAGCTCTGCTGAATTTTAAATCGGGCTGCATGGTCCAGTTCTTATTCTTTGCAACACTATTTTGAGATTTAATTTTTTTCCAAGCCCTGCCCTATTATGCCTTTGCAAACAGAGTTCATTTGTGTAGATTATCAATTAAAAATGAAATATTGCATCTTTGCAGAAAATGAGATGACGAAGCAGAGAGAATAATACATAATTAAAAGACAGAAGGAAACACAATTGGAGAGATAATGCAGCGGATCGAGCTCGAATGATTCACCGGCGGCCTCGGTCAAAAACAAATGGGTGTGCCGGCTTGGGTCTTTATAGCGGAATTGCGGCGCCGAATTCGCGAATTGTGTGGCAATTTATACATAATTCGGTACTGGACATCGAAAATTTTAGTGTGCGACTCCCGAGAGTCGGTCCCATTGAGAAAATTGAGCGAAAATTACGACAAAACTCACCTCTCAACACGGAAGATGAACTTTTTCAGTCAAGTGACAGCTGAATTACTCGGCACTGTTGCCAACCAAACAAAAGCCAAATAATATAACTTGAACGTGCGTGAAAACTCTGGAATATAATTTAATTACATCTTTCACTGCATTTTTATAAAACAGAACAGACTGAGTGTGTATGAAGAAATTATAATTATTTTAGACTTAATCATGAATCATGTATCATGGAATCAAAATACAGTTGAGATTAATATAGAGAAAATTATAATTTATAATATTTCTTTTTCATCAAATTTAATACAAATCCTGACTTTAATATTGAACAAATAGACAACTGCTTTGCAGGGGTGAGTGTTACGAACAATTAAGCATTAATTTAATAATTACTTTCATTAAACAATCAAGCTGTGTGCCACGAAATTAGTAAAATCACTCGTTCCTTTGGTCTTCTTGTGGTGGCTGTGGTTGCTGCTGCTGGTTGCCCCAGTTGAAGCCGCCAGGTCGTTCTTCAGGCAAGGGTGCGTAGTCGGCGTCCTCCGGATGAGGGTCCAGCAGAACTTTGAGCAGATGCGGCGTTCGCAAAACCCTGAATCCACCCTCCTAATTAAATATTAGAAAATTTAAATAAAGTTTGCTTCAATTAAATTTTTTAATCCACCTGCTGTGGGAAGACATCCTCGAGAAAGTAATAGAGGTGGCCGACGGCCATTCCGATGAGGTCGACAGAAAAGGCATTGCCCAACAAGACTGAAAAGCCCAACAGCACCCATGGCAAATACGGAGCCTAAAAATGGTCAAATAATTATTCATGGCATTGAAATTATTAAAAAAAATAATTACATGGAAGTTGAGTAGTCCAAAGAAATTCATTTGAACGTAGGGGTTTCGTCTCGACCAAACATAAACCAGCATGATTGTGAACGCCTGGCCCAAGAAGAGCAAGTTTACGAAAAATGCACAGCACTGAATGTCACAGTCAAGGAAATTGCATACAAAATTCTAAAGATTAAATTTTTGTGGTTTTCAAAAGGATACAATCATCCAGAAGCCGCCGAAGAGGAACATGACGACAAAATCAGCAGTGCGTCCACGAAACGACCCTTCCTCAAGCATTCGGCAGTACCGGTATGTGAAAATCATGTTGAAGAAGAAATTGAAACCTATCGTTCCAAAGAACAAGAAAGTGGTCACCAGCCTCCATAACTGAAATGATAGAAAATAATTTTTTAAATATTTTTCCTTTTATTAAATGCTTTAAAATTTACCTGATACTGTTTGACTATGAGGATGGGGTTGAAGTAGAGCTGGAAAGGAGATACCAGATCCAATTGCTGAAAAACATAGATTATTAAAATCTGGAAATTTGGACAAAAAAAGAAAAAAATTCAAACAAAATCCTAAAATTAAACATTTCAGTACAATTTTAGAAAACAAAATAATTGTATTTTGTTAATAATATTTTTAATATTTCATTTAACTTTATTTCCTATGCGACCTAAACTAAAGAGAATTTTGATTTAAGTTCTGCATTATTTTTTGAATTGGTAATTTGTTTACAGAATACAGACAAACGCAGAAATTATAAATGCTTGTGCATTAATATTCAATTAAATAAAATTTTCGTCCTGGAATATAATTAACGAATATGAATCTAAGTTTGCAAAGTCAGTCTCTGCGAATAGAAATTTGCATGGGGTATAAAATAAAATATTGCAAAATTTATCTGGGAGAGCGTCCAGTCCAGAAAGGGGTGTGAATGTTGGGGCTAAAATCGGACACGTACAACAGCTATAGTTGTGACGACACAGGCAGTTGTGTACGCCCTGGTGACAGGGGGCATCTGCAGGTACTCCTGCCTGAACGTCTGGTACGCCATCTCGACCTCACATGCCCTCCCTGCGTCCGAAACCGTTCAAACTTCGACTCACTGTTGTCCGACTGACCAGCTGACAACGCCGATCTTTTCCACCAATCACAGCAGGTCTCACTTGTGGAGCGTTTCCATTGGCCGTTGTTTTGAAAAAGAGCGCCGACTCCACGTGCCAATTGATTTGCATTGACTTACTCCGCCACAATTATTCTGCATAATGATGTTTATTTGGATTTTGAATGTTCTAAATCGATAAATATTTCAAACATTTATTTATATCTTAAAAACATTGAGGTGCCAATTGTTTATGTTTTATTCAGATCAATTATAAAATCCGTAATTAGTCCAATTTTTCATTCTGATTCATCTTCGGGCTGACAGTAAAAATAATTCACTTCAATCGCATACATCCGCGAGTATCTTAAAGAGATGAGCTTGTATTTAGGCGCAGACTTGTGCGAGTAGAGGAAAGATGATTCCTTGTCCAGTGTGAAGTTATTATCCGACATTCTTGCGTCCAGTTTGATGTCAGTGGTGCACCACCTTTCAGTGTCTTTATCAGTTTGCGTCTCGTCGTAAAAGTTATCCTGAGTAGTGCCTAATAATTTTTAAAATTTTCACGTAATAAATTTAATTTGCATAAATTTTAAAACCGTTCAAGAAATCGTAGAGCTTCACAAATTCTTCATAATCGCTGGATACTGGCAAGTGCATTCCCATGTGACAACAAAACATGTACGCATCCGTATAATTCTATAAGTTTCAATTACACGTACCGAATATTTTCTAAAATATTACGAATCATTTACCCAAGCTTTGCTGTAATTTGATTTAAACCAAGTTTTCCCATCTATGCCCGTAACTGCACTTCCACCTTCCGGAGCTGATTTCAAACAATTTTAAAATTAAATTGAAAATTTGAGTGACCAAAGATTTTACTTGTGAGTGAATTTTTGAACATGTTTTTGTAGAGAGACTGAAGAAAAAATTTAAAAGTTAGAAATTTGATAATTTATAATATTAGATTTTCCCCCTTCAAATTTATTTAGAAAGAACAAAATTTAGAAGCCTACATTGATTTGACACCTTGTTGACATCTTAAGTTTGCATGTCCTAGGCTCTGCCATATCAACAGGTGCGGTATTCTGACAAATTTGAAATTTTATTTTGAATAAAATTTTTATTTTGCGTTCTCACATCTTCTGACGTGACTTCTTTATACACGACCATTTTTCCAAACACAACCGGCGCCTGCTCTTTTCCGCACTTATACATTCGGTACGCGCTCTCGCATTCGTCGTCCGGAACTAATTAAAAATCATTAAAGGCGCATTCAATTTTTTTTACTGGGAACTCGCTTGATTTGTTTTTGCACTCGTTGATCGCTTGATAACCCTTGTCCATGTCGCCCTTTTCATTGGACTTTTCCATCAGCCGCATCACGTTTCCTTCTTGTAGTACTCCATTAACGAGCTAAAAGTTGTATGAAAAAATTAAAGGTGAAAAAAAATGCTTTTTTCCACTAAAAATTTTTCACCATTCCCAGATTGTCTCCAATGCATTTCAAATAGCACTGAAATTTTTAGTAACGTTTAGTGATTTGCCAATATTAAAACATTTAAAAATAAAAATTTCATCGACCTTCATCTTATTGGTGTAGTTGCTAATATTGTCTAAACCTTCAACCTCAGCTGAAATTTTAAAATTTTAAATTGGTTAAAATTAGAAATTACTGGAAATTAAGTCCGATCAAAATGATTCCAAAATACTTTTGACGTTCCAAAATAAATCAAAATTTATTTCAGCTGCATTAATTTGTAATTTCTCAATGTTAAAATAGTTTCATCACCGTTTGTAAGACCAAACAGATCGACGCATTCCTTTTGCACGGTCTCGACAGTTGTACCAGATTGACGCACCTATTATACGCAGCTCATAGTTTTTTTTTTTAAATCTTTTATAAGAAATGCAAACCTCGCAGATGTATCTCTTCTTGGCGGGGCAAAGATCTGTTTGGAGTGTGGTGAGCTTGGCGTTGGAATTGGTCCTCACAGTGACGCAATCGCCTCTCTTCTGGTTCGGCTCGTCCGCTCCCCAGAGAACCTCGTGCTTGAGAAACGCCCTGTCCACGGAGCACCATCGGTAGCCGCCGTTGCAGTCCAAGTCCGTGCCAGAGGTCCAAAATTCACCTGTTGTGTCCGGATAATCTCTGGTGACTTTCGAAAGACACTTTCTTTTTGCGGCAGTTTTTATCGACAGGAGTTCCATTCCGAGAGCGCAACACCTATCGCGGGCTTCGTCGTACGTGTTCTTTTTTTTAACTTTAATTATTTAAAATTTTTTACTATAGAATTTTACAGTTTTGTTAGAAAACAGGAAATATCTTCCGCACTTTGAAACCCATCGGCCATACTTGTAGCGATCTAAAAAGTTTTTCATTCAAGTTCAGTTAAAATTATGTAATTCCGTTGTTGGATTTTTATTTATTTGCTAGGGTAAAAAAATTATTATTCTTACTTTCCAAAATCATCTCATTGTTTTTATTAAATTTGAATAGAGTTTCCTGCGGCATTTAGAATTTTAAGTATTTAATAGACATTCCTCTGCAATATAAAATTTAAATCTTACATTCCTTTTACACGAGCGGGTTGCATTGCACCGTGTTGTGCATTTTGATCTGTCGCCCTGAATAAAGGATTATATTTATTAAATATATATTCTATTTATTTAGATTTTCTTTCATTAAATATTTTCAGAGCAGCTCAAACCATTATTTTTTATTAAATAACAAATTAAAAAAATATCATACAAAAAGACCAATACAAATTTATTTAAATATTTATAGTTTGAGCAAAATGTCGACCGCGGTTTCCAATTTGATTGAGTTCTTTTTTCTTGTAACTCTTAAAAAAATATTTAAAAAATTAAAAAAAAAAATAGTTTTGAAATTTATCTATTATGAAAAGTTCAAATTTTTAAAATTAAAATTCCGAGAAAAATTAAAAATTGATTATCAATCATGAATTTTTGTGTATAAAAGATATTAATCGTTAGTTTGTAACTTTTTAATAATCACCGAACTTTAATATTTAATAATATCGTATGGAGAATAAATAAATAAACTTAAGTTGGGCGGCCCACGTACCAATAAGTCGTCCGGCGTTTTATCAATGGACTCGCAGGCCAAGTAAATCGACGAGTTGCTGTCGGTCGCCATCGTGATGTTGCACAAGTAATTGGTCAGGGTGATGCTTCCACCCACACTCGTGGACATGGACACGCAGTTATTGTCGCTCTTGTCCTTTTCCTTGGACAATTCTGTCACCAAATTTTCGTCCATTGGATCGGGACTGTCTTTGGTGCACCAGGACCACATGTTGTTCAGTTCGTGCTTGAAGCCACCGGTCCAGTATTTAGTTTCTTTGTTACCTTTTTATATTTCAGATGATTTTTTTTTCAACAACTTCTTTTGATTTCTATTATGGAATTTATACTTGCGTATTTTTCAAAACCTCGAGCGAATTCGGTCAGCTCATCTTGGCTCACGAAAATCATGGGTGTCATTCCTAAGGCGCAACAGGTCTTCCAATTTTCCTTCCAGTCTACCGCCTTTAAGTTATCGCACGGTAAAAATCGCGATTGTGGTATATTTCAAGCTTACGTTTTTGCCCAGCAAGTATGTTTTCCCACCAAAATCTAAAAACCTTCCGTACTGTTCAGGATCTGCAATTGCATTAATCATATTTTATTGAGTATTTTATATTATTTTATTTAGTTCTTCACTTCGGATTTTTCCGGCTCCAGTTATAAAGGTTGACTGTTAAAATAAAAATTACTACTGTTTTATAAGAGAAAACATATTTACATTTGGAAAGCACGAGTCGTAACAGTCGGTTCCCTGACAAAAAATAATAATAAGTATTTATTTTCACTATACAAATGACGCAATGGTGATTCCTAAAACGTCATACCGATTCAATATCCGGAGCATCCTCTGCAAGTTTTCAGTTTTATTATTTTCGAGCCAACTTGCATCATCATAATTGAAAAATAAAAATTTAAAAAAAAAAACTTATATTTTATTTGCAAGTAATTAAAAGAAATATAAGACAATAGCGGACAATAGTAAATTTGAACGTTATTTTAATCGCTCTTGTTAATTTTTAGTGAGCGATAAATTAGGCAACTAGCTTGACACTAAAGACGCGCGTGTTGCATCACATAGCGTTTAATGATTCAATTCAAGTTTAATTTAAAAATATTAAATATTATTATAAAATTGGGAAATAATCATGCTTTCACGATTTTTTAAATAATTGAACACCTTTTGAATTTAGTGAAGTTATTTTATATTAATAATGCTGTTATAAAATTTGTGTGTGTGTGTGTCTATTTTGTTTTTGTAGAAAATTTTGTATAGAGTTTAAGTGTAATTTCAGTTGTTATTATATTTGATGAAAAATACTTGCCATCAAAAACTGTGGTCAGAGCAAAATTTGATTTGCTAAACGCCTTTAAAATTCCTTTAGTGGTTGACTTTTTGGTGGTGGCCCTTCTTTTCTTGATCGTCGTGGAAGGCTTTTTGGTGGCTGCTTGTCTGCCCTTGGACAGATTTTGGGCGCTCTTCACCTTTGCATTGCTCGCCGCCCTCGCCGGCTTATTGGTTGGAACAGCAGCCTTTTTTGACTTCTGCTGCTGAGCATCGACGAGAGTAATAATCTGATTCCAAAATGCAAAATTTATTGTGGTAAATAAGGCGCAAACTTCAAATGTTTGATAAATTGAACAATATGTGGCCATTTTCCGCGTACTCGATGATTTTCCCTTAATTTATTATTGCATGGTATATGTATTAGAAATTGTTTTAGTTTCAAAGTTTCATTCTTGATGTAACATCAGGCTCATTCTCTTTATTCTATTCTTTATTTAATAAAAGAAAATAAAGCAATAATAACGGGTTTTGTCAGAGTTCCGCATGAAATCATGCATCGCGCATCACAAAAATCAGATCAAATTTGGATTGTTGACGTAAATTTTTACATAATTAAACAAGAATATCTTATTTTCTTCCAAATTATTAACAACGTCTTGGATTAAGAATTTAAAATTTACATAAAATAAAATAATCTCTGTTCTCTGTCCATGTAAATTATAACAATATGGTTTTTGGTTAGTACCAATTACAAATCATTCAAAATTTAATATCAAAAGAGAAAATTCAACAAAGAAAACATCCTTTTTCCGTTAATTAAAAAATTTCCCGTATTTTCAAACTTGCCACAATTATTAGAAGGGCGCAGAAGATGATCAAGCTGACGTTCCGCATGTCTTTTTGCAGAATTCGTCCAGCGCTTCTCGCACTCTGAAACGTCCAAACTGCCGATAAACGGAAACGGAAAACAAAAGCAAACGGATGCAAAACAACAGGCTTTTGAATTTCATCGTGTGCCCGGTATCTGTGTTCTATCGAAAACCGTGCTTTTTCATTTTAATTAAAATTTGAATACGTCATAAGGCTTTGTAGAGGAGAACAGCGTGGAAACTGTTAATTAAATTTTTACTCAGTCGTAGAAAATTATTGTTGTAAACGTTCAGTTTGATTCAAAAGTTCTTGCAAATGCAACAAAAAAATCAATTTTTTTCTACGATATCGACTTAATTAAAACAAAACTCGTTTATTTGTGTGCTGGAGCGCATTTTCCAAAAAATTTTAAGCAGATATTAATTTTTAGTGCGATTTTTAAAGAGGATTTGTGTGAATTTCGGTGAAAAAGAATAATGGCGGTTGGACATTTTCCCCGAAATCCTACATTTCCGTCATCAGTGTGAGGCGAGCGTTAAAGGAAATACAGCTTTTGTATATTTGAATGATTTTTTAGGGTCAGGCCAAGGCAAAGTGTTGTCGGCTTGTACCCTTTTTTATTAGTGGCGCAGACGCAGAAGGCGTATTTATTTTTTATTTTCAGTTTCATTTTTAAAAAAAAATCAAGCATCAATATAAAATTTGTATTTTAATAAACTGAAACATTTTCAATAGGAATTATTTTATTTTAACTGGTTTGTATAATCAAAAGTTATAAGAGCGATTTCAAACAATTTTGCTATCTCCTTCAAAAACAATGCCTTCCCAAAGAGAGCTTCGAATTCCATAAAAATGCTAATAAATTATTAAAATTTTGGTTTTTTGCACACGCAACATTGACAGTCCAAAAAATATTATTTATTAATAATTTTTTAAGAAAAAACTTCCTAATGTAAAAGTTGCATTATTATTTCAAATTAAATTATAATGTTTTGGAGATATTTCCCGTTCTGTTTGAAGACAAGGAAAATTTAATGGTTGCGTGGAGGATAAAATTGCCGCAGGTGTGTGCTAAAATAAGACAAGTTTAATATTTCATCTGAAGTGAAAAATGAAGGTCCAGAAATAAAATTTAAAATTTAATTTTTGGTCCATGGTTAGTTTCAAGAAGTTTGTTTTTATGGTTCAGACTGAGAGCAACTTTGCCCCATACATGAATGCCAAAATGAAAAATAAAAATTTAAAATAAGAGAGAAAGAGAATTTATTAATATTTATTTGTTAATGTTTCTATGGTTTATAGTTTATATTATTAATATTCATTACTTTTCAAAATGTTAAAAAAAATTTACAGCGAAAAAAGGTAATAATTTTTGTAATTTGGTATGTACATATTGTTCAATTATTATTGTTGGATGAAAATAAGGCACTGTAATTCTAGTATTTTAATATTTTTCTAAGACTTAAGAAATCAAAAATATCTCATCCGCCGCAATGAGTCTTAGTTGATTTAATGTTAATTTTTTTGTTATTTTCAATCATCTTAAAAAATTAATATTTAAACAAATTTTTATACAGACAGACAAAAAGAAGTAATTCCTTTTTTCTAACAAAATTATCATGTAAAAATTAAATCAATAACACCGCGCAGTAAAATACTTGATGTGTACCAATGTGTGCGATGTGTAATTATATCCATTTTCCATAATTATGTATGTACGATAAAACTGTGCATGCATAATGCGCCCATCCGAAGTTTGGAACTTTTAAACTTTACCGCCACTCCGTTCTGCAAGGCAGCGAGCGTCGACTCCACCTGGCGTGACTGGCGACTTCGTAAACGTAAACTGCAAACATGGAGGAGATGAGTGTTACAATTTCGGAAAGGGTGAGTAGATTTTTGCCAATATTTTACTCTAAGCTTCTCATTTCTCAAATTTATGGCAACTAAACTATTATTTCGGAAATTTACTGAGAGAAATTCAATTTAATTTTGAATTTTATTCTATATTTCATGTGATTTTGTCGATCGGAAAACTGGGCCATTGAGATGTTTCGAATTTTGTTTATATTCGATTTTGAATTCATTTTGTTTAATATTTCAGGAGGATAACAGTCAGGACTTCAAACCAACACCCCTGACCACCTTGACCTCTTACGATGGCTTAGACAACGAGGACCTCTACACAAAGTACAAGGTATGAAATTTATACGGAAAATCGAAATTTAAAAACAAAATTCATTCTGGAACTTTTGTTTTAGAAACTGCAAATGCAGCTTGAGTTCCTGGCCGTGCAGGAGGAATACATCAAGGACGAGCAGAGGAATTTGAAGAACGAGTACTTGCACGCCCAGGAGGAGGTGAAGCGAATCCAGAGTGTCCCTCTGGTTATTGGACAGTTCTTGGAGGCCGTTGACCAGAACACGGGCATCGTCGGCAGCACAACTGGTGCGGTTTCAGCCAATTTCCAAAGCGATTCACTTATTAATTGAATTTATGGCAGGCTCAAATTACTATGTGCGGATATTGTCCACCATCGACAGGGAACTTCTGAAGCCTTCGGCCAGCGTTGCCCTCCACAAGCACAGCAATGCCCTTGTTGACGTTCTTCCCCCTGAAGCCGATTCCTCCATTTCCATGTTGGGAGCAGGTAAAATTATATAAGGATTCTTACATTTTTAATTTAAGTTTGAGACTGTCTGATAATGTGGTACAACATTTCGTTAGTAAATTTCTACCTCAAAAATTATGGAAGCACCTCACTTTGCACAAGAATTAATTGCCCGAATGTCTCTGCTTCTAAGTAAAACGCTAAAATGTCCTGAATTTGCAAACTAGCAATTTGCCTGAATCGTTAACAAGAATCTTAGAGAAATTCGCAGTATTTCTGCAATGTTTTTTTTTTCACGAATTCCGCAAATGAATGGAATTGTGAACCAGGTTAAAAAGCGGTCAGTAGCACAGCAGTCGCAGCATGACTTACATATATGTGCAGGGACAGGCTTTCCTATCCCACTGGGGTGAAGAAGGTTGGTCAAAGCATTTAAAAAAATTAAGCACATAATGTTCATCCACAACTAGAGATTTGGACAAATTCATTTGGCCAAAGCGTTCAGGCAATCATAGTATTTTGGGGCCATACGAGAGTTGCTAAATTCTACAGTTATTAAAATCTACAATTTACTTACATTAGTGGTTTTAGTAACTAATCTAAATTCTATTAATTTGAGTTAATAATTTTATTTTTACGTTATACGAAGCAAATTTTAAATCAAAAAGTGAGAACTTGTGCCACTATTCTTAACTCATCATTTTTTTTTCAAATTATGATTTAATTGTTTTTAAATTTCCTAAAAATAGCTTAATTTTCTCAATATGTCTCCGTTTGAAAAGAAGATTTTGTTTTGAATTCACGGTTAATAAAAGAAATTGTTCACTTTTTTAGACGAGAAGCCCGACCTTACTTATGCAGACATCGGTGGAATGGACATGCAGAAGCAGGAAATCCGAGAGGCGGTCGAACTGCCCCTGACCCACTTTGAACTGTACAAGCAGATTGGCATCGACCCTCCCCGAGGTGTCCTCATGTACGGCCCTCCCGGCTGCGGCAAAACCATGTTGGCCAAGGCTGTTGCCCACCACACTACTGGTAATGTAAAGCAAACTGAAATTGAAACAAACTTTGACTCTCTCTTGAACAGCTGCCTTCATTCGAGTGGTCGGCTCGGAGTTTGTGCAAAAGTACTTGGGTGAAGGACCTCGAATGGTGCGAGACGTCTTCAGATTAGCAAAGGAAAACTCCCCAGCCATCATTTTCATTGATGAAATTGACGCCATCGCCACAAAGAGATTCGACGCCCAGACTGGTGCCGACAGGGAGGTGCAGCGAATTCTTCTTGAGCTGCTCAACCAGATGGACGGCTTCGACCAAACCACCAACGTCAAGGTAAAAATTATGCTCCATTTTGCTGATTTTTTAAATTTGTAAATAATTCAAAACATGGATCTCAAGAATGAATGAAATCTGAATTATTTTGATAATTTCATCAGTCTTCTCAATAAATTTTAATAATGATTTCAAATAAAGTCACTGAATGATTATTTTTTGAACATTTCAATTGGAATAATCTTATATAGTTTTTATTTTCAAATCCGAATTTCTGCAGGTCATCATGGCCACCAACCGTGCTGACACCCTTGACCCTGCCCTTCTCCGTCCAGGCCGTCTGGACAGGAAAATTGAATTCCCATTGCCGGACAGACGGCAGAAGAGACTCATCTTCACCACCATCACAGGCAAGATGAACTTGAGTGATGAGGTCGACCTTGAGGACTACGTTGCCCGGCCGGACCACATTTCCGGAGCCGACATCAATGCAATTTGTCAAGAGGTGTGTTTGTGACAAATTATTATAACATCGTTACTTACTTTCTCTTTCGATTCAGGCTGGAATGCATGCAGTGAGAGAAAACCGATACATTGTCTTGCCCAAGGACTTTGAAAAGGGCTACAAGAACAACATCAAGAAGGATGAGTCTGAACATGAGTTCTACAAGTAAATGCTTAAGAATTATTTGCGTATTTGTCTTCATAAATAAATTAAATAACTGAAAATGTTTATTTATCCATTGCTATTTTGTTTTCAATAAGTCGTCCTTGAAATTATTAGATACCCCAAAAATGATATAAATTAAGATTTTGAATTTTAAGAGATAACTGAGCCTGTTTTTGTGCAGATCTAGAGGTTTTGATAAATCGCTCAAAATTTTGGTCAATTTGTCACGACACATTTCATATGCGGTTTCATGGTTATCATTTATCACTGCACCAACCAGTGGACAGGGTAAATTGCAAACATCTGTGTGACATGCCGATCATTAAGCTGAGCAAATCCATTAATTGCAAACCAGAAACCACCTGCGAAAGAGAGTGGTTGCCATTTTGGTCCGTTTCATAAATCGTTTCCAATTACACAATAAGGACGATTTCAAATTTGGCAATGATAAATTATAATTTTATTCTCTATTCCTAGAGAAAAATGAAATTATTAAAAAAAAATTTTTCGTGCAAAATAACCAGAGGAATTGTTTATTTAAAGAAAACAAGTTTGATTTTTTTCCAATAATGGTTTATTGCAAATTGCATTATGTAATAAAAAGTATGTCAATGAAATTTTGACGCAAGCAAATTTTATATAGTGGCGCGCAGACAAATTTGGCTTCCAATACACATGCGTATAGTACATTATGTTGTATTATAGTAATTATTATTATTTATTTAGTAATTCAGCAGTCGTGTGGATATTATAGTTATGCACCTGCATTGTTTCTCTTTGAATTGTTTTTTTCTTCTTAATTATCGGTTATTATTGCATTGATCAAAATGCAGAAAACTGTATTTCTTGGTCTAATTCTACTTTTTACAGTGTGTATTTTTTTTATAACAAATTGACTTCTCCTGTAACACTTCCAAAAATTTTCAAATATAGCTTACGTTTTATTGCGTCTCTTATGTGTAATTAACGGTGAACAATTTTTAGAAAAGATATTCATGAGGAGTTGTTGCATTTTTAATTGCCGCACACTTAAACATTACATTATAGTTTTTATTAATTACCAATTGGAGAGAAATTTGAATTTTAAAATTTTCTACACCCTAATTAATTAGTTTGTTGCCGTATGTGTTCTGCTGCATTATTAATTTTAAATTTATACATTAAAAAAAAATGAATTTTTAACGCTTCTCGCTACCAACAATCTGGAATTGGAAAATCCACTCACTTTAATCAAGCAGTCTTTAATTGTGTAACATTCTTTCTTCAAATTGAGAGAAAAATCACAGAGCAGGCGCGCCTTTTTTTAATATCTCGTTACGCGTGTACAAATCAAGTACTGAGTTGTTGGTCAGGCGATCTTGGAACGAAAAGTAGTGTCAATTGACTTATTGTTGAATTCACCACACAGCTTTCATCGCGACGCGATTTACGGCAGGATGCACTCGGCGCCGACCCGCAGGGTCAGCAGGCCTTTTGGGCTTTGCTGCACGTGCGACTCCCACGATGCTTCGTGACAATTCTATACATTGAAATTTTAATGAAATAATGTAATCCAGATAAAACCTAGAAATCTCATGACTATAGCATTTTTTTTGCCAAAATATATATATTTAAAGATTATTTTTGCTGTTATTTAAAAAAAAATTGATTAATATTAGAAAAAAAAACAGAAACAACTAAGAAAAAATTTTAATTTTGGTATTTTGTAATAATGTATAAGTTAAATCTTTTGCATTTTAATTTATAATTATAATTAATAATTATGGTAAATTTTAAAGTGATTTTTTTAATTTTTTTTTAAATTGAAACTTAATTTTTGCTAAACTGAAGATTTTTTGTTATTTATATATTTAAATTTTTTTAAATTTAATAGAACTTTTGATACCTTTGAGCGTAGCGTATCGCCCTCGCCGTGTGTCCCCTGGCGCGCAAAGCGATCGCCGTTCCTATGATGGACTGGCGGTGGTGCGGAATGATGGACAGGATGGTCTGATAGTGGACCAGGCCCTTCCACTCGTGGCCTGCGAAACACAGATCAATACTCAGACTGCTGCTAGCGAGAGCAAAATGAAAATTTCACGTACCAATGACGTGCATCCATTTGGCGAACTCGACCATGTTGTCTGGGTTCTCGGGCTGCAACCGCATTATGTGCCGCAAAATGTTCTCCACGGCGTTAGAGTGGTGCTTGCTCGACTGCTGCTTCACCAGTTTGACGCACCGACGCAACATCTGCACTGCCTCCGCCGTACGATTTTCAAGCCTAATGACAAATAAAAAGAAATCAGGAAAATTCACTATTTTATAAGCTGAAAATTTTACATATTTTTACACTCGTCTAAATAAAGGAATTTATTCTTGGATGTAAATTTGAATAAATTTTCCCATATTTTTTTTTTTAACTTAGGAATCTTAGAAGAGAGAATGATATGCAAATTTTTTTACAGTATATTATAAAGATGATTTTTTTTATTACAAATATATAATATTAAATTATTCTATAATAAATTGTAAAAAATTATAAATAAAAATTCCTCAAAATTTTTATTTTTGAACCAAATAGCAAAAAAAAATTAAATATGTATTTAATTTATAATTTTAGATATCAAAAATTGGTTGAAAAGAAAATAAAAAATTTAAATAATAAATTATTAGTTTATTCTGTTAGTATTGAAATTATTGTAACATTATAAATTTCATTTAAAAAATGGCAAAACAATGTGGTTGAATTTTTAATTATGAAATATAAAAAATGCGCAACTTATTATTAAGAATAGAGAGTAATTATATCTATTATCTCTTATCTCTAATTATGAAATTTTTTTATAAGTTGGAATTTTGAACAAATCAAAAATTAATACTTGTTGTACTAATAAACTCCTTATTCAGAAAGTAAAATTAAATTTACTTTTTATTTTAAAAACGAAATTTAAACTTTATATCATCAAATTTTAGTTTTTTCTAACCTGTAAATTTGTCCCAAGTTGTAATGTGCGTGGACGTGGTCGGGCGAATGTTTGATGGCCTCCTGGAAGTGGACTTTGGCTTGCTCGGGAATGCTCATCAGAGTGCCCATGTTGTTGTGCGCGCTGGCGTACGCCGGCCAGAATCTGCGGAAGAAAAGCTCTTTGTTCTTAAGTCACGAACTGAGAGGATGGTGTAAAAAAAAAATCGATGGGATCATCAAGGGTGTACTTACCGAAGCGCTTGCTGATAATGGAAGACTGCCTCGTCGTACTGCTCTTTGTCCTTCAAAAGGTTGGCCAAGTTGTAGTGCATCTTGGCGTTGTGCGGCACAGTTTTCAACCCAGACCTTTTACACCCAAAACAAAAAATGAACATAATTTGGCGTTGCAAATTTAAATTTTTCGTACTTAATGAGGGCCTCCCTGGAGGTCCAGTCGTTGTTGCGAATGACCGTCCGCCCGCAAAAGATGATCAGCAACAAACACCCTCCACACATGAGCAGCCATCGGTGGCGCACCAACGAGCCCCACACCAGCTGCACCCCATACACCACTAATAGAAGGAAGCCAAGACTGAAATTTTCACAATTCAAATTTTGCATCTGGAAAATAAATTATACAATGGTTGATTGCAAACCTCGGAATGAAGAGAACTCTTTCGGCAACTACGAAGCCGACGGTGATGATGAGATTGGTTGCCGGCAAAAATGGCATCACCAGGAACAAACAGCCCAAAATGAGCGGTGTTTGCTTTTGTTGCTGCAAACATTAAATTTATTTTATTGCTTTTTCACATTTTTTTTCATCTAAAAAGACACTTAAATATTTATAACAAAAACTTTTGTTACATTTAAATTGTCAAATTTCTCATGAAACTAAAAATTATTTAATTAGAAAAAAGGATTTTTGCCTCGTTTTTTAGCATTTGAAATTTTTTATTATAAATTCAGCTAAAACTTTAAATAATTACAATATCTTTTATACAGGAAAGTTCAGAGAAATTTTCTTTAAATTGTAAATTTTTGAGATTTTTTTTATCGATTTGGATGATTTTAAGTTACCTCAAAGTCGCAGATACTTCTGTAGATGAGAGCCACACAAAATCCAAGGAGAATTATGGTTACGAGGTTCCTCGAGTCGGCCACTGAGGTGATCAGTGGCAAAGAACCCATCTGCCAATCGTGGCTCAAACTCCATGGGCACAAAATCAACCAACAGTTGAACGCCGCCAAGTAACAAAACGTCAGAAATCTGGAAAATGATAATAATTTTCAATCAATTATTTAAAAAAAAATTTTAATTAAGCAGACACATCATGATCTTCATTGACTGGAACAATAGCAAAGGGATGCTAATCCTTTCTAGGGACCATCAAAATTTCAATATCAAACTTATTCGCTTTTTTGTTTCTTTTTTAAGCATTATTAAGTTTATTGATATTGAGTGATTTTTATTGAAAAATTTAGGGATTCTGAAATATAAATAATAACTGTAAAAATGTGTAATAATTATATTTGCAAGTACCATGAAAAAATATAAATTAATTATCAGTTTTTATATAGCAATTGATTAATTAAGTATGAAAATAACTGGATTATATGTACCTGACTTGTCTGCTGGGATGGAACGCTGCGGGGTTATCCTGGATGGAAAAGCGCGGCCACGTTCCCTGCAAGAACGCGAGTCGGATGGCCAGCAAAAAGCACAGCTGTCAAAAAGACAAGGGAAATTTAGGAAAGAGTGGCGGAATGGGGTCAACAACAGAGCACAAAACTCACTGATATTAATATTCTAGCGGCCCGTCTGGCGAATTGAACAGTTTCTTTGTTCCACTGAAGGCAAAATATCGACCTGCAAAAGATGTGAATTTTTCATATGTCACTCTGCGCGCTAAATAATGCCGGTCTCATCAGCGCACTCGGCAGATCGTAGTAGAAAAAAAATGGTACCTTTTGACAAAGGGCCAGCTGCGGTACAGATCGTAGAGCAAATTCACCAGAATTACGGTGACACCGATTTCTTTCGACAACATGGCCAGCGCCCCAAAAAACACGCTCGTCCACAGACCCATGGTGGAACTTTGGCAATCTTCCAGTTCTGGCTTCCTGCAACGCGCGCGTTAAAAACAGAGTCAGTCAGTTATGCATACAAAGGCAAAGAGGCTCGCATGTAATACATCGTCGGCTACGCGGCCAAATGGCCGATCTGGTAAATACCCCTGTGGGGAAAATGGCTAGTAGCCACTTTCCCCGTTGGAGAAAATGGCAGATGAGCATTTCCGGACAAATTTTTTTTATTGTTCCAATGCATTCAGTGTAAAAATCTGCATCAGAAATAACCATAAAAGTATCAACTTTCTCGGTAGATGTCTCACTATCGCGAGTTCAGGGAGCAAAAGTAAGGCAGTGCCACGCCCCCTTACCAAGTTCCGCAGCAAGCAGGCAGCATTCCCGCTTGCTGAATAATGCCAAAATTGTTTTAAATGCAATAAATGTTAAAAATAATGAAAATATAAAAAATATAAAAATAAAATTTAATACATTTAATAAAATACTTAACATTAAGTAAGAAGTAAAATATCAGAATAAGCTGTAGTTTCGTCAATATTGTATTCCAAAGTGACAGCTTTTTCATGCATTTTGCATGATAATGCAAATAATTCTTTAAAATAGATATAATTTTAAAATTAAATAAATAGTAAAAAATAGATTTTTTTATTAAAATATTTGACATGCGACCAGAAGCTTTATGTTGTATCCGAGCTAGATTTTACTTCACTAATTATTGCAATTTATAGTAAGTATTAGTAAAACTATTCATGAGATTATAATTAGAAGTGACGCCGGGTCATGTGAAATAAGAAAAAAATGCTTTTAATGCCAAAATTGTTTACTATTGTGCAAATAAAAGAATAAAATTTATATTAATTTAAATAAAATAAAATAATAAAAATATTATAAAATACGATGAATTAAAATAAAATTATATTATAAAATATTATTTTTAAGTTAAATTGAACAAAGAAAAGCAGGAAATAATCGCATAAGTGGTTTAATTTCGATTGTATTGTACGTTTTACTCTTTCAGTGTGGAATAAATTCCCTTTAAATTTCTTACAACAGTTGTATATTAAGGTTTAAAAGAAAATTAAGTCTACCAAATTATCTGCAATAACATGCTGAACTTTGGTTCAAATTTTGAAATCTGAACATTAAAAATTGGAGCAGATAATCAGTTTTTTGCTTCTCCTGTAAAATTTAAAAAAAGGCTCATCTGCCATTTTCCCCAACGGGGAAAGTGGCTACTAGCCATTTTCCCCACAGGGGTATTTACCAGATCGGCCATTTGGCCGCGTAGCCGACGACATATAAATTTTCTTAATAGCATCATGCGAATTGTGCGAATAAAAGATTTCGGGTCGCGCCCGTTGCGGGATCACGGGGTTTAGGGAAATAATAATATCTCGCCGTGGCACAAAAGCCCGCATTTATTATCATGCAGCAGCGCGAGGGCGCCTGCGAAAGTGGCTCGTTATGCAACCGGCGCGACTCCACTGAAGAGCGCACGGCGTTTTGCTCGCCCCTCGGCGGAAAAACGACCGGTTTATGAAAATGAGGGGATAATTAAACAATCACTCTATTACGGGTCGGTGCGGAAAGGGGTCGAGAGGAGATTTTCAATTCAGTTTATTGCATTTAACAAATTAACTAGGGACATTTTGCAAATTAAAACGGTGAATCGGCAACATTTTGTGATGAAGAGAGAATAGAATCGTCAAGTTTGTTAAAAGCAATTATAAATTATATTTTACAACTATAAAATTGTTTTAATTTATTTCAAAAACTCATTTTGAGCAGAAAAACTAAGTTATTTATTCAAAAATGAATTTTTTTTATAATTTGGAATATTAACTTTAAGTTTTAATAGTTAATAGTCACTGACTATTTTAAACATGTTATTTTGTTTTTATTATTATTATTTTAGCATCAAATAATATTAAATTTATTTAATTTTTAGTTGAAATCAATGAAATGCGCATTGAAGGCATAAAATTAAATTCTAAGGCTGAATATAGTCATCAAATACATATTAAAATAATTAACATTTTGGCCTCACGCGATGTTTTACAACGAGGAAATTTCCCAAACCGAAGTTATTACCCATTATCTTTCATTAGTACCGCCTGTAAAAATAGATCATATCATAATACTTTCAGTTTATCTGTTTTCCTCATAAAATGTTCTTTTCAACCATCAGAATGAGAATGATCTAAAAAATTTAATATCAAGAATTTTAATTCCCAAAAGATTTAAAAGAAAAATAAACTTAAACTTTAAAGACGCATCATACATTGTCTAACGCTCAACTCGTCGATTAAAAAGTCAAGAAAATTCTAACCACCGAAATCTAATTTGCACCCAGCAATTCGGTAATCTCAGCCTTTAACGACATCTTTGAACTTTTTATTTTTATCGCAAAAGACAGTATCGTCTTAGGACGGGGCGGAAGCAACGATTTATCGACTTTTCACTCAATAAAAAGTTTCAAAAATTGGAATTGTTTCCACCCCAGCTCTCCCGAATCCCTTCTTTGCACGACAAACTTTTCTTTTTTGAGAACTTTTAGGGTCCCGCGCGTATCGACCTTTCCGCTGCGGAAAGGACGAGCTTACGCGATATAATAAAAATAATAATAGCAGAAGAAGACGTACATGTAGACGGAAGGTACGATATGAAAAATTGAAACAAACATGCCATCCTCATTTCGTGCAGCGTGCCGAGAGACGGATATACATACCCGTGATAGGCGAGGAAAGACAAAAGGAACAAAACGCACGCCAGCACGTCCGCTCTGCCCACGATGCCCGACACCTGCAGCAAAGTAAATTTTTAAATAAAAAATATGTTAACCAAGGCACGTACAGGTAGAATTATTCAAAAATGAATTATTAATAATGAATAAAAAATTTTAGTCGCAATATTCAGTTTAAAGTTGTTATTAAAAATTGTGATTATCAATCCTTTTATTTCAAGAATATTTTTTTTACACAAATGATTTTTTTAATTTAACTTTGTTATTGAACTTAATATTTTGTTCTTTAAAGTATGCAAAAAATTTTGAAACAAAAGATGAGTTTTCAAACTTCGAATGAAATATCTATAAAAAAAAAAATCTCAAACAGAAACAATAGTAAAAATTGAAATTCTGTAAAAGATTTCATAAAAAAATTCTCAAAAAAAAAAAAAAATATATAATAAATAAATTAAATTAAAATAATACCTTTTGTGATGAAGTCCAAAAAAGAATAAAGTTTGACCTGATATTTTGAATCAAATTGTTACAATTTTGAGAAATTCAGAAAAACAACCTTGTAGACTCTTTGTCTACAAGGTCTACAAATAGTGGTTCTTTTTTTGAGTTGTATAATTTAAGTGGGGTTGTAAATAATGAGCGACTTACCGCCTCGGTGTGCACGGGGTGGGCGGCGAAAAGCGCGCCGGCGATGGCGGCGAACTGGGGCCGAAGTCCGGCCACCACGACACACACCCTGGTGAACAAAACTGCAGCCATGGTGTGCAGCACGACGTTCCACGCGTGGAACCAGTACGGCTCCAGCCCGCTCAATATGTAATTGGCTCTGCGGAAAATTACAGTCAGTCAGTCAGTCACCCTTGTCGCGCCACCGCCGAAATAAACAACGGGCAAAACAAAGGGACAAAAAATTTCGCCCAGCTCACTCTGCCGCCGCGCGCGGTCGATTCTTCTGTTTGTGTGCGGCTTTAAGTGATGCGGAGCTTTTTTCCTAATAAAAATGTCACATGATAAGAGTTCACACGCTGCAATTATTTAAGCTGGAAGCTTTTCTCCTCCAGAAAGCAAAATATTTTGGAAATTTTATGTGACCACTAAGGAAAATTTTAATTTCTAGTTCAATATACTGAAAAACAAAAAATGTAGATCAATGAAGTCGTTTAAATCTTCAATAAAAGATATTAATTAATACTAATGAAAATGTTCAATTGTTCACACATTGCTTGATAGAAATATTTCTGTACTCCAAAAATTTTTTTTGAAAGGTAGAATGAATTTATTTTCTCTTTAGTGGTCTTCAGTTTAATTTTCAGCAGCAAATTGCACTTCCTTAGTGGCATGATACGAAAATTTTAAATAAAAATTTTATGATATACTCCTTATTCTACACCTTTTCAAAAGTCTTTTTGAGTACCTCATTATTTTCAAAAATATTTATAAAGTTTGCTAACAGTTTCCACTTATATTTTTTTATTTTTTATTTTCTTTTAATTACAAATTAAAAATTCTTCAATTGAAATTATTTTTACTTAAATTGTGATGTAAAGAGAGCTTTCCATATTAAGAGATTTAAACTTAATGATTTTTAAAAGAGAAGTAACTGGAAAAAGGCAGAAAAGGCAAATTTTCTTTACAAACTGCGAAAATAAAAGAGGAAAAGGTTTGGCACATCAATTATGGTCCCGTGTAATCAAATGGTGATTACAATAGCACAACATGTATGCCTGGAAAATGTTCGACACTTGTTTGTGTGATATTAACTAGAATAATCAATATTGAATTACGGTTTTTTTCTAGTACATTGCCAATGTCGAAAATAATTCTTGGCAAAATCATTTCTTACTGGGAAAGTTTTTGTAACAACTTATTAGGAATTAATAGCGTTCAAAATAAGTAAATATTTTTCAATTTTACTTGGTGTGGCAGAATATTATTTATTTCGTCAAAATTTTTGCCTTTTTTCTATTTTGAATTAGAAAAATTGGCGAAATAAGAAATTAATAAAAATCGTCAGAATTCTTTTTAAAGTTAAGTACGAGTACATGGCACGTCAATTTCCATAAAAAAACTGACACCATTACACACGGTGGTTGTTCAAAATAGAGTTAAAGGTAAAAGCGCAACTCACTCAAATGAGCACCGGCGCGGCAGTAAACCCTAATAGCAGAAATATGACATCCTTTTTACAACTTTGCCTGCGTGTGTTTGCGAGTAGCAAGCATTCGACATTAAAAACGTCATTTGGGTGATCACCGTGCGAGTGTTTTATATTTGTAACGCGTTTTAATTTCATCCACCGCGTCCATAAAAATAAAAATTGATTAAGTCATATTGTGTGTGTGTTTGTGACACATGCTAATTTGTTTCCAAAAGCAATCAAACTGTCCAGATCTCCCCTATTATTAATAAAAAAATGAAGCATAAATGCTTTTTCGGTGTCGACGTTTTTCTAATCGATTTCAGGCAAAAAGATCAAAACACATTTTACTTTGACGAAATAATCCGGCTGCGCAAAATTTCTAGAGCGAGGGAGAGAGAAAGGAGATTTGCATGTTAAATTACAAGAGCTGGTCGGGAACGCATTAGTATGCAAATTGATCAGCAGCGACCGATTCACGTATATATATACATGAAATAAAAATTCGGCGGCGGCAGCGAGATGGAGAGTGAGTTGGAGAGAGAGAACGAGGGCTGAAGCCTGGGGGTGGGTCGGAGCTGCACTCTGCAAAAACGGCTGCATTTGGCAAATTGGGTCAGAAAGGGCGGCGGGTGCCAAAAGTAGTATGGCTCGGGCGTGACCGCCACAACTCTATATCATTCGGCAGCATCATTATCAGTATCGGAGAAGAGGGGGTGACGTCATTTGGTCCGAGAGAGAGAAAAAGGACGAGTCTCTTAATCAGCAGCTTCTCCCGAAATTTGACCGGACCGAGCTAATTGGGGTGCTTTCCAAGCTTGCTTCAAAGAAAGTGGAAACCAACTAGTGGCGTGGCTTGTTTCATTTATATACAATTTGGGTTCAAGGGACCAAAAATATCCTGAATATGGGCAACAAAAGGTTACAGGGTCGACCTGCGAGTTCCCAAAATTGTGAAATTATCCCACTGGCAGAAGGTTGATTAAAAAAACGGTGAAAACATTAGCTCAACTTATTCTATTTGAATCGTTGATGGGGATGCAAAAAGGATTAAAAAGTCTCAAATTTAGGCAACCTTCTGAAGGTTGCAGGGTCGAATGTCTTGGGGCCTTGCTTTTGATACGATTGAAGCTTTGCCCCTGATGGGAGGTTGATTAAAGTCTAATTGTTTTACGCACCGAAAGGTGAGAACCGTGAGAGGTCGGTAGGACTTGTGGCTGTTGGGGTCGGACATGCGGGTGCCCCAGAAGTCGTTGACGAAGACCTCGGAGAGGCCGGTGAGGCCGAGCACGTCGCGGTTCTGCAGCACGGCGGGCACGTCGTCGTGCACGAAGTCGCCGTTGAGGCTGTTGGCGTAGCAGCTGAGGGCGATGGCCGCCACCGAGAAGTAGATTTGGCCGCCGGACGGGTCGGACGGGTGGCCGCCGGCCGCCTGCGAGCGGCGTCGGCTCTCGGCGGGCTGCCTCATTGATTGTTTGCCGAGTGGAGAGGAGATCGGAGTGGTGCACTGCGGCAGCCACCACTCGCCTAACCACCGCCGTTTCCAACAGCCCTCGCCTCGCGCACCCCCGAGCATGCGCCCTCAGCTGCAGCCAAACAAGCCACCCCTGCGTGGCCCTCCACCCGCCGAACAACCCCTAATATTGCTTTCGCGTTCGTTACTTTGCCGCCGCCGCCGCCGCCGCTGATCTCTTTAAAATAGCATTCCGAATTCAGCGCATGTCCCTCCGGTCGGTTTGCTCTCCGCGCTCTTTCTCTCTCTCAGGGATAAATATGTTAATGCTGCATGCTAAAGAGCTTTTTGTTTCCAGGGTGCGGCTTTTTAGAACACAAACAAAGAAATAAAAGAAGCAAGAGGGAGGCCGGAGAAATATGGGCCTATTTTTTCTGGCGTCATGTAATGAAAGATTAAAGGGGAAAAAGGAACAAGAAATATCTCAAAATCTGATCCGTATTTTCTTGCACCTCCTTGTTATTTTGTTAGGAGAATTTTGATTGTATTTAAGCATATAAGAAATACATATAATGTAAATTTAAAGTATAACAACAGTGCCATTAATTCAAATCTTTCCAATTAATATTAGTCGCAATAATTGTTTTGCTACATTAAATAAAAAAATTACATTGCTTCATCTTTGACATAATTTTTAGTGTTACAGGCAATAGATAATTGGAAAATAAATTTGCCAGAGTTGAAATGAAAATAAAAAACAAAATTTTTTTTATTATAAATAAAAGAAATAAGTTTTTTAATGTAATATTATAACGTGTAAAAACAATTATATTTAATATTTAATAAAAAAAAACTTGCATTGCTTTATTATAAATTAACTTTTGACTGCTAGTCATATTTGTTTTTTCTGCCGATGTTTAATTGAAGAAAGTTTTTAATTGAACGATTACAACTTGATCGTGAACTAAAATAGAAGCTCCAGAATAAACATAGTGTAAAGTTAAATTATTTTCTCTTTTTAGCTGAAGCTAAAATTTATGCTTAATTTATCGTTTGTATGGCTATTTTTCCCCTTATGTCAATCAAATTTAAAAAGATAAGATGTAAAGAGTCTGTTTGTTATAATTATTATTATTATTATTTTTTTTGCAAAGAATCTGACTCTTGGTTTTATCTAATAAATGCAGATAAAAATTACCAAAAATCCATCTAACCTTTTTACATTTTTACGTAATCAATAGGGCTGTGAAACAATAGGCTTTTTTTCTGTTCTACATATTGATAATGGGAAAAAAATCAGTTCTTGATTTAAAAGATATATGTGAAATTTGTCTTCAAGAAGGCGAAAATAATCAAAAGTTATGTTAATCTATCTTCCTGCTATTAATTTAATAACACAATTTAAATGAATGTTCTTGGAATCGTGGTAAACCAGAAATTTTGATAATACCAAATGCTATTTAAAGACCTCATCAATCAGCAAATCGTTTTAAAATTTCACGCAATTTCATTTCACGATTTGTTTAGACTGGATTGCTGTAGGCAAACAGTTAAAAAATGTCAATTGAATAAATCTCTCAGCTGCAATAATTATAAATGGAATTAAAAAAAAATTGCTAGTTAAAACGAGATAAAATTAATACAGATTACTCATAATAACTTGATATTGTGCCTGTCTATATCACAGTAAAACACAAGAATTCCATTTCATTTGAAACACTTTATTATTTAAGAAAGGATGGGTTTGTTGAATTTCGTTTTTACATTTTGTTATATATTTCTGGAGGTCAGGGCGTGTTGATTGGCGTGTGTTTGACGCGCGGGTTGAGCATGCGGAGGGGGTCCTTCTGGTACCTGGCGAACACCTCGCGCTTGAAGATCTCGAAGTTGCGCCTGTTGAGGCTGTTCTGGCGCTCGCGCCACCCTGGCCGGCTCTTCTTGTTCTGCAGTCCCCAGTGCACGGTGAAAATGGGGCTGAGAACGCGGAACTGGAAGCCGGCGACGAACGTTTCGTACACCTGCGAACATTTTGATTGCACAAACGTGACCATAATATGTTATGTGCGGCTGCGTTTCATTTCGGTAAAAGCATCCCGGCGCACGTGCTGCCGGGGAAAAACAGCAATAATAAAAAAGCGGCCCAAACATCTGTAGCCCATCGCCGGCTGACGAACCTAACGAGCGCGCCCATGGAAATTTCGCCCTCTGATATATATATATGCGCGAAATATACAACAGACGGGCCCGCTTTTTTGCGCGCGGAAATCTACCCAACATCAGCTTGATTAATGTGTACAGAGATCGCGTACTTTGGCGTTGAAAAACGCGACGCACACACGAGAGAGAGACAACGCAAAAAACCGACATTGAAATGATTTAAGAACTCGTGCCGCTTCCTGTCGCCGCCACCGCAAATGAATGTTTTGTTATTCTCTCTACTCGCTGCGAATTATTATCTCAACTTTGAACATTAACCGCGCTCATAAACGTTTAAAGAGTTATTACGCGGCTAATTTATGATTAAGTAAAGAAACGGCGGAGTTTTTATTTAGTGTTGTTATTTTTCCATTAGGAGCGGAAAAGCGATCTGCTGAAATAACTGGCTAAACTTTTTAAAGCTGACGCAAAATTACTCATAAAGAATAAGGCTTAATTTCTTTGAAATGACCCAGTTGAACTTTTCTTTTTCAATTAATTATTTGTCTTGAACCTAATTGAATTATAGTTAGATGAAACTTTAAATTCATAAAGTAATGCATTTTGTGATTGTACTTGTAAAAATTAGATTCAGAATTTGCATAACTATTATTCTTTTATTCTTAGCAAATTGAGTAAAACGTGAGAGAGAATATGATTTTATAATAGGAATAAAATAAATAAATAAACAAAATAAACAAAATGCAAAGATAAAAATGGGAAAAAATATATTTTAAAATATGATTCACGTAGATATTAAAAAAAAAGCTTTGAGCACGTTGAAAATAATTAATAATTGTTCTTAACAGATCAAAAGCGTTTTAACAATGTGATTTTTTTATATTTTCATCAATTAATTAAAAAAAAAAACGAGGTTCTAGGCATTGGAAAAATGACTATGCTCTGAATTTTACAAAACAGTCATACTTTAACAAGAAAAGGGGATTTGGGGGCAGCTTATAAGAAAATAATTAATTCGTAGGAAATTTGACGGTATAATTTTACAAACCTGCGTGTTTCTTGTGTATCCGTAACCTATGAATCGCTCGTCGTGCGCAGGAACTGTGTCTGGGGCTACGTAGAACGGTTCATACAAAAACTCAAAGTTGGTGACGTTGTGGCTGACGTGCACCTCCTGATTGATCTCAGGCTCCATTTGCCATCTAGAAAATCAAACGAAGCAGAAAAAGTTAATGAACTAGAGATATAATCGTGAAATGTTTTTTTAATAATAAACCGGAAATTCAATAAAACTTAATTAATTTCAGGATAAAATTAAACTACTTTTAACTCAAAATTGCAAAAATTAAGTCTCAAAAATTTAGCCCAAAAAATAATGATATTTCATATATCAAAAGATGTTACGTTAAAAAATTCAATGTTTCCCTCCAAAAAATTGTTTTATTGCATTATAAAAGTTTTTAAACAAATTGAACACAAAATATCAATATTAATTGCTAGAGTTTTTTTTTTCAAATAATTTAAGTTTTTCATCGCACTTTTGTTTTTTTCTTTGAAAAGATTTTGAGTAAACCTTCTAAATAAAATATCTAAACACAAATAAATTGCTTCGTACTTGGTGAAGTTTGTTGCAAATTGGTTATAGATGAAGACTTTCTGGTGAAAAGGTCGCGCGAGGCCCTTCTTGGCGAGCCTCACCAACTCAGACTTGTTTTGCGGAAAGCGGACTCGCTCGTCCAGCTCGTACGTGGGAATCACAAAGGCGCAGTGGCCGTCGACGGAGCAGCGCTGCTTGCGCAGGAACGCGTCCAGCTTTTCGGCCAGCTGCCCGCTCGGCACGATGTCCACGTCCGTGACGAACACGTGGCCCGTCTGGCAGTTGCGTCGCGCCAGGTTGCGCATGTGGTTCTGCGGGTAGGGCAGTTTGACGCGCCAGCGCGCCGCCTCCGGCCGCCGGTGCCGCATCAGCAAACGCAGCGACGCCTCCGGCTTCGAACAGTCCAACTTCTCGTTCTCCAGACCCGCCGACATGCGGGCCTCCGACGTGAAACTCGGGTGCTCCTTTGGTATTGCCACGTGGAAACTCACCTACAATAGTAATAGAAATGTTACGAAATTCATGTATATGAGAACGAAGTAAATAATTTTATTTGAAAAAAGGTTAAATTTATAACAATAATCAAATTAAAAAGTAATTTTTTCATTTCGAATGGATTATTTTTGATTTAAAAATTCATTATTTCCAAATTGTCTCCTTCTGATTGAAAATAATTTAATTAAAACAAATTTTTTTTAATGGTTTCACAATGAAATACTTTTATTTGATAACACTTAAGAGACTTCATTTCAAATTTCCAAACTATTTTGGTATTTCATTTTGTTTTTCACAATTATTTTGCACAAAAATTACAAAAAATTCATTAGAATTTTGAATTGAAGTTCTTTGTATTCTTTGAAAAATACCATTTTAAGACTTTTTAACTCTCAACAACCATTGAAGACTATTAATAAATAATGCTGCTTTATTTTGGGAAAAAATTAAAGAGGCTGAAATCCTGCAGTTTTTAATATTTTTCGTTAAAAAGATTGAATAAATGAAATATTTTTAAATTTTGACTGCTTGAATTTGGAAGATTTAACAATGCAATTATCAATGTATAAGCGTTTTGGGTAAAAAAAACATTGCATTATCGGTTCAAAATTATATTAAATACGATTAGTGTATCATAATTTTCAGTAAGTGTCCAATATTTAATAATTTGCTTATAATTTATTAAATATCTTCAAATATAATAAACCAATTTTTCACCAAATTGAGTAATAATTGCGTTTTTTAAAGATGAAATTTTGTTCTATTTGAGTTATTTTTAAACCTGAATGAACCTTTAACAAAAACTTCAACAAAAAATTCAAAATTGTGACAAAATAATAGAAATACAAAATTATTATTAATAGAAAAATTAAGAAATGCAATAAATTATATATTACATGTTACATGTGTTAATTTCTTAAATCCTTTCTTTAAATATGTGTTCATGGAAATCTCACCCGGTCTCGTACAGTGGGGTAGCAGTTCCTGATGAACTTGACGTAGACTTTGGCAATTTTGAGCTCGTCTGGCGACGCGATGAAGAGGGCGACGGAAATGGGTCCGGCCCACTGGTGCGCGACCTGGGCCAGCGAGAAGAGGCGGTCGAGCGAGCTCTGCGTGGCCAGGCAGACGCAGAATCTCTGCGACAACTCGACGTACTTGGCGCCGACGCTGGTCCAGTCGAACATCTTGTACAGCCGCCGCGCGTCCCACCGGCCCAGCTGCAGGTTTACCGAGAATTCCTCTTTGACGGGGCCGTCCTCGGACGCGTTGCTCACGGGGGGGACCGAGGGCCGCGGCTTGGCCCCCGGGGGCCCCGGAGGCGGCGCCAGCATCGCGGGCAGGACGCGCGTCTCGCAGTCGGGCGAGTTCTGCAGCATGCGGATGGTGAGCAGCACGTTGCAGCACGTGACCAGCACCACGCCGAGAATACTCAGGCTCCAGAAGCGGCAGCCGCACACTCTCGCCGACCAGCTAACCATCGCCCGCCTGTAAAAACAAATTTATTTTAATTATTTATTTATTTATAGAGATATACATTTTTAATCAACATTGATATGAAAAGGAAATGATCTTCTTAATTTATTTAATAAAAAATTACCTGACATGGAAAGCGCAAATCGCAAGAATATCACACAAAAAGATAATGGGATGCATTGTAATATCTTGAGAAGTTCAGAAATGTGCGACTCCTGAAAAATGCTTAATTCTGCCACATCTCAACCAAGTACTTACTGTGATGTTGTGAACTGTAATTTACCCTCTGCTTATTTTTATTCAAATATTGTAGTTGTTGCAAGTCTTGCAGAATATTATTGAATCATAAATATTTTTATATTTGAGATATAAAAATTTGCAAAATTCTACCTCCGCCCTCCTCGGCATATACAAATGGTTATATTTAAAAAATTGCCTTCCGTAGATTTCAGCAAAAAACTAAAAAAAAATTATTTTAAGCAATTTTTGTGTGCGGTTGTAAAACTTTCATGAAAGCAAAAGTTTAAAATAATTTCAATTTTGTCAATATTCAAGTTGAATAAAAAAAAGCAACAAATTTTAATATTTGAAAATATAATTTTTTTTACATAAATGCAATTAAAAAAAAAGAAACTAGTATTAAAAAACGTAAAAAAGATAATTTTTCTTACTTTGCTGCTAGTATTTTAACAATTTTAAAATTTTATTATATAATGTGTAAAAAATGAATAACAATATTGATGGGACCTAAATATAATTTTGAATTTTTTGCATTGTTATCAGGGATGCGTTGCTATTCAATGGGGGTAGTCGGAGCCTTGCAATTAGATTCTGTGCAGTTTTACGTCTATCCGTGATAATTTATAAACCTTTTGCACTGAAGTTTTGGTGGATTGTCTAGTTGCTCTAAACTGTAAACTTGAACTATATTAATTTTACAAACTTTACCAGTGAATAAATTATGTATTCCTGATGGCGCATTAGCTACTGCCATTTGACTCCTTGCTCTCTTACATAACTCAAATCTGTTAGCGCACTAGCTTGGTTTATGCTGACATGACCGTTTTCAAGACGCAAGCTCATCATTGCCTAATGTATGTAATATGTATATGTTTCAGGGAAATTCAATGCATCACCCGTGATGACTATGTATAAATTTGATTTGTTCAAAACAGGAAAAACCAATGTAGAAATTAGAGGTAAAATAAATAAGAAGAGTAAAAATAAAATTTAGCCAAAACAAAGCCTAATAAAGAGAAAAAAAATTATCATATTGTTGGAGTTTCTATTTAATGTTTAATATGCGATCAAATTTTTTTTTTTTTTGCCCGAAAATATTATCACAAAGAATTATTGCCATTTAATAGACACAAATTCAAAAATATTAAATATATACCAAAAACTAATAATAAATTAAAAATAGAAACGCTTTTTATCAATTAATAATTTCACAAATTTTACTTTCCAACCAATCTTTTAATTTAGAGTTATCATCGGTCAATATGGAAATTATATTAAAAGCTCTATTGATGTTTAAATTGAAGATTTTATCCTTTCCGATTTTGTCTTTCAAGCGAATTTTGACTTGTGACTGGCATTTCGGGCAATGCAGTTGCGCATCACCAAAGAAAAGCATCGATTGGCAGATCAAACACGGCGGTGTGTGTAAAATCGAGTTATTTACCCTTTTCATAGGCCGCTGTTGATATGTGTTGGCGCTGCTCCCGTCGCTCTCCTCAGCAGGGCGTCATCTCGACCCAAATCTCGCTTCGGCTTTTCCAAAATTTCTGATCGATTCGTAAAAAGTCAAGTGATCGGCGAATTGCAATCTGGCCTCACACAGCAGCTGGAGCCTTGTTGTGGGCCGAAGTTTCCACTGCCCTCGCCAATGTCGCTCCGAGCACGTCGATACACCCTCGCCCCCAACCCTTGCCACGGCACCCCCATAGTCGCAGACACGCCAAACACCCCATCCACCCCATCCTGCTATGTGTGAATACTACAGTTGATATTAAATTGTGTGTTCAATAGTTTTAATTATTAAGGCGAGGACATGCAAGACGAAAAAATCGTCACTTGAGAATTTTTACAAATTGAAAAGTCTATTGTTCATTAATTTAAATATTTATTATTTTCGATTTTTTTTTGTTTAATTCAGAAAAGGCCTTTTGGCAACCAATGAGTTCTGGTGTTGCATAAATTGGTGCTCTTTTTTGGGAAACAGACGAGAAATTCAAATTTTTCAATATACCGGATGACACTCTTTGAACGACTAATGGTGACAATTATTGATTCTGTGACACCCAAAGTGAGTGATCTAACTAGACCTTCACGTACCGAATGGTCCGAATGGAGAAGAAAATTTTCAGATAAATTTAATAAATTCCCTTATAAGCAAAATTTAATGGGTTAATTTAAATTATACATTTAATCAAAAGAAATTCTTTACCACCTAGAAATTAATTTATGAATAAATAATCAATTTTAAAAAGCAGCGATGTAAATAAGGACAAACGAAAAATATAATGTGTGTAACTGTGTATGTATGTATTACGGAGCCAACTTTATTCTAGAAAAAAGTTGCAAAGAAATGAATGGTTAAAATTTCAAAGTATTTTTTTTTTCTAATTTTTTTTGCATCAATTCAAATTGAAAATTGCTGACTGCGTTTTCAATACATTTGAAATTACATTAAAAAAAGGTAAAAAGCTAACTCTCACATTAAAATCTAATTTATCTAGATGCATTCATAAAAATAAGCAAAAGTTAAAACCTAACACACACCATTTACTTTTGAACTTTTGCGGAATGGTGACTAATAACGTTGACAGGTCAAAGTCGAGTTCTGTTTAGAAAATTAGAAGTTTTGTTATATGAAAAGATACATAGCTCGCATTTTTTTCTAAAGCATGATCATCTATTGAGGAATTAAGGGCAAAAAACGTTGAAAAATTATTGATAGCACATATTATCTGGTTCTAACGCGAAATTTAAATTGAAAAAAAGTGTGCAATGAAACTCCGAATATGCTCTGACTGTGTTCGCGCCAAAGTCAAGAATTCTCAATTTTCACCCTTTCACCGCTTGGGGCAGCACGTTAGCTTTTATCAGCCGTGAAATAAAAATAAAAGTTGTGTTGTCGGAGATAAAAAGATACATAAATTTTGGCCTGGAAGTCCTGGAACGACTTCAGAAGGAACCTCCCGTCGCAGGACCTAATATAATTCGATTAGTCGTGACGTTTTCCTCGAGGTGAGAAACTTTAAATTTGCACTTTTTGCCAACGAAAAAAAAACTTCTATCAAAGTTTGTTTTGAGATAAAACACGCCATTGCAGATAAAGCCGAGGTGAGACCCCGATGTTGGCCGGCAGGAAACCGTAATCAGAGTCGGACGTCGTCGATCGAACAAAATAATATGCAGAAGAGCTCGGGAAGACACGAGAGCGGCGGGCGCGGCGGTCCTCGGAAGGGCGACAGCGACTGGCTGTGTCCGGACACCGAGTGCGCCAACTGGAACTTCGCGTGGCGGACTTCGTGCAACCGGTGCAGCGGCCCGAAGCCCCCCGGCGAGGACGCCGCCTCCAGTAGTAACAGGTAGTGGCCCTGCAAGGTCCGTATATCGAGAACAACCTCCACAGGATATATATTTTAATTTTCGGAAAGAGAAATTCCACGAGAATTAAATTGCCAAGCTCAAACTTTCCGCTCTTGTGTTTCAGCAAGTCGAAGAAGCTGGGACATGAAATCGGCAAGGCCATGGCCGAAAAGAGCAAGGGCCTCTTCAGCGCCGACGACTGGCAGTGCAGCAAGTGCGGCAACGTCAACTGGGCTCGGCGCCACCAGTGCAACGTCTGCAACGCGCCTCGGTTTGGCGAGGTGAATGCAAGTTGAATTTTTCTTTTATTTTCAAGTTATTTTAAATTATTTTTGTGTTCATGCATTTTGTTTTCTGTCATTTAAATTGTTTTGAAAATTGAAGTCAATGTACAACATTTTATTTTCAAAGATCTTTAAAAAGAAATAAAAAATCCTAATTTAATAAAGTTGTTTACAAATTGAGACACTTAAGTGCGCTTTAATTAAAAAAAAAATGATTATTTAAAATAAATTAACAAATTACTATCCAAAAATTAATTTAAAACAATTAAATATTTGTATTTTAAAATTAATTAATTTTAAATTTCAGATTTTATTTGAAAACAAAATTCAAAATACAAAAATTTGACAATTTTTTTTTTATATTTTGAATTATGATATATTAATTAATTGATTTATTTTAGGTTGAAGAGCGAACAGGATTTGGAGGGGGTTTCAACGACCGGGGCGTTGTTGAATACAAAGAGCGGAAGGAGGAGTCGGACGACGAGTGGGACGAATTCGGTCGGCGCAAAAAGAAGTCTTCTGGCAAGTCATCGTCCAGCGACAAAAACAAACGATCCCACTCAAGTGACGAGGACAAACGATCAAGCAATAAGAAAAAGCGGAGAGACTCGACCAGCAGCAGTTCCGACAGCGAGGTTGAGAAGAAGAAGCCAAAAGTGGAGTCTGAGGATGAAGACGAAGACAGTGGTGATGAGGGTGACCTGTCGAAGTACGACCTGAGCGGGTGGGGTGAGGACGATGACAGCAAAAAGTGAGGTACTCTCGACTGGAAGAAAAAAAAACATGCATTTTCCCCATTTTTAAGATAACTTGTGAATATAATTCGCTGAAAGTAATAAGGCTGTACATCAGCAGTTTCCTCTGCCACACTTCTCCATGTATTAATTACTTATTATTTAAGTAATGATGAAAAATTGCCTTGTTTTGATTGAAATAAATCATATGTAAAACTTTTAAATGTTCCGTGGTGTCCCTCAAATTGAATTTTGGCCTTTTTATTGAACTATGTGCAGATAATAGCATTGCTGAAATTCCAGAAGAATGTCTACAATGGTTGTTTAATAATGCTTTTGTAGTGCAACTTCCATAAATAAAATCCTGTACGGACATTGTGCCAGAATTGCAAGTCTTTTCATTTGAATTAAAAGCACAATTATTATTATTTAAATTATATGCAAAATTGTTTTTTTTTTATTAAAAAAAGGATTTTGCAATCAATGCGAGTAAAATAAATAAATTTATTATTATTTAGTAGAACTTATATTTAATAATTTACACTTCATATCAAAAAATATAATTATTTGGAATGGCTTCTTATTCAAGATTCGTTTTCTGCGCCAATTTGACAAAGTCGGGCTAAAAGCGCAGAGAGCTGGAGTAAAGTACCAAGGCCTTCAATGATTTTCATGTGGGTTAATCCAATTTCCTAAAATAAAAACATGATTTTCTAGTCAGAAAAATAATTAACAATTCTGCACCTTTAAAAACTCCAGCATGAGAAATTCACCCATGGTGTCCATGCTCTTGCACACCCTGAATATGTTCTGGATCAAGTCCTCTGCAGCATAGCCCAGCTTCCACAAATGCGCCAAAATCTGGGGAAATTAGTTTTTTTTTTCAAATCAGATTTAATTGAGGTATGATTAATGGTGACTTGACTGCAGAACCTATCTTTGAACGATTTTTATTTACTTTGTAAGCAGCATCAATGTCTCCTTTGACACAATTCTGCAGCATCTCCTTGACCAAAATTGGATGCGGCTCATCACAAACTTTGAAGACGTTCTTTTCGTCTATATGACCGAAGCCATTGACGGTCGACTGCAGGTTGTTCAGGGCCTGCCGCATGTCCCCTTGCGCTGTGAAGACAATGGCCTCCAAACCCTCCTTGGTGTAGGTGGCCTAAGATTTCATGTTTTCATAAAAACTCCTGTTCCATAATTAATTAATTTAAACTAACATTTTCTTTTTCGCAGACGTCCATGATTTTGGCCAGGATTTGGGCGTCGGAAAGTTGGCTGTAGCGGAGCATGGCGCATCGAGACTGGATGGGTTCAATGATTTTCTCGCTGTTGTTGCAGGCCAGGGCAAACCTGGTCGAGTGAGAGTAAATTTCCATGGTGCGTCTCAGAGCCTGCTGGGCGCCGTCGGTCATGCTGTCCGCCTCGTCCAGAATGACGATCTTGTGTCTGCCAGGTGGAAGAGTGACCTTTTGCTGGGCAAACATTTTGATTTGGTTGCGGACGACGTCGATGCCTCGGTCGTTTGAGGCGTTCAGCTCTAACACGGCGTCCTTGAATGCCGGCCCGAGGAGGATGCGGGCCAGGCACAAGATTGTAGTCGTCTTTCCTACGCCTGGTGGACCCTATTATAACATGTAATTTATTTATTAGAATCCGAACAATTTTCATTTAAAATAATGAAATTACGGCAATGATGATGTTGGGAACGTTGCCTGTCTGAGCAAAGTAGCTGAGCCTTTGGATTGTGTCTTCATTGCCGACGATTTCCTCAAACTTTTTGGGACGGTACTTTTCAATCCTGTAATAAAAGTTGTAGGAATTTTAAAAACATAATCTGGTTAATATTTCCTTACCATGGGAGATGAGCCTTCTTTGTTTCCGACGCAGTCGGCTGCTTTCGAGACGGCGGCGCGTCCACTTCCATGCTCTCGATTTCTTCACTCATTTTTCGCAAATGTAAAAGTCTAAAAGTGATTGAGTTGAAGAGTCAAGAAATAATAGTATAATTAAAGAACGCCTTTATCATTTTTCTAATTACCTTGGGTTGCAAAGAAGTAGAAATGACAAGAAATTAATGTAATTGTAAAATTTCTAAACACAACAGGAGCGGCAGCCGGCAAGATCGAGTCAAATCACGAACACCTGATCATTCCCGCCTGAACATGCGCAATTTAAAAACAAGCGCGATACCAGCATGGCCAAGGCAACTTTTAAGTAGTAGCGAGCGCTTTGAATAGGATGCATTATAATAATAATACCATTGTTTATTTGATCCTTTCCTCATTCAAAGACATTTTTAGTATTTAAATGTGTGCAATTTTTCCAAGAAATAGTTATAAGAAGAATTTTGAATAAAAAAGAGAATAAAATTGTTTCAACTATGCAGTAGACTGCAAAAATGTCTTTGAAAAAAATATTTTAACGATACTAATTAAAATAATAAAAAACAAAAGAAATAATAATATTATTAATGGATTTATTCAGATTTATTTGAAATAATTTAAGAATTACATCTAGTCAGGCACTATTATTCGTATTATTCTTCAATCAAACAAACTATAATTAAATTTAATTGAATCAAGCACAAAATTAAATATGTCTGCAAGCCTTTAATGAAATCTTCTACTGGTTGTTTTCGCCAAAATCGTAATATATCTTCTCAAAGCGGAATTTCAAGAACGCTTTTTCTTCAAATAGCGTCGGCAGGTAATCTCTCATGAAGCTGCCAAACTCGTTGTAGGTGTGGCAAATTCCAACCTTGTGGCAGGCCTTCATCACATTTCTCACCCTCTTTTCATCTACTGCCTTCTTCTTTAAGACTTCTCTAATGTTGGTTGCAAGGTATCTGATGAAGTCGTTCCTCACCTTTGGAGGTTGATCCTTGAAGATTTTATCCAGCTGTAAACAAATATAATTTATATTAAAAATGGACAAAACAAAAAAAAAATTTTAAGTTTTCTAAATAAGAAAAATTTTGCATATTAAAGCATAAAATAAAAATAATGACATACCTTCAAGAGCAGGCGCTTGTTCACCCAACCCTCTTTCTTCATCTCTTTCAGGATGTCAACCTGCTTTGCCAGGGCAGCAGCAGTAGCGGCAGAGACTGGGGCTGCAATACGAGGTTTCCGAGCTGTCGGCTTTGCTTTTGGAATAATGGTTTGCTTCTTTCTCGCCTCTTCCTGTGCTTTGGCCATAACGGTCGGCCCAAACTGATTCCACTTTTGCCGTGCAAACTCCTTGTAGTTCTTGCAGAAATTTCGAATGGACTGCAATAATAACAACAATGTAGATTTTAACAAAGCAAAATGATTTTTTTTCTACCTCTTTTCCATCAATTGGACCCACACCAGACTCGTTGACTCCTGTTTGCTTGGTGCGTTTTGTAGATGGGGAGTTTTGGTCCACTGTCAGCAGAGTGCGTCGAGCTGAATTGGAGGGGCCTTGACCCGAGGGTCCAGCAACTGACTTGGAGGATCGGCCTGAATTTCCTAAGAAGGATGTGATCAAAGATTGGCCTTGAGTAGACCGCTTTGATGGTTCCTTTGCAGGAGGACCCTTGCTGGTGCTTGGCTGGGGCGAAAGACTTTTTTCTTCGTCCTTCTTTTGCAACTCGGCCTCTTCATCAGAGCTTTCAGGCGAATCACTCGATACAGTCCTGAAAAATTATTTATAGCCACAATACAATAAATTGGCAAGAAAAACAGAAAAAAAAATGGATAATTGGACAAATTTAAACATACTTTTCAGAATAACTTTGAGTTTCAGTCTCTGGATCAGGAGTATTTTGATTTCGGTCTGACTCGTTTGAGCTATCCGAGGGGTTCATGGTCACACTCTGTTCAATTGATTTATCTGGGCTCGAACGCCGAGATTCTTCTTCTTGGTTTTCACCACTATCATTGTTATCCTCATCATTGTCTTCGTTGTCCCCATAGTTGTCCTCCTCTTCAGGTGTTCCCAGGACAGTTTGACTGTCCTCCTGATTGAGACTATCAGATTGCGGCTGAGTATTTACTTCTGGTGTATCTATGACGGGAGAAAATGCCCGTTTTTCTGTGAATTATAAAAAAAACCTTAAGTTAGCAAATAATTCATCTACGCATTTACCACCATTATTTTGTGCATTTGTGACGTTGGCAGGTTCTTCTCTTTGGTCTGCTTTTCTTTGCAACGGAGTCGAAGAAATTTCATTCGGCTCCACAACATTACTAACACCTTTGGCTTTTTCTGGAACTGGTGTTTGAATGGTTGAGACACTTGCTCCTCCAGCGATGGACTTGTTCTTCAGTTTAATCACTGCTCGCTCGAAATCTCTGATGCTGAATTTGTTCCGCAGTCCCTCCAAGTGAGCGGCGCTGGACATGTCGACCAGCATACTAGGGGAACGAACTCCATACATCGCCTTTTCAAAATCAGCCAAGGTGAACACTTTCTTTGATTTAGGACCTAGATTATAAAAAATTTAATAAGTGATCAATAAATATTACGGATTTATGGAAAAACCTCGATAACTCTGACGTGGTTGTTTGAAGATTCCCAAGACAGAGCTGAAATCTTCTCTGGTATAAATCTTGTCTCCACCTGTATCATCCGACACATCAGGATTGTTTTCCATCACTTCTAGAGCCTCGGCAACATCTTTTTCTGTTAGAACCATGTCGTTTTGAGGTGTAGACGTTCTGAGCTCTATAAAAAGAGAAATCCAATGAAAAATATTCAAGGTGTGTGACGCTTACCTTTGTCATTCAGTGCAAATGAACTGGAAGTAGCATTTGAATCACCTTCCTCACCAAGACTTTTCTGAAGGTTTTGCTTGGAGGATTTTTGCCTGGCAAAAAAACTCGTAACGTTGGAACCAGTTTTCTAAAATTCAAAATTTTATTAACACCTAAAATAAAATAAGTTTAATGAACTTTTACCTTGGGTAAGTTACTTGAAGTAGCTTTCTCAACCAACTGTGGCACTGGTGCATTGTCTACTTTGGAAGGTTTTGCAGGGCTGTGTCTGTGAGTGACGAGGCTTTCTGCCGAATCCTGAGATCCAATATTTGTTTGTTTTCTAATCTTATCTACAGGACCAAGTATGTCACTGATGCTAGCCTCTCCTGTATACTTGAACATTGTGTATCTCTGCATCTGCTCATCTAAAATTGAGATTCCTTCAGCAGCAGAGGATTCTAAAGGAAATTAAATATGATCAGTATTTTTTTTAATAATGTCTTTATTTCAAACCTACCTTGCGCATTGCTCTCGTTTCCAGTGCTGATGGGGGTGGACTTTTTGCTCGCACTAGTCTTGGATAACTCTTCAGTTTTTTCCTGTTCCTTGCCAGACTTAATAGAGGAGGCGGTTGTGTTATTCCCAGCGCCTATAAATTAAAACAAAAGATAAAAGTGGAATTTTATCAACCCTGCAACATACGAAATGAAAACTTCAATGACCCTGCGGTGGAATTGCTCCAAGATTTTGATTTTCGGTATTGAATTTTGCGTCTCTTGAAATCAACTGGCGTCTCTTCTTCACTGGACGAATCACTTTCAGAGGCTGGATTACGCTGCACTGTGGTGCTGGTTTCAGCTTCCTCATTTGCCAGTGTGTGGTGACGGCTCTTTGTTGACTCTAGAGACATGTTTGTTACCTCCTTGACTGACTTTCTTGGAGCAACGGGTTCTCTATAAGATTCCTCATGCATCATAGAGTAATCCAAGTCCATAGTGTTGGAAAGTCTGAAGTTATCCGAGTCTTTAGCAGGTCTCTTTTCCGCTCCTGAAACGAGGCATGATAATTGAATATTAAGTAATTGAAAAAGTTTAATAAAATATGAGTCTTACCTTTTTGGCCAACTCTGATGGAAATCTTAGATTTTTTGTTCTTGGGCTCCTCTGATTTCTTTGCTGAAAGCTTATGAGATGCTTGACTTTCAGTTCTGTTTTTGTCCACTTCTGAAATTTCTGTCACTGCACTGGTGGAAGACGCAGAAGTTGAACTTGATTTCTGAGCAGCTAGAGAGACTTGTTTGGATTTAACACTTCTTGTATTTTTACTTGGACTATTCATAGTACCAGTTTCTTGGGGCTTCTCTGAATCTGCAATTAACGCCGCAAATTCTTCTATTAAAGTGAGTTTTGAAGAACTGTGAGTAGATATCTGAGAACGCCCTTTGCTTCTTTCTTGACTCCCTGGCACGATGGTTTCTCCAACATTATCCTCCTCAGTAATGGGGGCAGACTTTTGCTCTCTTGATCGCTTTTCAGTAGTATTGGCAGATTTTCCACCAGATTCAGACACATTACTTTTGCCCCCCGAAATGCTTCTTAGAGGTGATAGTGAAAATTCCATAACCCTGGAGCTCTTTTTAGCAGCCCTTTGCCTTCGAGGTTGGATGACTTCCTCTTCAGATTCCTCAGTTCTCGCCCCACCCATGCTAGTCTTAGAAATATTCTCTTCATCAACTACTGTGGATGCAAACGATACTCTGGTTGAAGATTTAGTCTTTCGGGATGTTTTCTTCTCTTGCACTTTATCCAAATTTGAGGTCTTAACTTCCTTTATTGAAGAACTGCGAGGAGATTTCTGAGGAGAATGTTCTTTGCTTTTATTTTGACGCCTTGGCTCAATGGTTTCTCCATCACTATCCTCTCCAATAGGGGGAGCAGAGTTTTGCTCTCCGGACCTCTTTTTCTTTGCGTGGGCAGGCTTTTCACTAGATTCAGAAACATTACTTTTGCCTTCTGACATGCTTTTTAGAGGTGATAGTGAAATCGCCATATCCCTGGAGCTTTTCTTGGCAGTTCTTTGCCTCCGAGATGGGATGACTTCTTCTTCAGATTCCTCAGTGCTCGCCTCATCCCTGTTAGATCTTGACAAATTTTCTTCCTCAACTACTGCGGATGCAACTGATGCTCGGGCTGAAGACTTGGTACCTCTGGAACTTGGTTCCTCTTGCGTTTTCTCCAAATTTGAAGTCTCAACTCTCTTTTTTAGAGAACTGCGAGGAGATTCCTGAGGAGAACGTCTTTTACTTTTATTTTGACGCATTGGCTCGATAGTTTCATTAGTGGGGGCAGAGTTTTGCTCTCTGGACCTCTTTTTCTTTGCGTCGGCTGATTTTCCACCAGATTCAGATAAATTACTTTCACCATCCGACATGCTTTTTAGAGGTGATAATGAAAATTCCATAACCCTGGAGCTCTTTTTAGCAACCCTAGGCCTCTGGGGTTGGATGACTTCCTCTTCAGATTCCTCAGTTCTCGCCCCATCCTTGCTAGTCCTAGAAATATTCTCTTCATCAACTACTGTGGATGCAAACGATACTCTGGGTCTGGTTGAAGATTTAGTCTTTCTAGACGTTTTCTTCTCGTGCACTTTATCCAAATTTGAGGTTTCAACTTTCTTTGTTGAAGAACTGCGAGGAGATTTCTGAGGAGAACGCCCTTCGCTTTTATTTTGACGTCTTGGCTCAATGGTTTCTCCTTCACTATCCTCTCCAATAGGGGGAGCAGAGTTTTGCTCTCGGGACCTCTTTTTCTTTGCGTCGGCAGGCTTTTCACTAGATTCAGAAACATTACTTTTGCCTTCCAACATGCTTTTTAGAGGTGATAGTGAAATCGCCATATCCCTGGAGCTTTTCTTGGCAGTCCTTAGCTTTCGAGAGAGGACGACTTCCTCTTCGGATTCCTCAATGTCCGCCTCATCCCTGTGGGACATCAAAACATTTTCTTCCTCAACTATTGCCGATGAAACTGATTCTCCAGTAGAAGACTTGGACCTTTCCGTAGCTTGCTTCTCCGGAACCTTGTTCAAATTTGAGGTCTCAACTTCTTCAGCTGAGGGGAGTATTGAAACACTGCTAGAAGATTTTTTGGGCAAACTTTTTAAGCTTCTTGCTTTACGTCTTGGCTCAATGGGTTCTCCACTATTGTCCTCTTCAAGTAAAGAGGTTTGCTCTCGATTTGGTGTAAACAACTGGAACCCTTCAAATCTAGAGCTAGTTTTCCTCTTAGCTTTATCTCTCAAGTTAGGGCGTCTATTCTGCACAATAGATTCATCAGATAAGACGCTCGCCTCCAGTGGTGCTGAGACAGAAATGCTGGTTGCATTGCCTGCTTGCGACTTGTCCACTACAGTGCTCTTGGCAGACACATTAGAAGTATTTTCAACTTCGATTTCTTGAGGCGGCTCGACTGTTTCATCCAAAGGGAGGACGTCAGAAATATCTTCTTTCTCACTTACTAAAGCATTGGGTTGAGGGGCATCAAGGTCAGCGATATTTCCATCTAAAGTAATCTGCATGGCCACAGATGCTTTGCTGGCTCTCGAACGTCTTTCACTAGCATCGACAGGTTTTCCACCAGATTCAGCAACATTACTTTTGCCATCCTCTATGCTTTTAAGAGGTGACAATGAAAACATTAAATCCCTGGAGATTTTCTTGGCAGCCCTTTGCCTACGGGTCTCAATGACGTCGTCCTCAGATTCCTCAGTGCTTGCCCCGCCCCTGTTAGATGTTGAAACATTCTCATCCTCAACTACTGCCGATGACACCGATTCTTTAGTCGAAAAATCGGTCCTCATGGAAGTCTGCTTCTCTTGAACCTCCAAATTAGTTGAGCTGTTCGAGAGTGATGAGGTGCTACGGGATGGGTTTTTCCTGGTAGGAACCCATTCCTCTCCATTTGAATCTTCAAGCTGATTAGATTCTTTTGCTGAAGTACTTTTGGGGGATACAGGAACTGGGGGTAAAGAGAAATCTGTTTGTTGCTTTTCAAAGGGTCTGGTCTTTGGTCTTGAAAGCTGAATTTCTTCCCGCGATTCATTCTCAGAATCTATAGACCGAACATCTGCATCCTGTGACCTTAACTGATTCAGTTCTATTTCTAAGGGATCCTTTTCAAACTGTTCTTGCTGATGGACATTATTAGAGTTTTGAATAGATTGATCAACGGAATTCTCATTTTGCAGCTGCTCTTGTTCTGCGTCTGGATGACTTAGAGGTGGCAGATAAATTTCCAAGAATGATTTGGAGGACAGCTTCGACTGGGTTTTCTTCCTCACAATGTCCACCGTTTCATCTACGGAATCCTCCATCACCATTTCTCCCTGATTTTCTTGTTGAGGTAGATCCATTCCATTGGACGATTTAGGGGACATTTTTTCTAGTGCATCCTGTATTAGAACATCAAGAGGGTCCATACCAGGATCGGCAATTTCTTCCCAATCTTGATCTAAAATTGGAGGAGGCAAATCAAGTTCACGTTCACTACTGCAGGATTTTCTTTGCTGAGGCCTTTTAGAAACATCAATAGAATCATCATTTTCTGATTGGGTCTGTCCCTGGGAGTCTTGATTGTTTGACTCGTCAAGTATTGGCATTTCAATGGGTGTCAGTGCTCTAAAGGTTGGTCTGAACGAGCTACGGAAAGTCTTGACAGGACTGTCATGCCTCGAGTCATCACTTTCAATTTGATTTCGAGGACTATCGAGCACAGCAGGAGAAAGCAGCATGGATTGTGAAGTGGCCATCTTTTCTCTGCCAGACATCATAGACCTTCTCAGTTGTTCAGGAGACTCTTCTGTGTCCGAAGCAATCGGCTCAACAGGAACTGTTTTCTCTGGTGTCATTTGAGGAAGCTAAATTCAATAAAATTAGATTATCAAGTAATTAACCTTTAGATAACTTTTACTTCAACATTTAAAGTTGACTTTTCTTTCACAAGTTTAGACTGACGATGTGGAATATTTTCTATATCCTCATCAGATTCTCTTTCCTCGGCAGGCTGGTTGTCGCTATTCAATGATGTGAAAGACACGTCTAGAGTTTGTGCAACGCTCTTCTTAGACTTCCTGGATTTTGTATTTCTTGATGGGATATTCTCCTCATCACTGGTTTCCTCTGAGGTGGCTGCTTTCGAAGTATTGCTTGATTCTAGCTGTAGATCCAAGTGTCTGGTTTCATTAGGACGAAGAGATCTAGAAATAATTTTATTTCAGTTTGAATTAAGAGAATAAATTAGCCATCAAAATCTGACTTTTTAATTTTTGGACGTCTCAATTTATCTATATCAATGCCATCACTATCAGAGTCTTCCATCAAGGCAGCGCTGCTAGCACGTGGAGACATTTTGGAAGCATCCAGCTGCAGATCTACTAGTCGAGATTCGTTACCTCGCATGGATCTGGAATTTATCATTTCAGTTTACAAAAAAAAAAATTAAATTTAAAATTTTTTACTTCTTGTATCGTGGCTTCCTGGCTTTCACTGGACTGTCAGCCTCACTATCAACAGAGGGATCTACAATGCTATTTCGTGATTCAGTGTACCTAGTCATATCAAGCTGTAGATCTATATTTCTTGTTTCATTGCCTCGGACAGACCTAGACAAATAATTTAAGTTTATTTTTTATTTTAAACAAATTAATACATACTTCTTGTTTTTCTTGCGCTGGACATTGATAGGGCTCTCAGGGTCACTTTCTACCTCAGGAGGAGCATTGACAGAAGACTTTGGAGCCTCAGCAGAAAGGAGTTCCTCAAATCTAGTATCATCGGTTCTCTTAGGGCTTTGATGAACCTTTGTTCTCTGGAACAAGTCTGGCTCGCTATCCTCGCTGTCACTGTGGCGGACAGCCCCACCCTTCTGGAAAGCTTCCAAGCTATTTTTATGTTGCTGCCAAGATGAGTCCTGCACACTGAATTAATTAGAAAAAATGGGAAATACTGGGAGATATTCACATGCTATAAAGTTAGTACCAGCAATTCACATAAGCTAACTTAGCACATGAATATCTCCCAAGGACATAATTAACTCACATGATTCTCAGCTTTGTCTGTAACATTTTGGCCATCTTTAGAATTTCTTCTTTTATCAGGTGACATCGAGGGCAAGTAAATTCGCTTGGTTGACTTTGTGCTTTCTTTTGACGTAGAAGGCCTTGAGTGTACATCAGAATTTGAGTCTTCATTAGGCCTGAAATGTGAAATTCAAATGAAATAATATGCACGCGATTTATGAATTTAGGAAACGCGAAACGTACTCTGAAGCTTGTTGATATTGTGGAGCAACTCCGCTCGGCCTTAGATTGCCTTTCCAACTTTGCCTCCCTAAATATTCCATCAACTTTTCCTCGCTCAGAGTTGAAGCATCACTGTCGTCAGACTACAATAAAATTTAATTTTTTGCTTGTGTGTACATGGTAAAGATTACTCACTTCATTGAGAGGTTTTGAAGTCTTCGGGGGAACCTTTCTCGGGCTTTTTCGAGGGCTATTTTTGTTTTTGTTCAAAGCTCTGCTTGTGAGTACCCTGGCTGCCGGTGACTGCAACGTGAAAAAATTTTGATGGAAAAAAAATTCAAATCTTTGTCAAAACATTCGGTTGCAAGATAAAGAGGAAATAAAATACATAAATTAAATTCCAAAAATCCTTACCACTGGTGGAGCTGGTTTCCTTTTCTTGGTTGGCGTGGTGTTTCCCCGCTCCATTTTGCCTTCAATTTGTGAACATAACACGACAAAAATAAACCCCTACAGAAGATTTGCTCAAAACCAAGTGTGGTAAAATCAAAATTCTCAGATTTGTCAAAGAATATAAACAAATTTGAAGTGGAATCTAGAACCCACTTCAAACTACTTCAAGCGCCAACGAATTCTGCCAATTCAGCTGTATTGTATGATTGGCGGGACTGTGTTTTCACAATGCTATTATGTAGTCATGCCAGCCTTAAAAAAATTTAGTTTCTAGGTATCACTTAAAAAATAATTCAAATTTTATTTAATTACGTGTAAAGTTAAATGAATTTTAATTCTTAGACAAATTTTTAGTGTTTTATTATAAAAATCAAGAAAAAGATAATTTTTTACAACCTAATAAAATTAATGTACGTTGGCAATGCTGCAGTAAAGAGGGTAATTGGGTGGTGGGGAGATGTACTGTGGTCTCTGAGAATGCAACGTTGCCAATTCGAACTAGCCGAATCTAAATAGCATGCGTTTTTTACGTCATACATACAAAATTGGTGCCGTCGACCCGAGCGACAGACATCTTGAATCTCGGGAGGTGCGCTGCTTCGAGTGAAGCTGTTTTCGACGCTCTTTTTTCCACTTTTATTGTGATATTTTCTCAACCCGAGGAAGGTCATCAAGCCACTTTCCCGTCAGAAATTTCAGTCAATTTTTGAACCATGGGACGCAAAAAGAAGAAGCAGTCGAAGCCCTGGTGCTGGTATCCTTTTCTATTCTGCAAAAATCAATGAAAGCGAGCTTCTGATCGAGGCTCGACATTTTCGTAATTTCTAGACATGTTTATTTTTGGCCGCATTCGTGCTAGAGAGATTTTTTTGAAATTTATTCTTTTTTTCTAGCTCACAAAGTTTGTTCGAGCACTAAAAGTATAAAATTCTGAAGCTAAAAAATCGCACTCAAAACAAATCAATTTTATGATTTAACAAAAAAATTCCATTTTCCTTGACCTTTTGCTTAGGTATTGCAACCGGGAGTTCGACGATGAGAAGATATTAATACAGCATCAGAAGGCGAAACACTTCAAGTGCCACATTTGCCACAAAAAACTGTACACAGGCCCTGGTCTTTCAATCCACTGCATGCAAGTGCACAAAGAGACAATAGATAAAGTTCCAAACTCGTTGCCGAATAGATCCAACATCGAAATAGAAATCTACGGGATGGAGGGCATTCCGGAGGTGGATCTCAGGGAACACGAAAAACAACGAGCAGGTATTATCCGCTTATTCGCAATTAAATTCACGAATTGTAATTTTATTTTGTGGCTCTTCAGGTGGGATGCGACCACAAAGTCCAGACAGCGGGGACGAAGACGAACCTGCTGCCAAAAAGCCAAAGGACGCCCTCCAGGTAGGAGCAATGCCCGGCGGCACACCGGCGCCCAATGGTCCTCAGATGATGACCATCCAAGGAATGCAGCAGATGGCCCCTGGTATGCCTGGAGGACCTTTGATGATGCACCCCATGATGGGGGCGTCACCCTTCATGATGGGTCCCATGGGACCCATGCTCGGCAACCACCAACTTCAGCAGGCGCAAGCTCCCAACAAACCTCTCTTCCCGGCTGCTGCGGCAGTAAGATTTAAAAAAAGTCTCTTGAAATTATAATCAAACAATAAAATTTTAGGCGAGTAGTACAACGTCGTCGGCAACTGTCGTGGGAGCCGACTTTAAGCCCATTACGACTTCTGCAAGTGCAACAACGCAAGGGAGACCTACATTTGCAGCTTACGGGTAAGTGGAGATAGAATCAACATCAGAGTAAATTATTAAATTTTCTTTTTTTAAACAAACGCAATTTTTTTATTTAAAGAATCCGCAAACTTTTGGAACAAAATTTCCAATAGAATCAGTTTTATTGAACTGTTGAATATATTAAAATTTTAGTTCCAGCACGCCAAGTGGCAGTGACACGCCAACGGGCTCTGGGTCGAGTACGACACCAAAGACGCCCGCGATGATCAACACAACAAGTGCCACAAGTAGGATTATGCACCCGCCCGAGGACATTTCTCTGGTGAGTAGCGCAATGCATTAAGTTTTGCTCTTGGAGCATGTATTTCTGTATTTATATATCACCAAGCAAAAGTGTGTGTGACATTGTTGCATTACTACTAGACTATTATATATTTAAATATCTCCATTTATGATTTTCTCTTTGCTTTTTAAACAAATTGGCAATTTTTGAGTAGATTGGTTCAGCAATTGGTCTGTGCTTCTCTCTAATTGGCGAGCAGTGTAGTGGGATTATAATTTTGTGTAGATCCTTTTTCCTTATCTCATTTAATTCGGAGCCAATGTTGCCCTCTCACCTAATCATTAATATTGTGCATTGGTGTATCTGATGTGAGGAAGAGAATTCATAGAACCAAACAAAAAAAAAACTAGGTAAATACCCTCAATCTATCTTTGTATGTTATTAATATTTTTTGTTGTGTATTTTGAAATTTAAAACTTAAAACACAAACCAATTGCAAAAAGTTTATTCAATGATTGTCACATCACCACCTTTAATGCTTGAGAATGTGCTGTTTAATGCAAATGAGGGTGCTGTGTGGTAATTTGGGGGTGGTTTGGATGGTCAGGAGGAACGCAGGGCCACACTACCCCAGTACCGACCCAATGCTGGTGCTGCTTCTCTTGGTGGAATGATGCCTGCGGGGATGGTGGCTCCTGGTATGCTCTCCTCCCCACTAGCTGCTGTTTCTTCGGCTGACGAGGCGGCCGTTGCTCATGCACCCTCGGCGGCCCTGTTCGCCTCGTCCATGGCGGCTGCTGCAGCAGCAGCAGCTGCGATCGAAGTAAGTCTCGGAATGTGTTAATAATTAACAATTATTTTCAACTGAATATTTCAACATCACTCTTTGATTTTGTTAAATTATTTTCTCATCAAGAACACACACACACTCACACCGTCTTATTCTATTTTTTTGGAACATTCGTTGACTGAGATGAACACTGCCTCAATGTGCTGTTGACATTTGTTTCTGCATTTTTTTACTCTATATTATGGACATGAATTTATCTTTAAATATCCAGTTTAATTATTACTGTGTTATATATTATTCTTTGCGCGTGGCATCATCTTTTCTAGATTTTGCAATGTTAGTTCTCGGGTATGTTTTGGAAGCCAGTAGTTAATCTAACCTTTGGAATTGTTAATTATTACTATTATTACTTTCCTCACAGTCCTAATTCTAGCTGCTTATAATTCAATCACACTGCTAAAGGTGCAATATGATAACCAGTATCATTCCGAGATAATCAGGTCGATTTTATTTCCTTCACTATTTGAATACAGAAAAAAAATATGGACCGAAATCAGACAATTTTCACATGAGAGAAACCTTGTTTTAAAATATGACTCGTACCCTTCTAGGAAGAGAGACGAGCCTTGATGCCTCGCTACCAGCACAGCGCCCTTCTTCCCCATGGAATGGTTCCTCTTTCAGTCGCCCAACCGATGATGCTGGCTGCCAGGCCAATGGTCAGCGTTGCGGGCCACCAAGTCACAAATGCTGCAGGTTTGTTCAGACAATTGAATTTGGAAAATTCCAGCTAATTTGCGCCTTTTTAATTAAATGAAAACACAAATGAAGTGGATAATTTTTACAGGCAAATTTAGCAGTTTAGGATAAAAAACTGCTTGAACTTTTGTCTGATTTAATAACAATGACTTTTAAAGAGTCATTTTATTTTCCAGCCGTAGCTATGATGAATCAAGCGCAGGCAAACGCTATGCTTCGAGCGCAGCAGCAGCAACACCCTGCAGCCATGGCCGCCTCGATGGCCGCTGTGGCTCTCGGCCAATTTCCCGGAGGTCATCATGGTCACCAAATGGCCATGCTGCACGGGGCCAACATGCTTCGGCCACCGCCAATGGGGCTGCCGCCAGGTTGGTAACAAGTTTCATATTTTGGAAGACGCCTCATCATTCTTTTTTCATTGAAGGGAAGGGTGTCGCAGTAAAGTTGTTCATAGTTTTTGCTTGCTTATCTTGTTGTGTCACTTACAAACTAAGCTTGAATTTTTATCCTCGTGTTAGATGTAGGAAATAAATCATGAACTCCTAAATACCCTGAAATTTGGTCGAGAATCATGTAGATTAAATCCAAAGTAAATTTAATGGCTTCAAATATCCGGCTGGATTAATCTTGTTTGGAGTTTTCAAATTAATTGAAAAAAATTTTTTTGTTCTATTTTCAAATGTAGAATTAAAACATAATTTTTTTAACCATTTTGTCCATTTTTATGTTCACTCTATAGTAAATTTGCTGCTATTGAAAATCTTACAAATTTATTGCACCGTTTATCTGAAATGTATGTGTCACTTTTTTGATGTGCTCATTGCAAGTTGTTGGATGCACTTTCAGGCATGATTCACGGTTTGCCGCATGGCGCGCCAATGGGCCCATTCGGCGGTGCGCCCATGGGCTTCCCCGGCCACCCGATGTTGGCACCGATGATGCACCCACGCTTCAGATGATCAGGTTTGCTGGGCTGGGAGGACGTGATGGGAGGCGGAGTAGCTGCCCCAGCGCCGTCGACGGGCTTGCCACCGCCGATGCAAGTCGCGCCTCCTGCAGCTGCTCTTCCTGTCCCAGTGTCAACAGTTACCGCCCCACCTCGGCCCATGGCAGGAGTGTGGCTCCTTCTGCGGTGAGATCAGCTCGCAACTCTCGGCCCCGACGAAGCCTCGGCTGACTGAATGGCCGGCCAGACGCAATGATCAGTTGTTTAGTCAAACCGGTATTTATCTTTTCTTTCGATCCATTATATATACATTTTTCCTTCTCCTGATCACACTTGCACTCATCAACTCAATGGAGCTGAATACAATAATTTTGATAATTTTTCATCAGCATGCAAATATTATGTTGACCAAGCAAGGCGTTGCAGTGTGTCTGTTATTTATTTTTTTAAAATTCTGTACCTTAAATATTAAATACAATATTCGTAAATGTGGCGTTCCGAAGCGTACTGCACTCTGTGGAGGGGACTATATATTCTTTAAATTAATTCATTTGATCGAATTTCTCAACACGGTTGTGGATGATCATGCTCTCAGAATCCAATTCTTGTGCATGCCCAACTGACAGGATTGGACTTGTTTTGTTGCTTTTTCTTGCTCTGTAGATGCTTGACCCAGTCAATTGGCCACTTTGGTGGAGCCGCCTCTGATCCGAGCAATTAGTGGCAGTGTACTTAATTAATTAACTAACCCATCAGAGCCGGCTTCTTGTTATCTCTAGAAGTAAAAACAAAAAAATAACGATTTTCCCTACGGAAACCGATTGCTCATTTGAACGACACGAAATAAGTGTTCAATTCAAAAAAAGACTATAATAATTCAACAAACAATCTCTGCCGATTTTTGAGAATCCAATACCCTAGCGTACGTGTTTTCTGTGTGTACATATCTAGCATGCTGTGATAGATGGATGCTAGTATAATTTCCAGTTGTGAAGGTCCGCTTTGGGAGGAAAGGTTCATTCCGTCCACTTAGTCGGAATTAAAAGAAAAATAAAAAAAAAAATCTTGAAACCATTTTCCCCAACTGGAGTCTTGACCGCTGGGAAAGAGCAAAACTAAACACTTAACAAGTAAAATTGTACTGTGGAAAAAAATCCATCTGGAAAGAAGCATTTTCACCTGGCAAATTAATGGCTTGCTGCTGTTGAAACTGTTGTAGATCTGTGGTATTATATCATTCAATAACATAGTTGGAGCAGAATGTACTATTGTCGATTTTACAGAATATTTTATAGAATTACTATGTTCGTTTGTAAAGCCACTTTTAGACACACACACACTAAGCAATTTTTCAATCAATGTGTAACTTTCGAAAGACCTTTGGTGACTTCTTGAAACTTGTCCCGATCTTGTGTGTATCTTACTAATTGGATGCTATTTTCATTGCAAGACAGCTGAGACTCATAAAAACTTCTAATTTTAATTTCAAACATTTAAAAAATAAATATATTAATTGATGACAAATTTCTTTAAAAAGCCTAACTGGGTTTCAGCTTTTTGCAACACTCGGCATGCTGACATTACAAAACAAAACATTTCCCTCCTAATCATAGCACCCTTGCTGATACCAAAGCCCTCTCTGATCGTAACTGAAACACCTCTTCCAATTTATCGACAGAATTTAATGCATCTGCAACAACAACATTGCTGTTTTAAGCCTCCACAGCTCGGTGAGTGATCCAACTCTCAGTATCATTTACCATATTTATATATATATGACGTTATTGAGTGGTGGCGTATTACTTTTTTATTGTATGCACCCGGTCGAGTGAATTTTTGGACCAACGTTTCTCGGCCGGCCCCGGCCGACCGGGAAACGCAGCGCCTGTTTTGTCGTAGTTTTGGCACAAGCAAGGAGCAGTTAAAATAGCAATGATGAAAGGTGGGACTTCTTTTTTTCCTTATTTTTATTTTGATATAATATATAAATACATTTTAAGTTCTCAATCAAAACACATGATGAGTCAGTTAGTAAATTTTTGACGTACAAATTAATTAATTAATAACTGATCATTGAACGTGTGCGTTATAGTTTTTGAGCTGTGCGTAGGACAGCCTGTTTTACGTTTATTGATTGAATTTGGCTCTTTGAATACTTTTGCACCTCGATGGTTACATTCTTAGGCCTACTCACACTCACACGCAGGCAATCAATCAATCAATCAATACTTTTGGTATGTTTTTGTTTTGTTTTTGTCATAAAACAGTTAGTTGACATACATAAGAAAAGGTAAGCCGTTTTTCTTTTCATTATTTTTTACCTCCACCTCCTGCCTCCTTCCTGGGTTTTGGTTGGTATTGTCATTTCTTTTTTTTATATATATAATTTCTCCTTTTTTTCTGTACATTGTTAACTTCTTTGTTTTCAACCAAATCTGTTGCCTCTGCCACACACGCATAAACCGCTGACATGTTTTACTCTTAAGTTGACCTCTTTCGAATTGGGTACCTCCGTAATATATATCTTACGCTCAGATTGTTTTTTTTTCCATTCATTAATTAATTACTTGCTGTGTGAGTACATACGACTTTTGCGAACAAGATGTTTCTCATCCATGTAATCTTTGGCAGTCTAATTTGTAACTCAGGGGCTAATGACAGACAGAGAGTATAAAGTAAGTACAGCAAAATTTGTAAGGTCCGCGCGGAAGGGTTGAGGAAAAAATGTTCACTTGTAATATGGTGATGCGCGGTGTGCGATTCTTCGCCGGGTGGAAAATTTAAAAAAAAAAATGGGTTCCTTTTAACAAATTGATTCCGCGGCAATCGAATCGCAGACCGCGTCACGCCACCATAGCGTTGCTCTCTTTGCGAAAAAGAAATAGATGGCGTGTGTTATCTCGATAGAGAGATATATTTCTAATTAACCTTAAATAATTTAACAATCCTTGCTGAGATTCGTTGATGCAGAAAGATACGAGGAAATATTAATAAAAGTTTAGATGTCTCAAGCTAAGCATTTGGCGTTTCTGTGTGTAGCACCAGGTAAGCGCACTCTCTGAACCTCCCCTATTTGAATGGGGCTAATCTCAGTAGTAGATTCTCATACCGAGTTCGTTTCATTATATTATATTCTCTTTCCTCTCCTATTACAAATAATCGCAGTACCGCATATTCATGGCTTTTGATTAATCAATCCACTGATTGTCTTTGTCTATTCGATTTTGTGATAAAAAAGAAAAATAAGGGTGAATCACTGAACCAAAAGATTAATATGGTTTTTTAATTTTTTTTTTCTCAAAAACAGGCTAAGCACATTTTTTTTTAAAATTAAAACTAGTGGTTCAATGGATACAAAAAAAGTGCATGTTGGTTGGTTGGTTTCACAAGCAGCGTCAACTGGAAATTGTTCTCTTTGATCGCACAAAGGTAGGAATTGTCCCAATAATAATAAAATGCAAAATCTGTCTCGTCGTCGTCGGCTGCAATAAGGTAACCAACTATACAGTATTTCTACTGCAAGCATGGTGGTGGGGGATGATTGCAGCATTCAAGGCATTCATTGCATCTGTAAAACTACACCACAATGTCACAGCTTCCCGAAAGGGTTGCTGTTGGGTCCTATGGCCCCCAGCTAAGCCCAGTTTTGATAACCTGCATCTAACTAAAGTGTCCTCTCAAGTCTTCAGCAATTCTTTGCCCTGCTGTTTCCAAATTAATAAATTAATGGCAAAGATTTGCTCTGAAAAAAATTCAACTAAATAAAATACCGGCTATTATAGGCCTTTCTAAAGTATAATACAAATGATGAGGCGCTTTAAACCTACTGGATGGCTGGTGATATTTGATAATCAGCTGGCATTTTTGTGATGTTTTTCGTGCACAATTTAATTTCAACTCAAATAAAACTTGAGCCGTATACAAAGTAGCACCTTCGCTGTGGCTTTTGATCAAAATTAGTTAATTTGATTTTTGACTTTTTTTTACTCACTTTTAAAGTGCCAGCTGATTATTTTGGTATAGAGATCTTCAACAAGGTGTGTCAGCTTCATTTTCGCTATTTATTTGCTGCTACAGTGGTCGCAACGTCGAGCGGGTCTCAGGCCCGTGGCGTTGCTGGGCGAAAGAGCCCCCAGCATCAATTGCTGGTGACGCACCGTGTGATTAATCAAACCTTCAATAAGTGAGAAGCTGAGCTACCTGTCTCGATCAGCTTTAAACCAATCTTCACGAGAGTCGCTTTCTTCATCCGAGCTGAGCGTTTTGAGTCTGAACAAAAAGTAAGTCGTCTTCCATCGAGAAGCTGACCTTTTTAATCTTTTACATAAAATTGAGTTTTACTCGAGAAAAAAATATCTTCATAATTTATTTTATTTTACAGAGGAATGATAAAAAGAAACCAATTGTTTCATCTCTGTATTTTTTTATTATTATTATTAAATAATAAAATTACAAAAAAATTATTAATTCTTACAAAGTATAAATTGCGTTTATTGCAATGAAGTGAAAATTTTGTTTTTTTTCCTTTATTATTTTCGAGAATACACTAATTTTTTGCAGCAAATACGCATTTTCATTGCATCAACTACCCTTTCTGATGTGCTTAGGTTAAGTAAGGAAAATAGGTCGGTGTTTTTTTCTTCTATTATTATTATTAATCGCATTGCAAATAATTGGAAGCAGCAATATTTTATTTTATGAAGTAATATTATTCATATCACAGAATCAATACCGATGCTAGTCAACTTATGGTATTCAAGAATTCAGTTGAGTTCAGATATTAAAAAGAATTTGCAGAAACATAATTTATTTTAAACTAGATTGAAGTACAAATTAAATTGAAACTAATTGTGGCTTTTATAATATGAAAGTGTTCCTACCATGATATATGGCCATTTAAAAATTTGATGAATCCAGTTTAGAGCTGAAAATTAACAATTAAAACGACGAGTTGGAAAGCTTAAGTGCACCGGAACCTTTCATCTTGCATGGACTAAAAGAGTTTAAAATTTTAAATGTGGACTTTCTACACAGTTGGAAAAATTACCGACAAGCTTATACGGGAGCCAGAATAAAGCCAGCAGTTTAATGAGGCTAGGGCACATAATCGCACCAATTAGGGTGCACCGAGAGAGTAATGATCGGCGAGTCTAGCTTAGTGAGTTCTCCAGCGGCGGGTGCACTGGCTGGGAAGTAGCTGGCGCGGCATGTGGTGCCATCTGGAAATCGATAAATCCAGAATCAATGAGGGAGAGCAGGAGCAGAGCGAGTGGCTCGAGGAGTCAGTGCGAGGGTTGTGGACGAGGCAGCAGCAGTGGCCAGCAGGCTGGGCATCTGGCAGGCTGGCAGCAAGTTGAGATCGAGGCGGCCTCCCTGACCAGGACACACTTCGGCAGGGGCCAGCGATGCGGCCGAGCACAGTCCTCGACGAGTCGCGGCGGCCTGTGATCCGAGCGGCCCTCGAGGACCACGGCTGTCGCGGTGCAGCCAGCGGCGCTCGGCGAAACCCCCAAAAGTAGATCACACGCACTACACACACCGTCGCTCTCATGCCAAATATGCTGCACCTTTTTTTGCCCGAGGAGCGCGCCTCCACACGTTTTCGCAGGATGCAAAGGCAGGAGCAGGTGACGCTGACGGTGCTTCACATACTTTAATTTGCTTCCTGCAAAGTGAACCGACACCCGGACAGATGCGAGGAGAATTGAAAACTGGTGAGATCAAATTTTAAGACTGGAAATAAATTTTTAAATGTATATTTAAAAACATTTATAAATTTCAAATAATTCTAATTTTGATATTTAGAAATAAATTTCATTAAAAACTGGTGACATGAAATTTTTACGAATTAATAAAATTAAATAAAAAATTAAATTTTTCAATATGAAAATAAAAAAGGTATAAAAATGAGACAGTGTAAAGTATAATGAAGATTGGCAGGTTAATAAAACCTTCCAATTTTTGGGGAAATTTTCCTGGTATGTCATTTTCTAAGAATCATCTTTCCGTGTCTTTTCACAAACGCTTTTATCTTTTCCAATTTACTTTTGTCTTCTATCCTGAAAATCAAGTTACTAGTTTTCCTGGATTTTCTATTGCATAATAAAATATTTAATAATATTACTAATTCTTTTGCACCGATTTAATTTGAAAGCTTGAATAGATTTTATCTTCAGATACCGTTTTTTAAGAAGCGCTAGTGGAGACGGCTATGGTCCGCTGCTCATAATTGCGCATCAAATTTGATAGTGCGCGTGTATATAATATGCAGGGAAGGAGAAAGAGCTGCTCCGCCTATCGTCTCTAAGCTGTTTGCATTTTGATCGTCCCGTTTTCGAGCAGAGCACACACACACCTCTATTAAATGCTTTTATGATAATCACACGCGGCTCTTTACTGTTCCCGCACACGAAAGTTTGACGGGAGTAAATTTTACTAATTATGCAGCGCCGAGTCGTAAAAATTTCGCGCTTATCTCCGTCGGGGCATTTTCGCAGCCACTTAAATTTTGGAAAAGGAAATGAAGTGTGTATGTGTGTTTTATTGAGAGCGACAAATTGAATAGGACAATTTATCTTAATTTTGTGGCTCCCCGCGGAGTGTAAAGAGACGCGTCAGCTGTTTCTAATTGGGGCCCCCTCGCACGGCCCTTGGCATTAAATTTAATTGGAAATGGTGCGCTGTTGTGGGTTTATTAAAACGTTTGCATTATTTACAAAGCGACCGCAAAAAGGACGGAATGTTTTAATTGATTGATTTATATTATGCGAAAGCCGAGCGGAAAAATCACTGAATGTTGAGAGATAGGAGCACCACTAATGCTGCGGCAGTGTTTTCAAAACGGCGCAAATCGGATTATAAATGAAAGTCCCTCTCTTTCGCGATACTCGTCCTCTATTTACAAATGAAACCGCTGCTTTTGTGAACCTTTCCCTCTCATTAACGGAGATTAATTTCCATTATACCTCCAGAAGGGGTAGGAGACGAATTTTAATTGCAACTCGTGGTTTGAAAACTTCCATTATTTCTCATCCTCGGATATAATTTTCGTGTTTTTCAATATATCAGTATTATATAAACTCATGGTTCATATCTAATATAAAATTATATAATCCTTTAAATTATATGTATAGTGGTAACGCAATAATTATATCATAATAAATTATAAAATTATTCAACAAAATAAATATTTAACACGTGAAATATAATTTAAAAAAAAAAACATCCTATTACTATAATTTGTTAAGAATTTAATTATTTTGTTCACGATTATAAAGCTTTTGAGTAAAATAATTATTATTAGTTGCGATTAGACATTTCAAGATCTATTTAATATTCAAACTTAACTTCACTGTAAATAAATAGAAGCGATCATTTTAAAACGTTATTAATTTCCATGCTAAAACTACACTTATTTTTAGCTGACGTGACTTTAACAGGGAGTTTTATGCCATAATTATTATTTCTAAATTAAATTTTTGTTTAATTTTGTTTCTTTGAAAAGTAAGTGAAAATCTTTAATAAGAATTTTAAATCAAATCAACATAAAATTTAGCAGCCTGTTTTATATAAAGTAAAATCAATTCTATATCGCAGCTCCCTGAAGAAGTCCTCACAATCAGCTGAATATCACTGATCATTTCTTGTCAAAAACAGATCCAGTTTTTGCAGAAATAATCATGAAGCCACTTCAACCACTATTTTTTTATCGGAATCAAATACATAGAAAAAGACTTGAAACTATTAATTTTGAATTTTGAGAATTGCCCACTGACAGTGAGTAACTTTTTTATTTCAACATTTATTTCAACATACAAAAAAAAATCAAAGGAAAATCAAAGTGGAGAGGATAATTATGTAATTAATTTGGAGAGCTTCTGTTCTTTTTCAAGAAAATTGCTTTTACTGAATGAAAAAGCATTCAAAATGAATAAGCAAAATTGGGCTGCTTTTTTCATTTTTTTCCTTCAAAAAAATTGACAAAGGTGCTTTAGTTGTTGAAAAACCCTCAACTCTGTGTTGGTGGGTTGCGAGAAAAATCTGAGGTGAAGGCAGCGCTGATTAAACGTGGCGGCGGCAGCGGGTCTTGTGCGTCAAGCAGCAGCTCGTCGCACACGTACTGCACCCCGAAGGCTGGAAGAAAAATTTCGAGCTCAACCGTGAGCCAACGGAGAGACGCAGAGCTCGCTCAATAATTTGTTTCCTCCGAGGACAATTTCCTATTTGTTACATTTCCTTCTTTCGCGTGCTGGAGGTGCGGTGCCGCCCGCCAGCTTAAAGCGCTAACAAAGAGCCATTTATGCACAGGAGATGAGAGCACAGCTCGTGCAACCGTCGTTTATAAACCCCTCGCGCTGGTGGGCGGGCGGCCACTGTTTGCCAAACCTTTGCTTTTTGCGGCGACTCCGTTCGATCCGTGCGTTTTTCAGCAGCCAAAGCACCAGACAATTGCGACCGGCTCAATTTTGCACCCTTGATTGAAAGTGATTGGTTTTCCGAATGGCCCTTTTTATCAGAGCCCAGATAAAAGAGACCTTTTGTCTGCCAATGGATTTTATTAAATTTTGTTTCTACTGATTTTATTTTTTAGAACATTTCGGTTTGTTTCATTACCTGAATCTAGTGTTTTAATTTAATAAGTTATATTAATGGAAAATTTATTTTAGTTTTTTTACAGGGGAAAAAATATATTTAAAATTTTAAGCACTAGGGTTCAGCCGTGGTTAATTTAGCAAAATTAGCACTGCTATGAATTAATTTTGATAAAAGTTTAAAAAAAAACGTAATTTTTCCTTCAAAAGGAATTTTTGTTCTTAAAAAATTGTAATTGTCTCGTATTTCACGACTTAATTCAATTCTTTATAATTATTCGATAAACGTTTTTCAAAAAGCGCAAGAATAATTTCTTAATTGGTCCTTGATTTTTTTATTGGCAATTTGTAATATCAAAGACGAGTATATAGACGAGAATAATGTAAACGAGTGTGTTAAAATCATGAACGAAGTATTAAGAGATGTCGTGTATTGGTCGGAAGCGAATGGACTGAAACTCAACCCGAGTAAATCGCAAGCTATGTTTGTTTGTTCTGAACGAAATAATTCTAAAATCTCTGCGATGTTAAGTGAAAAATTATATTTAAATGATGTTGAGTTAAATTTTGTGCAAGATGCGAAAAATCTTGGTGTTATGTTTGATAAGAATTTGTCTTGGAACGCGCAAGAGTCTAGAATATCGCAAAAAGTTTACGGTACTTTAAAAAGTATTGAAAAATTCAGAAATGTTACTCCCGAGAAAGTCCGTATAAGACTTGTCAAAAGCTTGATTCTGCCACACTTTGATTATTGTGACATTGTTTACTGTAATTTGACAGCCACGCAAATTAACAAATTGCAAGTACTGCAAAATCATTTGATCAGGTATATTTTTGATGTAAAGATCGGACAAAATTTATCACCCTTGTATAAAAAATGTGAAATTCTGAAAATCGCGGATAGGCATAAATTGAAAATTCTAGTTCAGACACACAAAATCTTGTATAAAAATAGTCCAGAGTACTTGAACGATTACGTTACGACAATGTATGATGTAAATTTGCTCGGGCGCACGAGAGCGCACCGAATGAAATTGCTCGCACCGTTTGTTAGTGTGGAGGTACCGGAAAACTGTTTTCAAGTTCAATGCTATAGGCTTTGGAATGAGTTACCATCAAATCTATGTTTGAATGAAAATGTTAATTTTTTTAAATCGGTACTGAAAAAGCAATATTTTGAGCAATACTAATGTTTTCTCTCTCTCTTGTTTTAAAATTTTCGTTTTTTGTCATTTATTTGGATGAGTTCATGTATGGGGCATAGTTGCCCTAAATTCGAACCCAATAAACATTTCTTGAACCTATATTTAGGAATAAAATAATTGAAAAGTAACTCTCTCAGGCAATCAATGAGTGGAAAATATCAAGTGGTTCAAATTAATTCCATTTAATTAACTTCAGCCGCTTTATATTTCGAAACTTGGGAATACAACATATTTTTCAATGAAAATCCTTTTTGTATGGAAGAAAAAAAAATGTTCCACTTAAAATGAACCGTGTCCCGAGAGATAATAAATGCAACTATTTTTTTACGATGTAAATATTTCACAGAATTTATATAACATTGTTTGTTTGTCTAATTGTTTAAGTTAAAAGTAATTTTTTCTCTTTTCAGAATGCATGTTCTGAGGAGTCAATAAAAAGCTATACAAAAAACAATTCTAAAAAACAAATTAATTGAGGATAAAATTCTAGATTAAAAATTTTGTTAGCGTTTTTTTTATGTAGTTTGTAATTAAAAAAAAAATCCTAATTTTTTTATTTTTTCTTTGCATGATTAAATTAAAAATATTTTAATTTATCAAAGTTTCCCAATGATGTGCTGATCTAATTATAGCAGAGTCTTTGGAATCTCATTTGTAATTAAATTGCATTCAGAACCTTTTTGCAGTGTACAATTTTTCATTATCCATTCTATAAAATATGCGTAGTCGTCTCTCTGAATGCAATCTTGAAAATTTGCATTTTCCTTTATTGCAAAATGCACTCTTGAAAGCGCGCGCATAGTTGCATAAGATCCTCTCTACTCTGAATAAAACGCTTTGAAACGCAGGATAAAAATGGAATTCAAGTAGCTGGAGTCGGACAAAATAGAAATTATTACACAGTTGGCTTAATGAACTACCACTTGATTCGATCTGCTCTAGGTGAGCGCACACTCGCTCTGCTCTCTCGGATTCTATCGATTTGCACTGCATATAATGATCAGCCTATACCGTGCATCTCTCTCTGGCTCTGTTGCTGACGGCGACACAAAACCGCCAGAAGCAGCCTTCAGAATTGCGGAATCATCATTTTTATTCCGCGCAAGCAGCGCGTGGAGGCGGTTCGGTTCCGCTGCCTCTTTCAATTAGTTCGCTCTTGAGAAAGAAAGATGCCTTTTTTCTCTCGTCCGCGCCGCGAAAACAAAAGAATTTTCTGCGTCGATCTGCCGGACAGTCTTTTCTTATTTGCGAGAGTGCTTACGCGTCTCCGGCTTGATTATTTTTGTCGTCGCATACTTTTTGTTTCATTAAAGACAGATAAACTTTTGCTTCATTCAAATAAGAAGAAATGTATGAAAATCTGTAAATTTAACGTCATTTAGTGAATTTTAACAGAATTAATTTTTAATCAAATGTGAATCTGGACTTTTTGTTTCCAATTCAAGAGGGAGAATAAAAATCACTGGTCACAGAAAAAGCATTTTTGGGGCCAGACCTCAACTATTTTCACTCATAAACCTTTATTTTGAACAATTTCGTTTATGCTACTTATTGTTAGTTAACAATACACAAAACCCATTCGAGGAAATAAATGCCGTTTTATTTAAATTCAAACAACATGATTATACCCTCGAATACTATCAAATTTGCGAGATCAGATGTCTTGTTATATTTCAAGGGAAATAGCCAGAAAGCTAGTTTTTCGGTTGATTTCATCACGTTTACTGATTGTAAGATGATAATTGGAAATTCAAACCCAATAAATATTTTCTTGAACCTAATCGTCCTTTTTGTAAGTCAATTTTTGTAGCAAAATTGCCACGTTTTTCTAACACAATAATTCGACTAATGAAAAGTATTGATAAGTCATTTATTCCATTTCTTAATTTGTCTGATATTTCATTTCAATTCTTCAATGGTACAAAGAAATGGATGTTTATTGAAAAAAAAAAAAAAAAGATAAAAAAGGTTTAAAATATTGGCTTATTGAAAATTTTAAATTCACAATATTTTTTTTAATAATTTATTTATTTGCCAAAAGTTGTTTGCAAATGTTTTGTAAACGCAGAAAAAATTTGCACTATGGAAACACATCCATAATACAAAGAAAAGAAATTAAAAATTATTATATAATAAATTAATTAAATTTATCCTATGCTGAACAATCAAATATTTATTCTGAACTTGGCAGTCGCATTGACAAAAAGTGTCAACTCTATTCTCCGGTTGATGTGAATGTTTGATGTGCAAAAATTTGTTTGGCATAAAAAATTTAGTGTCAGCAGGCAAAAGTGGGCTCTCTCGCTGTGTCGGTCGGTTGTTTGGCAAAAAGCACTCTTGCGAAGTGTACGTATGCGGCGCGGTCGTGTCGCGTCCATACTATGGAATTCACACAGAGCTGCTGAATAAATATGTATATGAACGCAAGCCGCCGTCACCGTGTATTTGTAAATATGAATGCGCAGAGAAAGTGCGTGGCGAACAAGTGGCCGGGCTTGAAAGGAAATTAATTGCGATTGCGTGACGTCAAAAGCGCGCAATTTAAAAATGCATTAAAGCGTCGAACATTTGTTTGGCGTGGCGCACGCCGAGATGGATTTATATTCATCTCAGTCAGTCACTCAGCCTGTCGCCATCGACATCTGGAACATTAACGTCACACATGTCAGTCCTCGGCGGAAAAGTTTCAAATCACTTCCCATTGATTTTTCAACGCTGAATTGGCGCAGATCAACAAAATGATGGAGTTTCAATCCATAATCTTCTGATTGGATTTGACATTTTGCAGAGTGATGGCATAAATAAATTAAAAAAAAAATTGCTGCTACTGATATGATTAATTTTATATAGTTGCAAATTGTGTTTATTGATCTATCACAAAGGCAATTGCTGCCCATAACGGGATACATCATTTATACATTCAAAATTATATAAAAGTAAAATTTAAAACTAGATTTTTTTCCCTACATTTTTGTATTATCTTGATGAATGATAAATTTTTCTTGTCAACAAGCATCTATTTTTAAAAATTATGCTCATTTTGAACATTGTTCTAATTGTAAGTTAGCTTATGGGAATTTTTGGTTCTAGCTTAGCATGTAAATTATCCTCCAATGTTATTTTTCAAATGAACTTTAGCTTAGAAAACCGCTTTCTTGACAAGAAATAGCTTCGTTTATCATTAAAATTTTTTTTTATAAATAGTTTTCTTTAAATTTTTAGAGTCCCATCAATAATGCATTTTAAAATTTAAAAAATATTTTATGTAGATTATTTATTTAGAATTAAGCAAATAACCATCAAAATGTAAAGAGATAAGTGTCTAATGATTCCAATTTTCCATTTAAAACTAACAAGAAATTCAATTAGGTTTAAATGCTCCGAAATTCGAATAAATTTTGAAGAGGAAAGCAACGAATTTTTATTTCGAATCAAATTATTAATTGAAGTAGTGCTGAGCTCGTTCGACAAGGAAAAAGCGGTGGCAAACAAACAGAACAGGAGGAAAATACCAACGCAGCCAATCAATATGGGACTTAACAAATGACATTCCATGTGTCACAACTCACAACGTCGTTGGCTCGCGTGTGCGAGAAGCAGTCGTGATGTAAGAATTGAGCCAGCGCTAGTTTTTCTCGGGCGCGTGGAATCAACAAAGGAGGAAAAAGAGAGAAAAGTGGGCTATGTACAGTACTCTGTGCTGCTCTCCCAGGCTCTTTCAACTCTTGGCTCTTGGCGATACATAGGCAACCCGCCGCACGCCGGATAAAGCAAAACTAGTTCAATTACATTCTCGGAAGCGTTTTACGACGAGCGGGCGCGAGATAAACAAATTTATTTCGGGTTAATGCTCTTACGGAGATTCGTCAAAATTGAATTTATCATCGAAATAAGAATATTTCTTGACAGAGCAAAACATATCTCGGAACGACCTGAACGAAAACCTCTTGTTTGATTTAGTTAATTAATTGGTTTTGCGCGCAACTTGCGTTTAATCAACACGTTTGCCAGCTTTGAAGTTCATGGCATAATTGTAAGCTCTTTCATATGTTTTGACCCTGATAGTGAAAAATACACAATTTTAATCAATATTTGGTAAAAATAAAATAAGTGAAAACAAAGATATGTAAAATACAGATAAATTTGATTAAAAAAATATACATAAAAAAACAGCGTTGAGTGCTTTTTGGAAGGAAAACCTTCAAACTGCTACTATCATAAAAATATCGTTGCTAAACTTGCCTCTAGCGAATTTGTATACAAAAATGAAATGTAATTTTGTTTTGTATTTAGTTTCAATGTTACCTGAGCAGATGATATTGCAATAAGTTTTTGATGCCGGTTTTGTTGTTGTCAACATCTGTTTATTTTTAAATTTTCACTTAAAGAGCTTTATAAAAAATAACAGAAATTTTCTTTTTGAACTGTCGTTCAATGGTCAGAATTTCAGAATTATGTTATTCCCATAAAAATAATAGTAAATAACTTTTATTTAATTATCCATAAAAAGACGCAATGAAAAGAAGGGTACTTTCTAAATAATATAAATGTACTGGATCAAACGCAGGTTAATATAAATATTTTTATATGTGCAAAAGCAAACGTTTTTATTAAGTTATCAGACGAACAATTTTTTTAAAATTAACAAAAAAGAACTAAAAAATTTAATATAAATAAATAAATTTAAATTATTTTTAACTGAAATTTATTATTAATTATACATATCTAAACTTTAATAATAAAATGTAAATTATTAAAAATTAATTTAAGTTAAAACGCATTAAAACCTTAAATTAAAATAATAAATTCTATTTAATAAAAGTTGCACCGGGCAAATTTAATCTTATAAATTTGAGCAACATGTTCCATGTCAGCATATGATTTCAATTAATTAAGTCTCTCTAGTTAACGCCGAATTTTTTTCTGCTTTCAGGGTGCAATCGAGGCGGCGGGTGGTGAGGGGCGGCGGCAACACCTTGACTGCAGTCATGGGGAGGGCACACAGCCCCATGGAGCCGGGCTAGTGCCCTCGACCTTCACCTTTCACTACTCTTAACTGCCAGCTGCTTATAACAACCGACATGGAGCACTTTGAGCTCACCGAGCACACCGCCAACCGACCCATGGTCTACACCAAGGTGAGTCGCATTTCCGCACAAGCCGTAATTTCGTAAAACCTTCCGGCCACAAAAACCCTCCATTTGCACAAATTCAATTTTCATTAGCCGCGTTGTTCAAGTTTCAACTAATCTTTAATTAATTAAATCAAATTAAAAATGGAGAGTTGAAAGAGACGTTTCAAGTCGACTTTGATGAGGTTAATATTTAATTTGGTCCCAAAATCCCCAAAGGCCGTCGACATTGAATTTTAAAGGACGGGCAGAGGCGTGCGCTTTTAAAGTGACGACGTTTTCCCTGAGGGAAAATCCACGCTCGTGAACAACAATGGTCGTCCAAATTAATTAACTGAAAGCCCGACCGGCCTGGAGAAAAAAGCACCACTAGATACCTTCGAATGCCGTTCGGGTGTAAGAAAAGAGCGCCATTTGTCAGTGCGAAAATCGTTTGAGCGGCTCTGTCTCTCCTTTTCTATCGCAGATACCATTTCCCTCTTCACTTTCCTCTATGGCTGCTGTGCAAAGAAATGCCGTCGTCTTTCAATTTCCTCCCGATCCGTCCACATCACCTGCTCTTTCTCTGCGCGCGTAATATCGTCGCGTGTGTATCGTGTTTCACGTCGGTTTTCGCTCAAAAAACATCCCCATCCGCAAACATAATTTAGCCGGCAACTGCGTTACGCGGGCGCATATAACGGCGAATGTCAACTGCGTGCACGAAAATGACGCTGCCTCAATTTATCCCTCAAAGAAAGGGGAACGCAGAGATAATATTATGTCCTCCTTCTTCCTGGTATAATAAATTTCCAACATTCAAGCTCTGCGTGTGATTTTCTGCGAAGAGAACGAGGAAGGGATTTAGTAATTTTTGTTTTGAAAAGTTCCAACGTGAACTTATTTTATGATTGGACTGATGAAAGTTTTCCAATTCTATAAGGACCTGAGAAGTTGAAAAAATACCAGGCAAGCAAAATGTTTTATTTTTAATAATTTATATAAAATAAGCAAAGGAAATTTTTAAATTTCATTTCTGTTCTGAAGTTTATATATGAACTTTTTTTAAAAGACAAGGCATTTAAAACTACATTAGTTTTAATTCTTTAATGAAATTGTGCTTCTTAATATTATGAATCTAAGAATAACAACTATTATTTTATAAGGAGTAAAAATTATGGAACAAATATCGTCGTGACTTGTAAAAAGATATCCAAGATTAAAAAATCTTAAAAAAACATCAAACAAGTAAAACTTGATTGATTTTTGTCGCACATATTTTGAATAAGAATGAAGGATAACACAAGGATAATATTTCCAAATAACTTTTGTATCAAATTAAATAGAGCATTAAAAAAGATTAATTTATATCATAGTTCATAGTTTATTGTTCATTATATAATACAGACTTCTTTTCTCGTTAAAAGCAAGTGGAAGAGAAACACGATCTCATTGGCAGCATTTTATATTTTTCATTTCTTATAAAAGGCAGCAGCAACCGCGGCTTCTTTTGCAAGTATTGACAACCTGTAGGCGCGACTTTGACTGCCAGGAAACGGAGACGACGCTTTTCTTTCTTCCTCTGTCTGTTCTTTTTCATAGCGCATAGCCACAAGCTTTAATTCGATTCTCGCGCTCGCGCTAATTGGCGGCGGCGGCACCGGATTGACATCCACAGACAATGAGTGCAGGCAGGCGCTGGTTATGCAACACGCCCGACCGAGAGACAAAGCAGATTGCCTAACTGTATAATTATTATTGTGTGCTGCGAACAATAATTATTATAATTACGCCACGTGGATAATTTCCGAGCGAGATTATTGGACCGTAATTTTTATTGTTCCGACAAACGATAAAGAGAATATGTTGCTGGAAATTGTATATAATTCAAAATTTTAGAACGCGTTTTGTATTATATTGTAAATTATTAAAATTACGAACAATTTTATGCTTTTTTTTTAAAGTAGCAGTCAGCTTTGCATAATTCCTTTATCCATTAAATTCTTAAAAATTCTTTTATTGATCCTTGTTTGATAAATTTTTGTAAATTCATTCATTTCATTTTTGTAGCGTTTAGCTTTGAAGTTTTAAAAATTGATTCCTTTATATTTTACTACAATTTAATTATTTTAAATAATTAAATTTTTCGTACGCCAAGTAATTTCTAGAATCTTAAAAAAATTGATAAGTTAGTTTATTTTTGTTTAAATTGCGATCAAATCCACAGTTTTAAAGGATAGTCAAGAACACCAAGTAAATTGAAGCCTTGTTATACAAAATCTACTCAGATTCAGAGAAATTCAGTGGGAGCAGAGATTTCATGAATACGTGATTGCAAACGCAAACATATATCAAATGACAAATTGGCCGAGCTGCGCAAAAAGATTTTCCGTCTCTCGGCGCGTCAATGCAAATCTTAAAGAGTTGCTCTCAATTTGCACATCAGCCTGCCGGGTGTTGCATCGGAGAGAGAGTCACCCCGGCCAGAGAGGCACACACACTCTCTGCTGGTTATGCAAATTGGATCTGAAAAAAGGATCTTGGCAAGGAAGCGTGTTCGCTAGCTAGTTTTGAGCCAGCCAACACACGGCCTGAATTAGATGACTCGCGAAAGGGCACAAAGAAAGGAGCGCCAAGATTTTATAGCTTATTGGCTTGCGTCACATTCTGTATTGGCCGAATACAAAGAAGCAGCCAGAAAGAAATAAATCAAGTCCCGCACCAAAGCAATCATCCGCGAATCCGAGTCAAAAATTAGCTTTTCTCTGTTGAAATTCGAATAATTTGTCTCTGCTAAATTTTCATTTCATTCAACAGTTGCACCAATCACTGAAATTGAATCTCTACATTATTCATTTTTCCGTCAGTCCACCTCTGCTCTTTTTCCCGGTAGTATAAATTCAACGAGATGGAAATAAATACCTAAATTACCGAATAACTGTGGGCAAACATTTCCGAGAAAAATAGTATTATTATACACCCTTTGTTTTGCTGCGCAAAGAGAGTTCACACGCCCGCAAGACACGCGTCACTCGCAGCACAGGAATGACTCATCTCCTCCGTGTCTGCTGCATGTGTCGGTCAGATTCACATGCAATCTTTCGACATTATAAATATAAAATGTTCAAAAAGACGAAACGCTACCTCTGGAATCGTCTAAACATAGATACAAATATAATTTTGATATTTAAATAGATTATTTAACATTTTTTTTATATTTTAACTGCGTTTTTTATGTTAAAAGTTTAATAACTTTCCGGATTTCCCAATAATTCATGCAAATTTCTTACTATAAAATTAATTACTTTATGTGGGAAACCGTTTAAGATCTCAAAATGATTTATAATATTTTATGAACAAACAGATTGTATGGTGTACTGGTGATGTTACTACAATAAATTGTTTGTATTAGTTTATTCTGTAACAAATTATGATTTTTAATTGAGGTAAAGAATTAAAATTAAGTGAGAATATCTTTTAATAAAAAAAAGAATTAAAAATTATGGTTTTGATTTTAACATCTCAAATTGAGAATTGAAGAATTGAGACAAGCAAATAATGCAAACAAAATTGCGTCCAGATTTTATTACTATTATTGATTTTTCTTTTAAATTTTTAATCACTTAAAGAAGCTTGCAATGCATTTAATTAAATTAGGAATTTCCCAGCTTCACAAACTGCGTTCCAGTTATTAAAGCGGCGATGAAGAGGACTTTTAATTAAAAAGCGGCCGAGAAACCGCAGGAATGCGAGATATTTTGCGCCAACTTTTCATAAATCAACACCCTTTTTCTCGTCTCTCGCTCGCTTGGTCGAAATCCTATCGCAATCGCCGGTCATCCGGCCAAATGAAATTCTCTGTCGGACGGCGAGGAATCGCGGCGAAATCAAGAGTAGCAAAAAGAAGAAGAGAAGAAGAAGAAGAAGCTATTGCCGCCAGTCAGGCCCATTGTGGAGCATGTTGTAAGGGGCCGCCCCATCCGGCCATACTTATCGATTCGAGCACCACCATTCCAGCAGGGGTGGCAGCGGCGGCGGTGCTCACCCCGGCACACACACCCCATCTGCACGGTCACGTGACCGCGCCAGCCCGTCGTACTCGTCCGTCCGCCCGCCACCCCCTCGGCTGTCTGCAAATTGCACGTTCATCGAGGTGACGTCACGTGGCCCTGTTGATCCTCCAGAAGGGTGGCCCGAGCCCCGCCGGGGGTGCCAATTGGGCTAACGACCCGCAGCAACCTAAATGCATAAATATAAGAAAAAAAACCCGATACATTAGCTCGCCCCATTATCCGAAATGAGAGGGAAGGAGTAAATCGTGGCTGGCAAATGTAGCAATTAGAATTGCACGCTTTTCGTTCTCCAGCGCACCAGAAATTCAAAAGGGTTTTGTCAACGCGGCGTGTCTATTTCTGGATAAGTACGCGGCACAGAACGTTTGGGTCGCTCTGTTTACTCGACTAATGAATATTAATGGAGTCGAGATGAAGAGACAACGGCTAAGTGAATGAAATTGTAATCAATATTGTGCAGAGTTGCAAATGTGACGAAGAGCTCGACATGGATTGTTGCGCAGATTCGCCGCTTTCGGTGATGGATTGGCGTAATTTTCGCAATGCGGTGAATAATTTGGTTTCCCAAGGCAAAATGATCGCATCCTGTTATTTTCAATCAACGTTTGAATCCCATGATGCTTTTGTGGGTTGGTGAGAAAAAATGGCAGTGAGAGTTATAAATAATAAGGGTTCTGCTGAAATTAGCAAAGTTGAAAGTCAGAGATAAGCAAAATAAATGGAACGTATTGACTTTACTAATATTTTTTTAAATATTCTATTAAAGATGTACCTAAGAGCATGGTATACCAATTGACTTCATTTAGTACTACATAAATTTAAAAAAAAAAAACATTTCGACAAAGTTTAGCCTGTTTTTGAAAACTTATAAGAATGAAAATGAGGCATTTAGAAAAGTTCTTATTTGGAATAAATGGGTAAATTATTATAAATAACTAACGCTAAAAAAGCAACTTTTCTTATTGTAATCGAAAATCAACAGTCAATTACAAAAATAAAATGAAACCGTTAAAATATTAAAACAGTTCGATGCGTTTTGTGCATAAAATAGCAAATAATATTATATTATTTCTCATTTGAAACAAAAAAGAAAAACAATGTTCCTCTATTCAATATTGAATTGCTTAAACTATGCAAAGAAACTCATGAAGAAAATAAGTTATTTAGTGAAATATATGCTATCTAATATGAAAAATGAACAATAAATTCTCAAATTTAGAAACGCTAATTTTGCTTATTTTGCTAGCTTAACAATTCTAGCAAATAAATAAAAAATTATTATATCATTTCCGTTTCAAATGATCAAAATAAACAGACTCTGTTTTTTTTCTTCTAATGTTGGCTTAACGTCCATTTTGTTATTTTCAAGAGATCTCTGATGTCAGCACTCTTTTCCTTTTTCTTTGCACGAACGTTTGCCGATTCTGAAGTTTTGTCTCCATTGTGTCGTTACCGTGTCCCTTCCAGAAGTGCACTCGTGAAAAATTAATTGGAACCGATAGGCCTGGAAAGTTTCCGGCTGCTCTCCGGCCCTTGGCATCAAATAATAACTGAGACGATTTCGAGAGCTGCTGACAAAAATAGCCGTAATAACTCGGCTGCTCAAAGGAGATTAGCATTGATGCCTCTTTTGTCTATACACGCTCGGCTGCCAAAATGTCATTGTGCTTTCACAGCTGCTCGCCGGGCGGGCTGGCGAGAGACCGGGGAGGAAAAGTGAAGAGGGTGGCGGAGGAGCTTTTTGCCGTTAAATATCCTCCAGAGAAATCAACGCTCCATCCTCATGCGGCACATGCCATTATTCTCTAATTACACTGCGGCGATATTAAAAAATTCATGCCGGCCCGTGCGAGTTGCGTCGCCCCAAGCTGCGATTTCTCGCAGATTTTCGCTTTCGCACCGAGCAGAAAAAGAAAGGGTTGCAGGAAATCGAGGCTGCAAGACAAGCAGACAATCTTCTCCGAAATGTTTATTGTGCGAAAATGCCACATTTTAAGCGGCTTAACGAATACTTTTGGCAACGTGCCCCGTTTTTCGCCCCGACTCGCGCGTGGGTTGCAATTTGAGACGAGTTTTAATAAGAGAAACAAACGATCTGCTGGGAGAAATTTTTTCCACAGGGGGGAGTTTTGCAACTCGGCGAAATGGAAGTGGGGTTTTCCGTTAATTTGTAAACCGATATTTTCAACGGTTGACTTTGTGGGGGAGAATTTCCGCTCGAAAATGGGAATTGGGGTTGCCCAGTTGTTGCTTTGAGGTCACCACGTTGAGAATTTTGTTTGCTATTTGCGAGTTAAATTCCATTTAATGACGTTTGATTTTAATTATGTTGGATATAAGATTTCTATTTCAACTAATTTCATCAAACTATTTCCCAAATAAAAAATTCAATAATTATACTTAAAAATAAACTTAAGTTAATGGGAAAAATGTTAAATTTAAATTTAATTTTATGCAAATGTAAAAACTACAATTTTTGTAGTGCTTTTAATTATAATTCATTTATGCAATTCTATCAATTTATTATTTTTTTGCGTTTTACAAATAAATTAACAACTAAAAAAATAATAATTGATTGAATTAAAAAACATTAAAAATATGACTAAAATACGTGCAAAAAATTAACTTTATTAAAAAAAATTTACTCATGTTTTTAAGTCGCAGCAAGTAAATTTATTTTCATCTAGATTTTTTTATTCTGATAAATATTTCAGTTCTTTGCTACAAAATAAATTCATAAGCTGAATTAAATTTAAAATAATTAATTCTGTTTAAACGGGAATAATTTAAAGTGTTGAAGTGAAATCAAACTAGAAATTATTTTCTAAGTATAATAAAAAAAATCAAAATAATTCATGGCAAATATTTTCAGAAACTTGTAAAAAAGGTGTTTTATGATAATGTGTATGACGATCGGTTTGAGGATATAATTTTATCTAGTATGCACTATTACTTGGCGTGTCCTACTTGAAACGTTAACTTTTTATGAGGTTTTTTTTGTGTTTGTTGATGACTGTAAATATTTGTATGCAGATTAGTAAAACTACATCTCATCTAATCTAATTGTTGAATACGCTCAAATTCTCAAATTAAAAAAATTTGTTTTTAGTCTCGCAAATTTTGAATTAGAATGACGTAATTCTAAAAAAAGACTTTGATAATTAATTGTATTCCGTTTCATGAAATTTTAAAATCTAAATTAAATTGCTTGTTCCTGTTTCAGATGGAGAGCTTGGTTCGCGAGATGCAGGATCCAGAGAGCGGAGTTCCTGTTCGCAGCCAAAAGCTTTTCTTGACCTCAATTCCAGCGGCATTCATGGGTGAGTTGGAGTTGTAAAACTGGCCGCGATCGCATTTATATCCTTGCGGCGAAACACGGAAGTCGGTTTTGCGCCGTCGCCGCCGGGATAAAATCTGCGAGATGGCACCGACCCTAAAGACCGACCGAACGCCGCTCTAATCCCTTCCAATTACTTTTTCCCTCATAACCCACGACGCTATCGTCTTAATTATTTTCCCTTTGAAGCAAATTAGTAAGCGGCGGGCTCTTGATCCGTCGAACCATCACACGCGAAACGGCGCCAGAAGCTTTCAGCCGCCGTTAGAGCCGCGATTAAATGTGTTTAATGCGCCTCGACCTCTATGGTTTCACTTTTTTCTTGTCATTACGTCTTTAAGAGTTAATTTATTTCACGTTTGAACGGAAAAACTACTTGATGATAAATAAAAAATACAACGCAACGTCCACAGAACTAACTTTTTTTAGGTTTTAAAATACTATATTTTAGATAAAAATTCTTTTTTAAAATTTTAGATTCTTTTAAGCTAAATTTGTCTCACTCGATTCACTCGTTTGAATTTCTTGGTCAACCTATAAATTCAATCGTGTACTACCTTATAATGGCCCCAATTTGTGTGATTTTAAGCCCACTTTAGGTATTGGAAAACTTTGCACTGGAAAATGGTCATTGGTTCTTGTTTTATTTTTGAAAGAAAAATGAGACCAGCTATTCATTTGCTTTTAATAATAAATGTTTATGTTTAGTTTCTGATCGAAGAATTTGTTTAAGTATAAATTTATTTATTAATTTGTTTAAAAATCTAAAAACATGTCAGGAATTTCCTAAATTTGAATTTTTAAGTATGTACGAAAGTCATATTGAAATTCTTATTTTACCTTCATATAAACGGACTCGCAATTTATGCTATATACTTTTTGGAAAATGTTGTTGTGAAGTTTGTAACTTTTGATAATTTTGTAGGGTCGGCTGCTAAACACATAGCCCGAAACATTTCGTTCAAAGTTGCAAAATCTTTGAATTATTGCTTATAAAAATACAGCGAGGAGAAAGGAGAGGCTTGCGTCAAAACCAAGCAAAGGTGCGGTTTTGCCTTGCGAGTGCAACAATCAAACGATTCCCTCATTTGAATTCATCAAATCATCAGATACTTATTAATTGATAAAATTGAATAAAAGATTTATTTTTTAACTTTCTTTTTCCAATAGAAGATAAATCTAATGAAAATATATTTAAAAAAAAAATGGTTTTTTCTTAAATTTATCACCGATTACATAACTTCTCTCGAGTGTTTTTGAAATATGATGACGTTCATTTTATTGATTGCTCGCAAAACTCCATTTATATCGAATTTATATAATATAAAATATCTAGGATGGAGAAAAAAACAGGACCATCAATTCCTGTTGAATATTGTTCTCTTCAGCAGACAGACGCTGATAATAAACGACCGGCGTATAACAAAAAACGCGAAACCTGCAGCGAAGGAAAAGTGATGGCGCGTTTATTTTTTTGCACGCGAGTCGGTCGTCGGGATTTGCGCTGGCAGGGAGATGCGGGCGCGGGTGGGCGGGCGGAGATCGTTCTTTCCGCAGTTTGATGACGTGCAAGTCGAGCTGCTGCGCTTGCTGAGGTCAGTGAGCGCGTGGGTGGCCCCGCCGCCGTTGCCGCCAACGCTGCGCCGGGGGCGCGGGTTCAAACGCACGCCCTTTCGCCACAGAATAAGTACCTACGTGTTTGGCTGGCCGTATATAGGAAGGACGAACCAACACATTTATGACCGCGCGCGCACTTGTGTTTGTTCCGACTCGGAATTAATTAGCTATACTTTGACTGAGACCTCAATATTTCAATAATACCATGTTTGGTGCAAATACGAGCGGAGCAAAATACTCGGCAATTGTGCCGTAAAATTAAGAGTGTAGGCTGCTCTTTCACACAATTTTAAAGCTTTTTTTCTAGATTTTGAAGCAGTACGAGCTATACTTTGACTGAGAACTCAATATTTCAATAATACCATGTATGGTGCTAAATACGAGCGGAGCAAAAAACTCAGCAATTGTGCCGTAAAATTAAGAGTGAAGGCTGCTCTTTCACACTATTTTAAAGCTTTTTTTCTAGATTTTGAAGCAGTACGAGCTATACTTTGACTGAGAACTCAATATTTCAATAATACCATGTTTGGTGCTAAATACGAGCGGAGCAAAATACTCGGCAATTGTGCCGTAAAATTAAGAGTGAAGGCTGCTCTTTCACACTATTTTAAAGCTTTTTTTCTAGATTTTGAAGCAGTACGAGCTATACTTTGACTGAGAACTCAATATTTCAATAATACCATGTATGGTGCTAAATACGAGCGGAGCAAAAAACTCAGCAATTGTGCCGTAAAATTAAGAGTGAAGGCTGCTCTTTCACACTATTTTAAAGCTTTTTTTCTAGATTTTGAAGCAGTACGTGCTATACTTTGACTGAGAACTCAATATTTCAATAATACCATGTATGGTGCTAAATACGAGCGGAGCAAAAAACTCAGCAATTGTGCCGTAAAATTAAGAGTGAAGGCTGCTCTTTCACACTATTTTAAAGCTTTTTTTCTAGATTTTGAAGCAGTACGAGCTATACTTTGACTGAGAACTCAATATTTCAATAATACCATGTATGGTGCTAAATACGAGCGGAGCAAAAAACTCAGCAATTGTGCCGTAAAATTAAGAGTGAAGGCTGCTCTTTCACACTATTTTAAAGCTTTTTTTCTAGATTTTGAAGCAGTACGAGCTATACTTTGACTGAGAACTCAATATTTCAATAATACCATGTTTGGTGCTAAATACGAGCGGAGCAAAAAACTCGGCAATTGTGCCGTAAAATTAAGAGTGAAGGCTGCTCTTTCACACTATTTTAAAGCTTTTTTTCTAGATTTTGAAGCAGTACGAGCTATACTTTGACTGAGAACTCAATATTTCAATAATACCATGTTTGGTGCTAAATACGAGCGGAGCAAAAAACTCGGCAATTGTGCCGTAAAATTAAGAGTGAAGGCTGCTCTTTCACACTATTTTAAAGCTTTTTTTCTAGATTTTGAAGCAGTACGAGCTATACTTTGACTGAGAACTCAATATTTCAATAATACCATGTATGGTGCTAAATACGAGCGGAGCAAAAAACTCAGCAATTGTGCCGTAAAATTAAGAGTGAAGGCTGCTCTTTCACACTATTTTAAAGCTTTTTTTCTAGATTTTGAAGCAGTACGAGCTATACTTTAACTGAGAACTCAATATTTCAATAATACCATGTTTGGTGCTAAATACGAGCGGAGCAAAATACTCGGCAATTGTGCCGTAAAATTAAGAGTGTAGGCTGCTCTTTCACACAATTTTAAAGCTTTTTTTCTAGATTTTGAAGCAGTACGAGCTATACTTTGACTGAGAACTCAATATTTCAATAATACCATGTATGGTGCTAAATACGAGCGGAGCAAAATACTCGGCAATTGTGCCGTAAAATTAAGAGTGAAGGCTGCTCTTTCACACTATTTTAAAGCTTTTTTTCTAGATTTTGAAGCAGTACGAGCTATACTTTGACTGAGAACTCAATATTTCAATAATACCATGTTTGGTGCTAAATACGAGCGGAGCAAAAAACTCGGCAATTGTGCAGTAAAATTAAGAGTGAAAGCTGCTCTTTCACACAATTTTAAAGCTTTTTTTCTAGATTTTGAAGCAGTACGAGCTATACTTTGACTGAGAACTCAATATTTCAATAATACCATGTTTGGTGCTAAATACGAGCGGAGACAAAAACTCAGCAATTGTGCCGTAAAATTAAGAGTGAAGGCTGCTCTTTCACACTATTTTAAAGCTTTTTTTCTAGATTTTGAAGCAGTACGAGCTATACTTTGACTGAGAACTCAATATTTCAATAATACCATATTTGGTGCTAAATACGAGCGGAGCAAAAAACTCGGCAATTGTGCCGTAAAATTAAGAGTGAAGGCTGCTCTTTCACACTATTTTAAAGCTTTTTTCCTAGATTTTGAAGCAGTACGAGCTATACTTTGACTGAGAACTTAATATTTCAATAATACCATGTATGGTGCTAAATACGAGCGGAGCAAAAAACTCAGCAATTGTGCCGTAAAATTAAGAGTGAAGGCTGCTCATTCACACTATTTTAAAGCTTTTTTTCTAGATTTTGAAGCAGTACGAGCTATACTTTGACTGAGAACTCAATATTTCATAATACCATGTTTGGTGCTAAATACGAGCGGAGCAAAAAACTCGGCAATTGTGCCGTAAAATTAAGAGTGAAGGCTGCTCTTTCACACTATTTTAAAGCTTTTTTTCTAGATTTTGAAGCAGTACGAGCTATACTTTGACTGAGAACTCAATATTTCAATAATACCATGTATGGTGCTAAATACGAGCGGAGCAAAAAACTCAGCAATTGTGCCGTAAAATTAAGAGTGAAGGCTGCTCTTTCACACTATTTTAAAGCTTTTTTTCTAGATTTTGAAGCAGTACGAGCTATACTTTGACTGAGAACTCAATATTTCAATAATACCATGTATGGTGCTAAATACGAGCGGAGCAAAAAACTCAGCAATTGTGCCGTAAAATTAAGAGTGAAGGCTGCTCTTTCACACTATTTTAAAGCTTTTTTCTAGATTTTGAAGCAGTACGAGCTATACTTTGACTAAGAACTCAATATTTCATAATACCATGTTTGGTGCTAAATACGAGCGGAGCAAAAAACTCGGCAATTGTGCCGTAAAATTAAGAGTGAAGGCTGCTCTTTCACACTATTTTAAAGCTTTTTTTCTAGATTTTGAAGCAGTACGAGCTATACTTTGACTAAGAACTCAATATTTCATAATACCATGTTTGGTGCTAAATACGAGCGGAGCAAAATACTCGGCAATTGTGCCGTAAAATTAAGAGTGAAGGCTGCTCTTTCACACTATTTTAAAGCTTTTTTTCTAGATTTTGAAGCAGTACGAGCTATACTTTGACTGAGAACTCAATATTTCAACAATACCATGTTTGGTGCTAAATACGAGCGGAGCAAAAAACTAGGCAATTGTGCCGTAAAATTAAGAGTGAAGGCTGCTCTTTCACACAATTTTAAAGCTTTTTTTCTAGATTTTGAAGCAGTACGAGCTATACTTTGACTGAGAACTCAATATTTCAATAATTCCATATATGGTGCTAAATACGAGCGGAGACAAAAACTCAGCAATTGTACCGTAAAATTAAGAGTGAAGGCTGCTCTTTCACACTATTTTAAAGCTTTTTTTCTAGATTTTGGAAGCAGTACGAGCTATACTTTGACTGAGAACTCAATATTTCATAATACCATGTTTGGTGCTAAATACGAGCGGAGCAAAAAACTCGGCAATTGTGCCGTAAAATTAAGAGTGAAGGCTGCTCTTTCACACTATTTTAAAGCTTTTTTTCTAGATTTTGAAGCAGTACGAGCTATACTTTGACTGAGAACTCAATATTTCAATAATACCATGTATGGTGCTAAATACGAGCGGAGCAAAAAACTCAGCAATTGTGCCGTAAAATTAAGAGTGAAGGCTGCTCTTTCACACTATTTTAAAGCTTTTTTTCTAGATTTTGAAGCAGTACGAGCTATACTTTGACTGAGAACTCAATATTTCAATAATACCATGTTTGGTGCTAAATACGAGCGGAGCAAAAAACTCGGCAATTGTGCCGTAAAATTAAGAGTGAAGGCTGCTCTTTCACACAATTTTAAAGCTTTTTTTCTAGATTTTGAAGCAGTACGAGCTATACTTTGACTGAGAACTCAATATTTCAATAATACCATATTTGGTGCTAAATACGAGCGGAGACAAAAACTCAGCAATTGTGCCGTAAAATTAAGAGTGAAGGCTGCTCTTTCACACTATTTTAAAGCTTTTTTTCTAGATTTTGAAGCAGTACGAGCTATACTTTGACTGAGAACTCAATATTTCAATAATACCATATTTGGTGCTAAATACGAGCGGAGCAAAAAACTCGGCAATTGTGCCGTAAAATTAAGAGTGAAGGCTGCTCTTTCACACTATTTTAAAGCTTTTTTTCTAGATTTTGAAGCAGTACGAGCTATACTTTGACTGAGAACTCAATATTTCAATAATACCATGTTTGGTGCTAAATACGAGCGGAGCAAAATACTCGGCAATTGTGCCGTAAAATTAAGAGTGAAGGCTGCTCTTTCACACTATTTTATAGCTTTTTTTCTAGATTTTGAAGAAGTACGAGCTATACTTTGACTGAGAACTCAATATTTCAATAATACCATGTATGGTGCTAAATACGAGCGGAGCAAAAAACTCAGCAATTGTGCCGTAAAATTAAGAGTGAAGGCTGCTCTTTCACACTATTTTAAAGCTTTTTTTCTAGATTTTGAAGCAGTACGAGCTATACTTTGACTGAGAACTCAATATTTCAATAATACCATGTTTGGTGCTAAATACGAGCGGAGCAAAATACTCGGCAATTGTGCCGTAAAATTAAGAGTGAAGGCTGCTCTTTCACACTATTTTAAAGCTTTTTTTCCAGATTTTGAAGCAGTACGAGCTATACTTTGACTGAGAACTCAATATTTCAATAATACCATGTATGGTGCTAAATACGAGCGGAGCAAAATACTCGGCAATTGTGCCGTAAAATTAAGAGTGAAGGCTGCTCTTTCACACTATTTTAAAGCTTTTTTTCTAGATTTTGAAGCAGTACGAGCTATACTTTGACTGAGAACTCAATATTTCAATAATACCATGTTTGGTGCTAAATACGAGCGGAGCAAAAAACTCGGCAATTGTGCAGTAAAATTAAGAGTGAAGGCTGCTCTTTCACACAATTTTAAAGCTTTTTTTCTAGATTTTGAAGCAGTACGAGCTATACTTTGACTGAGAACTCAATATTTCAATAATACCATGTTTGGTGCTAAATACGAGCGGAGACAAAAACTCAGCAATTGTGCCGTAAAATTAAGAGTGAAGGCTGCTCTTTCACACTATTTTAAAGCTTTTTTTCTAGATTTTGAAGCAGTACGAGCTATACTTTGACTGAGAACTCAATATTTCAATAATACCATATTTGGTGCTAAATACGAGCGGAGTTAAAAACTCAGCAATTTTGCCGTAAAATTAAGAGTGACGGCTGCTCTTTCACACGAGTTTAAAGCTTTTTTCTAGATTTTGAAGCATTACGAGAGTGCTGAAACATGTACCACTTTTCTTCGATTTTTCCTTGATGAGTTATATTAACAGTGTTTGTGTGAAAATGTACTAAAATTGATTTTGAGAGCGACTGCCAATTTCTTCAAACATGTTATGCTATAGTTTAACATATTTTTATTAATTAAAATATCATCGTTTAAATCCTTCTAGCAATGCCATCATTGTCATTATGTAATCAAGTATGAATTATTACAAGAAAATACTTTTCGATAATAATTGCTTTTTCCCGGTTAGAAATTGCGATGAATTCGTAGATTAGGAATTGACAGTTCTGTGTATTTCTGTTGACTAAGCACTCCTCACCCACGCAGAGTCAATATCCTTGAACGACGAGACGGCTGTCGATTTTGTGTCTGTGGCCGTGGGCCAAACGTCTTCTCTGACTTGCCATTTCCCGTTTTGCGGCTAAACGTTCTTACCTTTGAACGGCCTCGGATGAAGTGCGCCATCTTTGTCTGCAAAACCGCCGCTCTCTCGCGTTCGTGTGTTTGCTTTTCGGCCTGTAAAGAGATACTCGGGCCTTTTGAATGCATGAATTCTCTTTTCGCGCCCACCACGTGATGAATTTCATCTCTCGCGGATCGCGGCCCCGAATATATAAATATTTTTCTTGCATACCGTCAGCTCTAGTTGAAAAGGGTCTCGTGTGTGTTAATAATTTCACCGTATCAGAATCACAAAAGCCGCAAAATTTCCTTTATTCGCACGCTCGCGCGTCCTGCCTGCGCTCCACACTCTCGTTTGCAGCCTCTTGTGTTTTTCACGAGGGCGTATTCACACAGCTCTCGAGCACCGCTAACTGCAACAATTGTCTTTCTCATTTTCAAAGCGAGTGACTTTTGAGTAGATCGGTACGGTATACATGTTTGCAGATGGAACGCGGAAAGTGCGAGGGGAAATTTTAATAACGAGGGTAATTCCAAAAACTCATTCGAATATTTGTACAGCATCAACTTCGACATCAAAGAAATTGTTGCCTACAAAGGATTCAAAATTATTTACATTTAAAAACGGCTAAATGAATTTTTCTGAGTAATTTGAGTGTTGTTTAATTTTAAATGATGAAAGGGGCTTTCCTCAAAGAAGAAATTTGCTTCAATTAAAAATAAACAGCTCCACTAGCATTTGAAAATCAAACACATCTATCTCAACGAGGAAAAGCAGTAAATCATGATTCTTCCTTTGAGTCTAATTTGAGTGCCTGTTAAATATTTGTTTATTGCTAACATTGGACTGGGAAATATTAGCGGTAGAATTTAAAAATTTGGCATTTTCTTTTGATAATTCAGGAAAGTTTTTTTAATGAGAAAATTCTCGAAGTAACTTGCAGACACATATAATTAAAAGTAAATTACTAATTATTTATGTCCAACTATTGAAAACAGATAAATGAAATAATAATTAATTTGGAAAAATAATTATGGGAAAATTTGCCCCATTTTTATTTCAAATTCTGATTACAACCTCATCATTATTTTTACGTTAGAAAGCATTTTAATTATTTATGCTTTATATATTATAACGAATGCTAATTCTTTTAAACTTATATAATATAATTAATTGCCTCGTTAATTGAACCACTTGCCGCATCGTTTGAATAGTTGTCGCCGCCAAATCCGTTGATCCACTACCACATTTTTATCCCCCAGCGAAATAATGCCGTGCTTGCGCGCGATCATCGCTCGTCGGTCGCCAAATCCGATTGTAATGGCTCATTCCAGCAGTCATTCCGCAGCTTTTCACGAGGGACTAATTTAGCCTCCGTATAAAATATATGTTTTCAAACCAAAGCCAGTGCTGGAAAAATACTTTTTCCGTTGTTTTATCGCGACAACTGCTGTCATTCTCGTTAAAATTTGTCCGCTTCGAATCGAGCCGGGCGCCGCTGGATGATATGAATCGGGGTGGCCAAAATTGACGCATTCACAACGCAGCTTATCTGCACATTTTGTATTGGGCCGGCAACACGCGGTGGCTGCATTAACGCCACCAGCAACAAACTCTAATGGACTGCTCTGCGTCTGCTTTCAGGTTACGATCTGATAGAATGGCTTATGGAGCGACTTTCCATAGAGGACTCATGTGAGTATGAAAAGCGCTTCGGACGTTGTAAGTTGTAATTCATGAACCTTTTATAATAGAAAATGGACACATAATTTTTGTACTTGATGAGAAAATAAATTGAATCAGAAATTTAAAATGTATTAATTTAAAGAGGGTGAGGATTTTTCGGAGATCAAAATTCCATAGTTTAGATCTTGATTACTGATATAATTTTTTAGCCAAACGTTTTGAGACTATTTTTGGATATGAAAAAGACAAAACTATTACAAAGTTTCCATGTTTAAAATTGAGAAACTTGTAGTTAATTATTTTGTCAATTTTAGTCTAAAAGCGTTGATTGTAATCATCACGCAAAGTACACTAATAGGATTTTAAAGGCCCTCTCCAGTATATTCTTGAATATTCCAAAAAAGGTGAAATTTGGATCAACCTTTTTTAATTAAACTCTTAATATTGATTATTTTTATTGTCATAAAATATTATCTACTTTGGAATTTAAGAATAAAAAACATTGGTGGAAAGGCCCTTAAATTTTAAGATTTTCAGAATGTTGTCACCCGCTTTAAGTTTTCAGTTTTAATCCTTTTGAATTTAATTTTGACCGTCTGGCGTCGGTTTTGCTTTTTAATGAGAACGCCGAAATAATGAGTCCGGCAAGAAAGGCGTCGGCGAGTCTCTGCTCTTTCTAATTCTGCGACGTGTTTTTGTGTTTTCTGCAGCGGAGGCGGTACATTTGGCCAACCTTTTGTGTCAAAGCGGCTACTTCTTCCCCGTCACCGACAACAAAACGCTCACGGTCAAAGATGACAGCTCTCTGTACCGCTTTCAAGTGAGTATAGTGTGTATGTGAGCGTCTGCCGAAATGCAAACCAAGCCTCGAGGGCTTTGCAGGGCACACAGTGTCGTGTTGCATGTTGATAACAATCGCACGATTACGTGCTCATATATACGAAATTACTGCTTAATGAAGCAACAAATTAGTTGGGGAAAAAGCCATGTTCCGGAAAATTGCAAGTTAATTATTAATTCCGTTGCAATCTGGTGATCTCTGCGAAGATAATTTTTGTAGATGAAAAAAAAATAATGAAACTCCCGTGCTCAACGAAAATATAAAGTCCACACATTAACCCTTTTGACTCGTGTAACCCAGCAAACGTGCCGTAAACTGCTGACATGTATAAATTATTCGGGCGCGCCACCTGCTGGGAACACGGAATGCCGTGCGCTACTGTGTGTTGCCCCTGATTTCGGCACAAATGACCACCAAATGCGTGGTGAGATGAGATTCCAAGCGGAACGCTTTTTATGGCCAATTTGGTGCCAGTTTAAATCAATATCACAATGAATTTAGTCAATTAAAAAGCGATAAAATGGAAATTGTGTGGAAAATTGCAGACTCCTTACTACTGGCCCAGTTCTGCAGCCCATGGACACAGCCCTGATAACCTGGAATACGCAATTTACTTGGCCAAAAGAAGTCTCCGTAACAAGCAGCGTCATGGCCTCGAAGACTATGAACTTGTAAGAATTTTTTTCTTAATTAAATTAAAATTATTCCTGTTTTAGTAGACACAACTCAATATATTTGTTAATTATCTAAAAACCCTAAATATTTAAGTTCCATGCACATATTTCAAAATATATTTACTCTTTTTAATTGGATAATATAAAATTGAGGAACTTTCTTTTCAAATTTTATCATAACAAGTGGATACAAAGAAATTTCAGAACGTGAACTTTTTTTTCTAATTAACAAAAATTGATAATAATTTAACAAAAATTTCATCCTTTTTTTAAATTTTCTTCCTTATTTTTTTCTCGCAGGAGGCGCTCAACAATCTTAAAAAGACTCTGCAGAACAAGTGGGACTTTGTCACCATGCAGGCCGAAGAGCAGGTCAGATTGGCCAAGGACCGCAAGAAGGGCGATAAGATCGTGACCGACTCTCAGGAAAGGGCATATTGGCGAGTCTACCGTCCACCACCAGGCTGTTTAACCCTCGAAATCCTACCGCTTCCGCTGGCCGCGTGTCGTCTGGAAAGACAGCAGAAGGCGGCGGCCAGGGGCAAAACTTTGTCTGACGGCAAGAAAGAGGCGAGTTATTTATCCTTAGTTTATTTTAATCGTCCGATACGAATTATTCATGAAGGGAAAAATAAATACGGTCGCCGTTCTCAAAAGAAATTGTTTTTATTAAAAAAAAGGAGCTCCGTTGAGGTTCGGAACGGAATTCATGAGAAAGTAAAAATACTTAAAAATCCCCCACAAATTCAACGATAGATTAAAAAAGAAAAACGAAATTTGAGGCTTTTGTGTGTGTTGATAACGGAAGATCCTTTATGTTCTTAAATAAAAACAATTTCTTTCTCCATTTTTCAACTCATAAAATTCCCTTTAGTGTTAACTTTTTCCCTGAAGTAGTTTTGATTTATGAGTTATTTAGGCGTTTATTCTGTGTTTTTTTTTAACTTATTCAATTATTTTAATAAGCATTTTAATTAAAATTTCTACGCTTATTTTTTGTAAATTACTATAAATACGAAACTTGATAAATAATCAGAATTTTTAACTTTTTTAATATTTGGAAATTTCTCAAAATTCCAGTAATTATTGCCATCATTAATCAGTCTTGGATAATTCATATAATTAAAAATAAACACATTTTTATTATAATGGAGCAAAAATTGTTCAATTTCACTTTAATAGCTTTCTATGAATATTTAAAAGATTTGGCCATTTCCGTCGTCATTAAATATGAATCAATCTGCGGTATTTTTGGCCGATTGATCGATTCGCCTGGAAAGTTGGTTGTAAAACTTTTTATATGCTCCCCTCCGATGCATTTCCACTTGATGAGGGTCTCTTTGCGAACGGCAGATCATTAGAGGCTCTCGCGAAACTATTCGTCCTACCACGCAGCGAGTGACACTTTTCCGATTCTTACGAGCCAACGTTCGTTTTTCGTTCTATCTTTAAATTTGCTCCGGCTCTCTCTCTTTTGCGAAAGCGCGATTTGAGTAGTGGAAATCAATACGAGCGAATGAGCAGCGAGCGGCACTCGCTCGTTGCGGCTTCTCTCTTTTTCTCGCCACCCGCCCACCCACCCATCCGTGGGCAAAAACGAATTCGCACTCAAAAATCGTGCATTCCGCCGGCGACGACGACGTGCAAACCATTTTCAGCAGAGTCAATAAAAGTGAACGCATTTTTTTGTGCCGCAGGTCCAAATTCTTCAGTCTTCATTGGATAGAACGCGCGTCAAAACGTCTGTAGCCCTCGATAGTCTCGTCCAATCCGCCAACACTTATCTCGAGTACGATCCATTTCTCACGCCGGTGCAGCCTTCCAACCCGTGGCACTCGGACGACCCAATCTTTTGGCAAATCAACAGCATTTTGTGAGTTTCATTTTATGTTAATTGACTATTTTTTTTAATTGTATTCTACAAATATTCAGGGTGGAAGTTCCGACAGACAGGAGAGTAAGGAGATGGGGACTGTCCATGGAGGAGCTTGTTTCTGATCCCACAGGTAAATGATTTTTTTTTATTGTTGATTTTCTTAATTAACCTTTATTAAGAGAAAATTTCATCGATTCATACTGGAAACTGAACTTTTGAAAATTAACAAGCTGTTTTTGAGAATTAAGAATTTTTTTCTTCTAAAATCTGCTTGAATTAATTTATAATGGCAAAAAATGTAATATAAATTCCCCCCCCCCCCCCCCCAATAAGTTGATAATGTACAATTAAAGGCTTGCTTGACTTAAAATTTTCATTGAACGTATTGATCAATCTTTTTTACTGATAAGCCACTTTTTTCAGAACGATATTTAAGTTATCTTTTAAAAAATAAAATTTTATTTCTTGAAAAGGGACGAGCTGTTGAATATATTTTATCTGATCATATTTTAGGCCTGCAAGAATTTACAGCTTTTCTGAGGAAGGAGTACAGCCACGAGAACATCAGGTTTTGGACAGCTGTCAACGACTTGAGGCGGAGTTCGCAGTCCCAAATTCAAACCAAAGTCAAAGAAATTTACGAGTAAGTTCGAGTTTGTTTTTCTATTTTTTTCTGGAGCGAAATCAACAAGGACATTAAATTAATCTTTCCAATCTTTCCATCGACTGTTATACGAAAACTGACAACACGTATTTGTGATTTTCGCAGCGAGTTTCTGGCACCAGGGGCGCCTTGCGAGATAAACATCGACGGCAAAACAATGGAGAAGACGCAGGGCGAGTTGAAAACACCATCAAGATTTGCGTTCGACTACGCCAGCGATCACGTGTACACCCTGTTGTTGAAAAAGGACTGCTACCCTCGCTTCATTCGCTCAGAACACTACAAAGCCTTGCTAGCCGCTGGAGTGCAACCTTCACATAAAAAACGGTATGAAAATTTGGAACTAATTTATAATTTAAATCCTTAATTTGTTCGTTTTTCCGCAGTTTCTTCAATTTTGGCGGACCTACCAAGAAAAAGGCGTCCACTAGCGGCGCTTCCAATGGTGGTGCCAACAATGTTAATGCGGGTACAAATTCACAGCAAGCCACCACAGGTGAGAATATTAATTGCTTTTTTTAAGTCATTAAATAATTTAGAAACGTCATCATAAATCAATGAATCAGACAAACTTGCTAAATCTGAAAGGAGAATTGCCTCTGATAGTTAAATTGTGAAGATACCTAAAGAAATTTATTAGAAGGATGATTTAAAATCTAACTGGAAAAATTTTGCATTAGCTTTGGTATTGATGACAGGCCAAACCATTAAATTGGGAATTTTTTGAAATTTTAAAATATTAAAAATTAATTTGTATTAAAAAATTAACAATTTAAGAATAAAAAAAAAGAAAATGTAATTCTTAAAAATTATATAATATAATTAGAAATTGACGTTATTTTTTACTTTTAATAAAATAATTAAATCAGTATTAAATTACGCCTCATTTAGAATAATAATTTATTGTAAGAGGTTGCACCTGTTTCTGTAGAGATTAAGCCTAATTTTGAAATAAAATTGACTGTTTTTAAAATTATCTGAATTATTTAAACTTCACATTTAAATTTAAATTTGAAAACGCCTGCGGCTTGGAATCGCCGCCTCCCGCTCGCCTCTACTGTCTCGCGGGTTTGCCTAACCTAATTTCTGTGAATTTTGTTTTTTTTTGCAGCGCGAGGTTCGTCACACGACCTGGCGCGTGGTCCGGCCGCCACAGCCGCTGTGGCCGCGACGGCGGCCAATGCTGCCTCGGCGGCGGCTGGTGGCGACGTCCTCACTCCCCCCACTCGCCCCCACGGCCTCCCCGGCTCGCTGAGCCACACAAACGTGACTGCAGATATGCGCTGTGAAACTCCGTACAGGTGAGAGATGAGATAAAATTAAAGAGAAAAAGTTAATAATATTTAACAAAAGATAAATTAAAGCACTTAGTCACGTGAGTTTCAAAGTTTTGGCATGCGGACTGCGAGCAATCGATGCACTTTTGCATATTTTTCCCCTCAGGTCCCGCCGCAAGTTGATTTTTTTTTAACTCGAAAAGATTTTTTAAGCACGTTTATTCCGTTAATTTTCCTCTCCAATTGAATTGCGTGTGACCGTAAATAAAATTCTATTATCCGGCTTAAAGTGCAATGCGCGGACTAGTTAAAAGTTGGCACACCATTAACCATTCATTCAGTCACGTGCATAGGAACGCTTATCGTCAAAGTTGTACGTATATTCATGCGGCAGGACCTAATTTGGAAAATAATTACACTCGTTGATATGGGGCCGGTGCGCCTCATTAGACGCGCGCGGCCGGCACCCAAATGCGTACTAATGGTCGATGCCCCTCCCCGCCCGAAACACCCTCACTCGTCGACACCCCATACACACACATACACCACCACTCCACCGCCCAAAATGCCGAAACGAGAGAAGGCTCCTCAGCACACTCTCTCTCACTCATTCACTCACTAACAAGGGCCGCTCTTTCGCAGGGGAGATCTGCCAGCACTGACGCCCAGTATAAGTAATGTCAGACTGCCTAGTAGTGCAGTGTAAGTCGCACCCCCTTAACGCACACCACCACCAAAACTCTCATTATATGCCACTCTTTTTGGTCTTATACGTGGAAGCACGTTTTTTTAGAGAACGTAAAAAACAGAGAGATGAGAAAAAATAAAATGCTTGAGAGCGGTTGCGGATTTGCGCATGGGGTTGTTTGTGCCGCGGGCGGCACCGAGTTTCAAAAATTACACCGGCGTAATTACATCTTTTTTTTTAAAGGACATAAAAATAAAAAAAAATAATAAAAAAACCTGTATGAAAGAGGGGAGTTTCTTCTATGAAACCGTGATTAAAATGTTTGAAAAAGTTCCGAAAAATCCGCCACCGCTCTGGAGAATGAGTCGAGGGCAAATTCTGTAAAAGTTGTGCCTTGCGTTGGATTAAAATATCATGTTTTTGTTTCTCCTCTGCCCAGCAAGAACTTTTTGTGTTGCTCATGATAATGTAACTTTTGCAGTTGCTACTCTCGCTGATTTGCAGTTGGCCGTCACAAAATATATTTGTTGTTATTATTATACTCTCGTAATTTTGGAATCTAGTTGTGTTTTTATTTCAATATTTGTTCGTCAACTCCAAGGTGAAATCGTATACATTCGCACAGTGAATAAAACACTACTTTTGACACAATTTACCGAATCGAAATGTGGTTCTTTGCACAGTTTCATGGGTGTGTTTGATCATTCTCTCTAGGTGTTATCTTTCGCTCCTCATGCAAATGTACATATTTAATTACTCTCTCTCTACGTCCAAGGCAATTTCCATCAAACACTCTTTCAATTAAAAGCGGGCGCCTGCAAAAACAAAGTCGCTAATTGGCTCCGTGCATAGAGCTCTGCTCGTGGAAAATTGATTTCTTGCGGCGACCCACTTTGAAGTTGCGCGTAGTTGCGTGAAACATCAGCCAGCGCCGGTTCTCGCCCGTCGCTGCTGGAGACTTGCCTTTTTTATTTTAAGCGATATAATAAAAAAAAATAGAAAGCACACTCACTAATTATTTGAGAGGCTATTACACTCCTTTTGTAGGTTTTGTACATTTCGCTCTGAAAGCTGCTCAGAGAAGCACTCTAATTTCATCCTTTTCCATGATGTTTTTATTACATGTTTCTAATTAAAAAAGTAAATCGACAATAAAATATAACGAGAGAATTTAAACCTTTAAAACTAATAAAAAAGATTCATAATTTTCGTTCGTTACAAATAAATTTTTAATTTTCTGTAGAGTAGAAAAATAGTGAAACAATTTAGATAAATGTGCCCTGGTGAAAGAGCTGCATGCAGAAGCTTGTGAGCATGAACAAGGCGATATATTTTTTCATAAGATCTAGTTTTTTTCCCTAGGAAAAGCATGAGTAAATAATTTAAATTATAAAATGGTTAAAAATAAAGGTTGTGGATTTTTTCGAAAAACAAAATTCTGTATAATTTGTAATAATCAGGTAGTTCTGATTTTTCCCTTCATAAATTCCTAAGTCTTGAGAATATGATCAATAATATTATAGAAATAATTATAATATTAGTGAGAAATTTTCGTTTGAAAAAATAAGTCCATTTGTTTTCTATTTTAATTTATTTTTCATAGACCATAGTCCATAACTTTTTAATTTAATTTTTTTTTCTCAAAAAATTTTACTTCTCACAATCAATAGCATTTTCAATTGTTAAAAAAAAAACATGGGGGTTTCATCGTTTGTAGTATTAACGAATAATTTAGAAATTATGTACGAAAGAAGCAAAATCTTTGTAAAATTATTCACAAACTATTAAAACTACTCAATGTTAATTTCTTTTTCAAATAATTGTTTAATGTTTACCATGAATTAAGAATAAATTAGTTCATAAAAGGAAACAGAATCAAGTGAGGATTTTAAACCAAATTTGATAATTTGAAGGAAAATGAATAAGGACTATCAGAAGATCAGAATTTTGTTGATTTCTCCAAGGATTCCACAATTTTTAAGTAAAATTAGACTTAAACCAAATAAGCAATAAAAATGATAAAATTGGAAATTCGTAGATAAGTAGCTATACAATAATAGATTAATTAAATTAAAGTAAATAAAAAGTAAAATGATAAAAAACATAGACTTTTTCTTGATCTAGGTGGCTTCCCTATGTAAACGCAAACAAAACCAATCAATTATTTTTCCACCACAAAAACGATCGCGTGCCGCACAACATTTGATACGAGTGATTGTTTGCAGGGAGTTGCGGACAAACTCGAAGGAGGCGGCGGACGACAACGTGTGTCCATGGGATGTCAAGTCGGCGACGCCGTCCGAGACGCTTGCGCGGGACGACGTGTGTCCGTGGGACGAGGCCCCGACCACCAGCGGCCACCAACACGCGCCCCTGCCGCGCACCAGCAGCGAAGAGACGGCGGCGGCGCCGCCCCCGGAGGTGGCCAAACTTTCGTCGTCGGCGCCGACGACGGTGTCGCCGGTGCCCATCCCGGTGAAACTGGTGCCGGTGGTGATGACGTCGCAGCCGACGCCGTCGCTGGTGCCCGAAATCCGCGTCCACTCGGTCAGCAGCATCGACGAAGAGACGCCGGAGGCGGTGCGGGAGGCGGCCAAACCGGTCATTGTGGCCGTCGAGCTGAAGAAGGGCGTCACGCACGAACCGCTGCCCACCGAGAAAGAGAGAGAAGAAAAGACGGGCAAGGCGGCGGAGGTGCCACCCCACAAGACATCAAAGACTGCGGACCAGAGAGCTTCAACGAGTGCGGCGGCCGAGGCGGCCAAGAAGGCCGCCGCGGCCGGCGAGAGGAGCAACGAAGTTTGCCCTTGGGAGGACGAGTGAGTACAAGAAAAGTAAGAATAAGTATTGTGGATGATATAAGCTGTCTGTTTCCAAGTTCAATCCCCTTCCTCTTCTCTTTCCCGCGACCCAAGACCGTGCATTTCTCGCAAAAACCGGTACGCCGCCAATCTAAAGAAACAAATTTTTGTAAAAATTAAATTGTTGGAGGATTTGACTTTAATAGGAAACAATGATTATTTTTTCCTAAAACACTTTGGTTTGTAAGAGCAGTGGATAACGCTAAAACTTTTGCAAACGATTGGAAAATCAAATGGATAAAATAGAAAATAATTAAAACGGCTTTAAACTGATTTAGAATTTCACCTGAATATTTTTTTTAGATAAGAAACGTTAAAAAAGAAAATATTTAGCTAAAACTTTTTAACTGTTATTTCATTCAATTTTTTTTATATTTTGAATTATTTACAGGCACAATTAAATGTGATTGTTGTTATATTTAATAACTAAATATAGGAAATCAATTAAATCTCATGATTCAATGTAATTTTCAAATAAGATTTAACTTTTTTTGATTAATAATAAGACTTTAATCCTCCTATAATTTAGGGGTGGATTAAAGAAGAAATTAAATATTTTTTTTACCATTATTTTTTGTTTGGGTTTTATCCCTCCACCAATGTTAGACAAAAATAAGTTATTCTGAAGATTGGTGGTGTTTCCAGTCAGTGTTCCTAACTCTTCGTCTGTGCAGTCCAAATAAAAAAAAATATTAATCCTCTTTGCCTCATAAATCCTGAAATGGCCGTTGTGTAACTGATTTTTATTTTATTCTTCATTTCCTGCTTTCTAAACGTTTGGTTTTTTGAGTTTAAAGAGTGCTCAAGAGCGCCCGCGTATATTTTAGTGCGCTCTAGATTTTTATTTTTATAGTCGCAGATCTTCCAAGCAAAGGGTGAGGATCCTTTTTTTGCAGAGCAGCAATCTTGTTTTATTTTACTGCCGATCCCTCTGAATACATTCAATTTTCTCTGGTCATCTCAATGAACTACGCATTTAGCAATGTTACGAAAGCCTTTTTGCGTCAAATTATTATTGCGGCCAGAGGCTTTTCAGGAGATTTGGCACGTCTTGAAATAGCCCATTTATATAGAGAGATCCAAGAATTTAAAGGGTTGATATGGGGTGAACCAGCCACATGAATTTTTTTATTACAAATGCAATATAGGAAATAAAGAAATCAAATTGTGCTTTGTTTAATTTTAAAAGGCGAAAATAAATAAATCTATGGTACAATTTTCAAAAATTAATAAGTAATAAAGCTACAGGGAACCAGGGAGGCTAATTTGATTTTAATTATTTGAAATTGAAAGGGCTTTTTAATAACATGATTAACAATTAATTTTTTTTATCCTTTTTATACTATCAATTGTATACTATCAATTGTATCGCATTTTTGTTTCAAGTTTATCCTGATTTTGTTCTCGTTTTGATCCGCTTCTTAATTTCCAAACAGCTTGAGTTGTAAGTGTATATCATCCCAAGCAATTAAACATGCATGTCGATTAAATAGTCCGAGACACACAAACACACGTTAAATAAATAAAAAATGCGAGTATAAAAATAATTTACAATAAACAACAGTTTGGCACCCACGTGCTTTGAGCGAAGACCCGTTTGACTCCAAGTGCTTTTTACGTTTCAGAGAGGCGTGCAAAGTTGACACCAATTACGTCAAGACATATTCAACTCTCGGCTACCTATAGCCATTTGCAGGCCACCGACCTGTCACTTCATGCACTCGGTGGCTCATCTGAATACAAACCTGCGGGCGGACACAACTCGACTGCTTCAGCTTTTACCCAAAGATAATTTTGAAAAAGAAAAAGTATAATTGAAAATTATATGAAACTGATCGTGAATGGAAATAAATTATTGTAAACGTTTGTCGAACAAGAACAAGTTGGAAATTTTCCGAAACGCATTTTGAAACCGAGTAAAATTTTACGAAAAATTAAGCGGCACTTTGGCCGGACAAGAAGACCACAGCTGGCGGTCGAAGACGTGGGCTTGGTGTCGGCGCTTTTTGCTTCCTGTTGCGGGCAGACGCTGCTTTCTCTGAGCCCTTTGCAGTGCACTCGACAACAGGCGAGTAACTTGAATCCACTCGCACCTCAAAGCCCTCGTCTCTCGTCCGACAAACAAGCTCTTAAAAAAACTATTATAAAAAAATCTACTCCAAAGCAAATGTTTCGATGGCCCCTATCAATATTCGTCGTGTACTCTATATAATATTAAAAAATATTGAAATATTCATGTGTCGAAAAATAATGTAATTCAACTCGCACACAATTTTATCGAATTATGACGAGCACTCATATATTATGATAATCGATTCTCTCCTCTTGTGAGAATATATAATAATATACTATCAATGTATATCATGCATAATATTCATTTTCCGATTTGCAAAAGAATTCCTCGTCCTGACGGGCGGCGACGATTGTGTGCGCGAAAACGACGTCTCCGCCCTGCCGGAGTGGAATTGGATCTTCTCTCTATCTCGTATTTGTCGGTGTTCGGTGTTGGATGTGCACATTATGGTATTATATATTATATGCATGCATTATATAATCTGCCCCGCAGGCAGATGTAGTTTAAGCGTATTTAAAGGGCCGCCGAAACACTTGTCAGAGGGTAAATATTCAAAGGGAGATTTCTTCACGAGCGCCAAGTTTGTTGGGCAGGTCGTCAGCGTGGCCAATTTAGGGCAGAAATAAATATGTAAGAGTAAAAATGTTTTTGAAATGAAAAAAAAAATATGGTTTCAAAATGCAGCGCTGAGAATTTGTATTTGATGGAAAAAAGTGAAAAGAAAAAAATGTGAAAATCCAATCAAAGCCAATGAAAATTTCAGGTTTTTCGGCTTTGATTTGATTTGAATTTTTTTTAAAGCAGAAAGTGGTTTCGATGGGAAAGATTTATATGAATTTCGGAGATCAGGGCTAATCAAATGAGAAGTTTTGTGAAGAAGTTATTGGCGTTGTGGGAAGCTGAATGCGGCCGAGGTGGTGCACGCTTTGAGCGGAGAAGGAACGATTTGTGCATCGCAGGAAATGACATTGGTGGTGCAGAAATCCGTTTTCCAATCCACTTTCCGTTTTTTAACCGAAGAGAAAAAGTGAAAAGTTTAACGGAACTTACGACACAATACTGCAGTGTAGAAGAAACACACGCGCGTTGAACGAACTGATAATAAATAATTTCCGTAATTCATCTTTTAGAAATCCAGCGAAACTATAGCACAACATGTATATTTAGGACTACAGACAACAATTTGCTGAGAACGGAAAAGAACCATTTCGTGTCACATTTGGGGATAATTTATACGTAAGGGTAAAGACACGAAAGAGCTTGGGAAAAAATAAATTCAACTCTCCACGTTGGATAAAATACAGGGCTGAACAAAAGCATTCTTTTTGCCGATCATTACCAAATGCATTTTGCCAAAAATCGAAAGAAATATAAGGAAAAAACGTACTTGTTCTCTAGCCTATAGATTTTTGTGGCAACACACACGCAGATTTGATGTTACAATTCCTCAAATGGACTAAAAGAGAAAAATTCACGTGTAGTTCTAGCAACGCTAAAAGACAAGCGAATTTAAAGAATTTACCTAAAACGCGAGAACCGGTATATAAACTTAATTATTTTCCAGTACGAATTGAATATCTCAATTGGGAAACCGTTTCAAAATTGTGCACGAAATTTCGATTTTGTGAAAGGAATTGAGTGATAATTATGATATAATATCATTCTGGGCTAATTGAGAATACCAATAAAAGTGTAGAGTTTAACAATAAAAGACAATATAATTCTCGAAAGAAAAAAGAAATACCTAAAAATATAATATGACGAGGTAGGATTAAAAAGAATATCGCTGAAGCCCTAATTGATAAATATATTAAATGATTACATGCGAAATGCGGTTTTGCAGCAAAACATTTTCCAAACACACTTTCCCACTGGCCTATTAATTAAGCGTTGTTGAAATTTCATGAAAAAAGAGACTCTAAGTAAGACTATAGTTGACGAAAAAGAAGGAATATTCTCTCACAAATATCTTGAAAAAATATCAAACGGAAATCTCTCTATTCTCTTTCACCTTTTTCTCGAACCACTTCATATACACACAAACACGATCGAATCTTTCATTATTTATATGAATAGCGCATGCATGCGAACAGCGCATCAGACATGACGACTATTGTGTTGCATTAATGAAGATATAGCCACTACGAAATAATTAAACTACATTATTATTATAAAAATCGCAGACGTACGATGTGTAACACTGAGTGTTATAGCAAAAGTGAATAAAAAAAAGAAGCATTTACTGTGAAAACAAACTGTCTGGTTATTAAAAAATTTGATGAAAAATAAAAGTAGTTGACATGGGAAATTTGATATTAAATTATACCACTATCATTAAGATACAATGTTCAACAGTTACTGCACGAATATTGCACACATGTACTAATTATTAGTCAAATATCATCAATTCAGACAAGTTTTAATAACAATTGGTCCCATGCGATTGAGAATATTACACCACAACAAATACATTATCAAGAAAATGAAGGATGGATTGTAAAAAAATTACTTTTTGTGGCCTCGAAGTGAGTTTTTTTTTCTTTAATTTGTATTCACTGAAAGTAATAATCATTATGTAATTGTGTTGAAAATTATTTGTTGGGCATACAAGTGGCAAAATGCGAAAATGTGTTTGTTTGTCGTGGATGTGTGAAAAGCGAGATTTTGTAAAAAAGAAGGAAAGTGTAATTCCAAATATAATCGAACTTGGTAGAGAATCTCTCAATTTTAAGACGGGTTGCGAGCCGAATTATTATACAAAATCATCCTGAGAGAGAAAGAAGTGTTCTCCGTGTCCATTTTTAGCTAAATGGGCTTAAATTGAGTATGTGAAGGTGGAGAACGAGTGAGAATAGATTGGGCCTGTAGACACACGGAGTTGATATAATGCGTGTTGTGGAGAAAAAAATTATGCAAATGCGCGTCAAATTATACTTATTCTGTGTATTTGTAGCTTTGTTTGTAGCAACATCACACATTATAAGATTGTTTAAATTGTAAGTAATAAAAAAATTATTCTTAACAAAAACGCCAGAGATTTTTTGTTTTAATTATTAAGATAGCCTATTGTAGGCTTTTATTACTAAATAAGTTCAATCAAAGTGATTCCATATAATTCAATTTTTTATTATTGTCTATAAATTATTAATCTAACATAAAAATATCAATTTCAAATAAAGTTAGGATATAAGAGATTTTTTTTATATAAACATAGTGAAGACTACCGATGGAGTGTGCAGGTTGTTAATGTGGTTAAACATTTAAGAGTAATTTTCCATAAGATTTGATGCTTATTTGATGAGGACTTTTGGGATATTTAAAAACTAGTGAATTTAGCTAGTTCCAAAATTTTCCACTTATTAAAACTAACTATTTAGGTTATTGATAAAATTTTATCTATTATAATCATTTATTAATTCTAAATAAAAATTTTATTTCTTCTTTTTTAACCATAAGTAGTGTTAGTAGTTTGAAACTTTAACGCGATGAAATTTTTTTGGAAAAAAACCAAATTATATTGGAATTAATGAATTAAATATGCAGTACGCTCCCAATAATCGTTAATGCTTAAAAATTTAAAATGTTTTTAACTTTTATTCAGATTTAAATCAGTTTTCTTTATAGGTCATTTTACGGTCTTTAATTTACAGTATAAAAATAACAGAAAAATATGGTCTACATTTTTTTCTGTTAATCAATTGGCAATATTTTTCCTCTGGACATCTCAGGCTGGGCGTAAAAAGTTTAAAAATAAATAATTAAATTGAAGGGCGCCTCGGTTTTATTCTGGACCGCAATTTGTCTTCCCTGACGGACAATTCTCTTCTGAAAATTTTTTTAAGTTTGGAAATTCTAGTACTATCATTTTTTCTGTAATGGCAAAAGACTTGGTTTCCATTCACAGATTTTAAATTCTCTGTCAAGAGTGTAAAAGAAAACTCATAATATAATGTGTCCATCTATTAGAAAGTAATTTATATTATGTTCATTAAATTTTGTCTTTTATGTTATTGTATTTCGTATTTAATATTTTATTTATTACAAATTTGTTTGAAAATTTTTTTCCACTGCTTGAAAATATCGTAAAATAAAGTTAGAAAATTATAATCAAACCAATTATGCGATGTCATAAATCGCCGATCGATCTCCGTTAACATTATTTGATTGAAAAATAAGATTGCAGATATCATAAAAAAAATTTCAAAGGCCATTGAAACTATTAATTTTTTTTGAATAATTTACATGGTTTTTAAAATATTTGAACTTTTGGTTGCAAATTAAATTCTTGAATTCAAGTGTTAACTTCGTGAAACCTTGATCAAAATATAGAATAAAAATTGCATGTTTCTTACCTTACATAAAATCCACAATCCAAACTTCCAAAGTTTTATTGCCCAAAATATGTAATGTAAAAGATGGACTTGCATTTTGATGGTCTTCTTCAGCAAATAAAATATGACCCACTCGCCATAGATCGCCCCCCCTGCGAAAGACACAGTAGGGAAAACATGCAAAAAGTTCACAAACGCACATCCATGCAAGGGGCCGAGGAATGCGCACAGTCGCACACACAGTCACACACACAGTATGTTATTTTCACCGGGAAAAAAACGACCAATTATTGCAATGCCACAACCGACTCTCCACTACCGGTTGAGAATCGCAACCGGTACTGAATCACGGAACGATAAATACCAATAAATTTCATAACCAATGCAAGCGGCGCAGTAGTGTGGCGGTAACGCACCAGCTTCCAGAGCAAGTGCTGGCGGGTTCAAATCTACGTCTCATATTACTTTTTAAATTTTTTTTTTAAGATTTAGAACTAAACCGAAAATTTATATTTATGAAAATTCCATATTTTAATTCAAATTATGTAAACATATTCCTTTTTTTTAAATTCACCAACAAGCATGCAGACGGAGTTGTAGGCATCCCACGATCCGGCGACTCGGAGTTGGGGAACCCCCAAGATTAATTTTTGCAGAAGCCGCGAGCGAGGGGTGGAGGCGCAGCGAGGTCGAGGATATGAGGAAGGCCATGCGCAGGGTGAGGACAAAAGGGCGGCTAAGTTCCCCCACGATCCCCACGTAGATCTTACGCCTGGGGGTGTAAATCTCACGCCTAAGGATGTAAACCTTACGCTGGAGGGGGAAGCCTTACGCTGGAGGTGGACGCCTTACACTGGAGGTGGAAGCCTTACGCTGGAGGTAGAAGCCTTACGCTGGAGGTGGAAGCGTTACGCCTGGGGTGGAAGCCTTACGCTTGAGGTGTATGGCCTTACGCCTTGGAGTGTTGTAGCACCGCGCGCATTACACGATTAATATGACGCAAGCTTGCATGAATTGAAATGCATTCAGCAAAACGAGGTGCGTTGAATGCAATAATATATATTGGCAGGAGAAATTGGCGACTCCGTTAGTTGCTACAACACTCCAAGGTTTTACGTTAAGGGCTTTCACCCCAGGCTCAAGGCCCCTAGGCGTAAGGCCATACACCTCAAGCGTAAGGCTTCCACCCCAGGCGTAACGCTTCCACCTCCAGCGTAAGGCTTCCACCTCCAGCGTAAGGCTTCCACCTCAAGCGTAAGGCTTCCACCTCAAGCGTAAGGCTTCCACCTCAAGCGTAAGGCTTCCACCTCAAGCGTAAGGCTTCCACCTCCAGCGTAAAGCTTCCACCTCCAGCGTAAGGCGTCCACCTCCAGTGTAAGGCGTCCACCTCCAGCGTAAGGCTTCCCCCTCCAGCGTAACGTTTACATCCTTAGGCGTGAGATTTACACCCCCAGGCGTAAGATCTACGTGGGGATCGTGGGGGAACTTAGCAGCCCTTTTGTCCTCACCCTGCGCTCGGCCTTCCTCACATCCTCGACCTCGCTGCGCCTCCACCCCTCGCTCGCGACTTCTGCAAAAATTAATCTTGGGGGTTCCCCAACTCCGAGTCACCGGATCGTGGGATGCCTACAACTCCGTCTGCATGCTTGTTGGTGAATTTAAAAAAAAGGAATATGTTTACATAATTTGAATTAAAATATGGAATTTTCATGAATATAAATTTTCGGATTAGTTCTAAATCTTAAAAAAAAAATTTAAAAAGTAATATGAGACGTAGATTTGAACCCGCCAGCACTTGCTCTGGAAGCTGGTGCGTTACCGCTACACTACTGCGCCGCTTGCATTGGTTATGAAATTTATTGGTATTTATCGTTCCGTGATTCAGTACCGGTTGCGATTCTCAACCGGTAGTTGAGAGTCGGTTGTGGCATTGCAATAATTGGTCGTTTTTTTCCCGGTGAAAATAACATACTGACGCCAGCATCACACCGGGTCCCGGTGTTTTTAACCCACTTCGTTTATTAAAATAATTTTGAATCACAAATTCTATAATTAATTTTAATTTTAGGCCAGATAATCACGAGGGGAGCGGCCATCAATATAATTTGTCACATGATCACAAAGGGTAATAGGAAAGATTTCTTTCGTGTCATGCACTTCTTGATGTTTAAAAATAAATTGCATAAAATGATGTATATTTATAATTTGACAATTTGGATTTGGTTGGCGTTGTCATCACTGGTTAAAAAGGTGGCCAAGTTCTGGGGAGTGAATGGGTGCTTGTGAGTGGCTAGGAAAAGTGGGTAGCTTCAGGGTCGTGCTCTTGACTTCCTTGGTAATAACACTGATAGATTCCACCTAATAATTAATGGAAAATTAAAAACAATAAATTTAATATAATAAAGCTATGAATATACCTTGTTTTCAGAGGAATGAATCAAATGTGACAAAGTTAAAGAATGTACAGAGTTTGTCAGTGAGAGTGAGACCGTGGGTAGTTTCTGGAATAAAAAAAAATTAAATTACAATAGTAGAATTAAAAAAGAATCACAACACTCTTACTCTCTGGGGTGTGATATTTTCAAACTTCTTAGGAGTCATTCCCATCAGCTGCTTTTGCAAGGCTTGCACTTCACGTCGTTCCACATCCAGTTGTTGGTTTTTGATTAGCAGATCTTCTTCACACTTGGCTAAATGTTGATTTCTCCTTTCCTCCAGCTTCTTAAAGTCTTCAATCGACAAAACTCCAGCTGTTTCTTCAAAAGGGTGTTTTCCTTTTCCAGCTCTCTGCACTTGGTCGGCATCAATTGGAATTCTTTCTGAATGAAATTCCAAAGCTCCTCTTCATTGTGGCTTGCAAGGCTTTCTCTGAAAAGTGACAGTCTTGATATTTGAAAACTGTCAAGGAACCTTTTTTAAATACCTGGTTGAAGGGTGATATTCGTTTACAATTAAATTGGTCAGTTGTTTATGTTTGTCACAGTCGTGCTGCAGTTTGCTTAATTTCTCTGTAAGTGGAAGCCCATTATCTATGCTCTGCATCAGTGTCTCATCGTTGATGACCTTTTGTTGTGACAGTTCGTCTATTTGCTCGAGCAGGTTCTTAATTTCTGTTATTTAATCAAAGTGAAAAAGTTTTTTTTTTATCACTTGCAATTATAAGTTTTGTTACGTCTGGAGGTGGCCTGTTTTTGAGGTGTTACAAGGGCGGCCACTTGCCGGCCCTGGCGGCCTCTGGCCGCTTGTAGAGTGCGGAGAACGGAATAACACGTCCGGTCGGTTCGGGTTCCAAGATAATTCTAAGCTTTATGTGTTACCAACGGTACAATCTATACAGTAGTCACCAACATAACATCTCCCGCCTAAGATAAAAACTCAATTATTTTATTTTAAGACAATTAAGAAGATGCCATGCTATCAATCAATCAATCAATATTTCAATTTTGTGGAAATTAATGCACAAGATTTGGGTTTCAAAAGTGCAAATTGGGAACCACTTTAAATTCACTCTTGAATTGGAACTAAAAAATTTTACACTTTTGAAATTTACTTGAAATTTTGAATTTACTTTCAACTTTTGAAATTTCAAATTTGCTCTAAACTTTCTCAACTCTGAACTCTTAAAATCCTTCTCAATCTCAAATATTCACTGAACTTATTTTCACCGAAAAATGTTCACGCAATCTGGATACGGCCTGAAATTCCAGTTGCTGATTTTCTTCTTTTCTCTCCTCCTCGTCTCAGGAATTTTCACCTCAGGCTCTTGTTCGCCTGGCACTTCTCAAACGACCCCCGAGGAGATCCCCTCAACTCAGGTCGAAGGCTCGAGGATGCGGTTGCACCCTCCGAGTCACTCACACGTTGGCCAGAGAAGGCGGCTGCCTCCTCCTGGCGTCTCTCTCGTCGAACGACAGCGCCACACGTCCTCTGTCTGGTGGCCGCTGGTTTTCCCTGGACTCAATCTCGCCCTTCTCTTTCCTCTTTCTTGCTTTCTTTGCGCTCAGCAGACTCTGCACTTGAAGACAAGACTTGGCTCGTGGTCTCTCTCTGCTCGAACTCACGATGACGAGCCCAAGTCCTCCTCCTTCCTCTTTTCCTTCTGGCCCTTTTCTTGAAGGTGACTAACACGTTGAGCTTCCCACCCTGGGAGAGCTCTTCACTGGGTCGCACTGGACCCTTTTCGGCGACGCCCTTCTCTGACGCCCCGACACACACCGTCCTCTTCCCTTGTCCGAGGAACGGCGTCACGCTTCGTACTCTGCGGCAGGTGACTCTGCTCACCCTTCTCTTGCCGCTGCGAATTCTCTCGCAAACACTCTGGGCCGCGGGTCTCTTGATCGTAACTCTGGCCGAACCGACTTTCACACTTGGCCGGCTGGCCGCCTCGACTTGAAAATGTCTGCTGACGCTCACCTCGTTTTTGGCTGATGTTACGCCCGGCTTTTCGCAGCCTCACGCGGAGAATTTCTTCTTTCCCGACTTTCCTCCCGCCGGAAACTCTTCGTTGGCTCCTTCGAGGTCTCTTTTGGTGCCGGACAGGTCCGCCTCCGGACACCAACCCAAGCCAATTTTGGGAATCACCACACGCTGCACGTGGTCGCCGTTCTCGCACTTTTCTCGCTCCACTCACCTCTTCCTCCTTCACCGAAATTAGTTTTTCCTCGTCGCCATTTGTTACGTCTGGAGGTGGCCTGTTTTTGAGGTGATACAAGGGCGGCCACTTGCCGGCCCTGGCGGCCTCTGGCCGCTTGTAGAGTGCGGAGAACGGAATAACACGTCCGGTCGGTTCGGGTTCCAAGATAATTCTAAGCTTTATTACAGTGTTACCAACGGTACAATCTATACAGTAGTCACCAACATAACAAGTTTCACCGGTAAGATAATTCTTTTCAGCCAAATGGTTGGATTCAAGTGTAGCACGACGATCACTCTCTGCTTTTTCCAATTGAGCAATCACATCTTTCAGGCTTAAAATATCTTAAATGCAAAATGAAGATTTAAAGTTCCATGAAATTATGTGCATACATACCTGCAGATGTTTCTTGTATTTTGCTTAGCAGTCTCTTTCAATCTCATCATTCTTTATAGCCAAGTTTGACGATAGAGATTCAAAATCTTCTTTTGGCACAACTGAAATTAATTAAATTTAATTTCTGAAATCATTAATGATTTTTTAGCAAAATTACCTTGATTAGCAAAGTTTTCCAGGTTTTCTGAAAGAAATTAAACCATTTGTGAAAACAATTAAAGGGCTAAAATATTATTTCATCCTACCTTGGCGTCTGCAAGCAGTCCATTGTAGTGATCCTCTTGCAAATCCATCCTTATCTCCATCAGATCAATTAACTGGGTTTCTTTACTATCCACAGCTTTTTGGTGTGACGCTTTCATTTCCTGCATTATTTTGTCAGATCCAGTAAGAGTGTTGGGACTCTTTTTTATTTCTCCAATTGTAATTTAAATTTTTTTTTATTCCAGAAATTATCCACGGTCTCACTCTCACTGACGAACTCTGTTCATTCTTTAACTTTGTCACATTTGATTCATTCCTCTGAAAACAAGGTATATCTATAGCTTTATTATATTTAATTTATTGATTTTAATTTTCCATTAATTTTTAGCAATGGAGGCCCCGATGCAATAATTAAATGTGTTATTAGCCAATCAGAAGTGGTACCAGTTTTACATTACCGCTTCCGATTGGCCCTCAAACAATGAAAATTGATTTCATTGTTGCATTGGGCCCCCATTGATTTTTAGGTGGAATCTATCAGTGTTATTACCAAGGAAGTCAAGAGCACGACCCTGAAGCTACCCACTTTTCCTAGCCACTCACAAGCACCCATTCACTCCCCAGAACTTGGCCACCTTTTTAACCAGTGATGCCAATGCCAACCAAATGCAAATTGTCAAATTATAAATATACATCAATTAATGCAATTTATTTTTAAACATCAAGAAGTGCATGACACGAAAGAAATCTTTCTTATTACCCTTTGTGATCATGTGACAAATTATAGTGATGGCCGCTACCCTCGTGATTATCTGGCCTAAAATTAAAATTAATTATAGAATTTGTGATTCAAAATAATTTAAATAAACTGATAATATGGTGAAACTTTACTAGGTGCCTTTCCTTTTAACCCAAGCATCCTATTGAGATCAAATTAAGCGATTGCCGCACCCCTGGAGCCATCCCTTAATTAAAAAAAAAATAATATTTTCCATAAAAATACAAGTTTGATCCGCTCGCAACGCATCGCGCACGCCGCCACGCATTCGGGAGGCTAAGCGGACTTTAATCCCACGGTCCCTCACGCTCACTCTCCAACTCCTCTCTCCAGGACACACTTGTTAGAATGGTCCGGAGACTCTGGCTGAACTCTAGGCACGTTGGGCCGGCTCTATCCCTCGGAGGGACGGAGTTCTCCGACCGCTGGATTCGCAAAAGCTGCATCAGAATTTCCAATGTCTCGCTGCGCTTTATTTGCTTCCTCAACTGCCAACAGCTCACTCCTTTTGGGGCGCCGATCTCTTCCGCTGCTTTATCTGCCGCCGGAGAAGATCTGGAGGCTCTCTGGATATCAATCATTTTAGCTGCAACTTGGCTGTCGCATTACTTTGCCACTTCGAGAGCTGCATACAAATAAATTGAATAATGTAGGTATAGGCACATGTTGGTTGTCCGCAGCAAATGAAAGTGAAAGTCAATGTACCGCGCGTATTACACGATTAATATGACGCAAGCTTGCATGAATTGAAATGCATTCAGCAAAACGAGGTGCGTTGAATGCAATAATATACATTGGCAGGAGAAATTGGCGACTCCGTTAGGTGCTACAACACTCCAAGGTTTTACGTTAAGGGCTTTCACCCCAGGCTCAAGATTTTACGCCCCTAGGCTTCCACCTACAGCGTAAGGCGTCCACCTCCAGTGTAAGGCGTCCACCTCCAGCGTAAGGCTTCCCCCTCCAGCGTAACGTTTACATCCTTAGGCGTGAGATTTACACCCCCAGGCGTAAGATCTACGTGGGGATCGTGGGGGAACTTAGCAGCCCTTTTGTCCTCACCCTGCGCACGGCCTTCCTCACATCCTCGACCTCGCTGCGCCTCCACCCCTCGCTCGCGACTTCTGCAAAAATTAATCTTGGGGGTTCCCCAACTCCGAGTCACCGGATCGTGGGATGCCTACAACTCCGTCTGCATGCTTGTTGGTGAATTTAAAAAAAAGGAATATGTTTACATAATTTGAATTAAAATATGGAATTTTCATGAATATAAATTTTCGGTTTAGTTCTAAATCTTAAAAAAAAAATTTAAAAAGTAATATGAGACGTAGATTTGAACCCGCCAGCACTTGCTCTGGAAGCTGGTGCGTTACCGCCACACTACTGCGCCGCTTGCATTGGTTATGAAATTTATTGGTATTTATCGTTCCGTGATTCAGTACCGGTTGCGATTCTCAACCGGTAGTGGAGAGTCGGTTGTGGCATTGCAATAATTGGTCGTTTTTTTCCCGGTGAAAATAACATACTGACGCCAGCATCACACCGGGTCCCGGTGTTTTTAACCCACTTCGTTTATTAAAATAATTTTGAATCACAAATTCTATAATTAATTTTAATTTTAGGCCAGATAATCACGAGGGGAGCGGCCATCAATATAATTTGTCACATGATCACAAAGGGGAACTGTAGCGGGAAATAAAAATTAAAACACCGGATGTGAATAGCAAGTGAATAGTTTTGCCGAGGTCTGTCTCGATTATAATTGTCCACAAAAAAAAAAAAAAAAAAAAAAAATACGTTCAATAAGTAAATTAGTATTGATTTAATTATTTATTCTGAAATACTTCTTTTAAAAGTTTGTGAATGAACTTAAATTGGCTCTTTTGTGATGGGGTCTATTTTAATCATTTACTATTTTTTCATTTAGAAAAAAATCACCGCAGGCGTAAGGCTTTACAACCCATGCGTAAGGCTTTACACCCCAGGCGTAACGCTTCCACCTCCAGCGGAAGGCTTCCACCTCCAGCGGAAGGCTTCCACCTCCAGCGTAAGGCTTCCACCTCCAGCGTAAGGCTTCCACCTCCAGCGTAAGGTTTCCACCTCCAGCGTATGTAAGGCTTCCACCTCCAGCGTAAGGCTTCCACCTCCAGCGTAAGGCTTCCACCTCCAGCGTAAGGCTTCCACCTCCAGCGTAAGGCTTCCACCTCCAGCGTAAGGCTTCCACCTCCAGCGTAAGGCTTTACACCCCAGGCTTAAACCTTACAAACCAGGCGTAAGGACTTAACCGCCTCGGGCGTGAGATACACTCCAGACGTTCGCTTGTTGAAAAAAGCGATAAATTTTACACTGATTTACATCATTTGGGTTTTTTTTCTTCTTGACAAACTTTGTAACATCCATAAATAACTGACAAATCTTAAGATCGATCTGCACAGAATACCTTCTAGTAAGCAAATTAATAATACTTCATTATCCACCTAATTAATTAATTTGTGTACCATCATAATGTGCGCAAGATAATGTCCTCATGGACAACTTTTTGAGGTTATATAATCCATAGGGGCGTTACTCGATATCTGGAGTTTAAGTCGGTGGAAGGTAGCCATGTCTACGACAAATCCGGCAGAATCTTAAAAGTCTCTGTGTCCTCTTTTTTTAAGTCTTTTTAATCTCTGTATGATTGTTTAAAATGTTAATTGAAAATATGCACTTTGTTCTTTATTGAATTGAAAACTCTTATTGTACATGCATTAATTATCAAAATCAAACACCACATATATAAACTATGTTGAATTTCAGTGGCAGTCAATGGATTGAAGGAAACCAAAGCCGAGAAACCAAAATTTGCCCCTGGACCTGAGGGAATGTTTTGAAGACATCCTTCATCCAGGCGGGCAAACCTGCCATCATCGCAAGCGGCCCTGGAAAGATTTTCACCCTGGCCAAGATCAGTCAGTGCATGACCTTCTCAGGTAGGATTTCTAAACAAATTCTATTTTTTACTAAGGTGACCAAGTTTTGCCGCTGACACCCCATACAATTTTTGGACTTGGTATCAAATTGCACTCTTAAAATTCTCAGTGTAGGACCCCCTGTTTTCTTGTAGGCTGCAGTTTTACAATTAATTTTGATTGCAAACTGTTGTTGCAAACGTTTGCCGTCAGGAATAAGCTGCAATCAAATGCACATAGTTTTTTTTTTTTTTTTTTTAATTGAAACTAAATGCCACTTTATAAATAATATTATTGATACACAGTTTGAGTGAGGGTGCAAAAATCACTGGCCGCAGAAAGTGATTAAAATGGATCTGTCTGGTGTTTTTAGATGGATCCTATAAACTCAACCAGACAAAACTATAGCAATTTTATAGGCCTTTTTAATAGCATATTTCTTTAAGAAAAAAAATAAGCACGAAGAAATGAAAGAAATATATTTTTCTGTTAAATTAAATACTTCAGGCCACCCATGTGACTGATATTCAAATGAAGCCTTTCCCAGCCTTTCCATTAATTGATTAATTAAAACGGAGTAACAGGACAATGAAAAATGGTCCTTCTCCGTTCAAATCTTACGCAACGTTTGCACCGGGCTCTCTGAGAATCGCGTTTTTTTGTTTGTTATTTTTTAATTGGCATATTTTCTCTTCTGGAAATTTTTCTCTGAATAAATATGCGATAATCCTTATCATTGAACTTGCAGTATTTTCCACTAACACGGAAAAGCGCGGAGTGCTGCAGGCCGCAGTTAGATGGCTCTAGCGTGAGCGACCCAGCAACTGGAATTGCTCTCCCTCGCGCCGTCGGGGAAAACTACGAGGACGGAGCGTGGAGAGGCGGCAAAAGAAGAGACCGGCGGCCCCGAGATGAGCCTGACATTCGCACAGTCCGTTCTCGCCGGGCCGCACTCGCCGTGTAGCTCCTCGATCTCGCACGTTGTTCTCGACTCGCGCGCGCACCGGCTCCGGATTACCTCGAAGTTCCGACCAACAGGTAGGAAATGAAGTAGATTTTTAATTATCCTCGTTAATAGAAATATAAGATATTTGTTTGAATTAATTTAATTGCAAGTGCTGTATTATATTAATGGAAATCTTATTCCTCCAGATTGAAATTTAAATTTGTAATCTATTCTCTTCAATTGAAATGATTGGGTTTGCATTTGAACCTCACCAGACATGCAGACTGAAATAAGTCTCAAATTATATTTAAAATCGTGGATTTGAAAGTCAAACGATGGACTTTTATCTCGAGTGCGCGTGATCTGAAATCGTTCGACCAATTGAGCTACTTAAGAAGACCGATTGAAAATTAATACAATGTGACCTCTTCCTTGATAGGTCAAATCAGACGGTACTCGACCTTGTCAACAGAAAAACTATTCTAGCAAAATGAAGAAATATAAAGAATAGTGTAACAATAGAAATATAAATCTAGAAAAGTCTATACAGACTACAATATTATAACAAAATCGTCAAAAACGTTTTTACGCAAATCAAATGAAAGTCTATTTAGTATCAGTTAAATTGACGGATGTAGGTCATTATTTGGTCTATATCGGAGTCATTTGATTTTAATATCGGAAGTTTTTTGTTATCAGTTTTGTAGCAGACTTTACAATCAAGGGCTCATTGTGTTTGATTTTCATTCAGCTTTGCTTCGATGGTATTCTTCGGTCGTTTTATGTTGATTGAAATAATTTTTAAGTTAACCATGATTTTTTTTATAATACAATACATTATACATTATTTAATATTTCCTATAATGTTGTTGATAAGTTGAAGACAAAAATAATGATTGTTTTCAGCTAATTTTAACTATTTATTTTTGAAGTAGCCTAAATCGTAATCCAATTAATTCTTTCACTTCTACTTCACTTATTGTCATAAATATACCACACCCTTTTATTCTCGGAACTCGCCGGACTCGTCATCTCATTATTAACAATTTGACCTCAAACAACATCATCAATTTTTGCGAACTGCCAAGAAACTAACACGGTGATGTGCGGTCATATCCTGAGATTATATATTTTTTCCATCAGTGAGTCACAAAGAGTGAAAGAAAAATAATCAATCTTTCTTATTCGGCCAAACCCAAAAAATAACTGGCCCATTCAATTTACGTGCGCAGTGCGTTGGCGCGCTTTCGTCGTCGGGGAACAAGACCATTAATTATCATTTCATATGATTAACGTGAGCTTCCCTCCTTGGACTGGAAAAATCCGAGGGGAAATTTAATTCATGCATGCGTGCCACGGACGATTTTTTCCTCTGCTTTTCGGTCAGCTTTCGGAATATAAGAAGATGGCGTGGGCGGAAAGTTAATTAAAATGCGGCAGATTAAGTGGAATTTTTTGACATTTCAGCAGGTGATGTACTATATAGTATTTAGGTGTACTCTTTGCACACACGCATCTTATTATATGCATCAAAGCAAGTCGCGTGACTCATTATTGTATCAACACGCAGTCGGCGGCGTTTCCTGAAAGCGAGCACAATTTTACGAGAGCCGGAATCGCGTGTTGCGGCCGCCGCCCGAGAGGCAGTGATTGAACGGTGATGAGCGACTTTCGGACAAAATTAATTACGCTCCGGGCATTGGTCTCTCGCCACAACCTTCACAAATTGGATTGTAGAGCGATAGAAATACACAGATTTAAATAATATATTTTAATACAATAATAAAAAATAATTAGTAACTTTAATTTTACAGCATTAAAAATTCATGATTTGTTTTTATTTTTAATTCATTTTTCTATTTTGTACAATATATTTATTTTATTCTTTAATTATTAAATTATTTTTCTAATTAACTATATCGTTTAACAACAAACAAATTTTTTAAACTACGAACTATCGCATATTTTAAATAATATTTGTTTACTTTTTTAATTATTAAATTGCTCAGATTAAGTCGTCGAAATTTGAATTGTTCAATAAATTGCACTGTTTTTTCCCAGCTACATTTAACGTGATCAATTTAAATTATACCACGATATTGTGGAAATGGTAGATGGCTTAATATAAGAAGCTGAGTATTTAGTCTGAGATATACAATAGCATTTAATTACAAAATGGTTCTGTTTGGGCTTTATCATAACAATAGGCTTCATATAAGTTTGTTTTTAGAATATTTCGAGTCAAAATTAAAGAGAGCTTGAAAAGTAAGCCGCTTTTTAAATGATTTTTGCGAACATAGTCAATTGTTTGATGGGGAATGTGGATCAGAAATGAAAACTTTTTAGTGCCGTACTTTAAATTTTTGGTGTTGGAATATATTAAATTTTTCACTAATATAAGGGAATTGTTTTTACTTTTTCATACATTTATGACAAATCATAACGTACTATTTTATGTGTAAATCTATAGAATATAGAAAAAGAAAGTCTAAATAGCAGACAATTTAGTCTTTTTTCCGCGTTAGTTTTAATTGAAAGAAATTGTCAGTTTCAATCAAATTTAAAAGAGTGCAGCTGGAATTCACTTGATTCGCGAAGAAAATGGTCTGCAACCGAGGCTAAGAAGAAGTTTTCGGGAAAATTAAATTGCGCAAGAGTATAAAAAAGTTGCGAAAAATGCGTCGACGTCAATTACCTTTGGCGGCGGGAGCACATGTTACAGACACGTCGGAAGTTATTACCCCGCAGTACTTTTGTGCGGCGCAAAATAATAATAAAATTACGTGCTCCGTGCTGGAAATGAGGTGAACGTGTATGTCTTGTATCGCGCACGGCCTTTTACTTATTATACCTCCACGTTGCAGACAGGAAATTTTTCTTTCTTGCCCGCTAACGAATCGTTTTCATGCCAAGCCGCAATTTGGACGAAGCATCCACTTGCCCATTCATTCATGCGGCTAATATTTATTTTCATCAGTGAGATGTCAACTCGCTTTTATAAATTGCAACGCGTGCTTCGCGGTTTCGGCTGCGCTCGTCGTAAACAAACTGTCGCGCCGCTTTCGTGCCGCGGAATGTCCGCCAAAAGTTGTCAACTCGCGTCGGAATGTGCAAATTTCACGAGGAATGCAAAGCGTCTCAGGTGAAAAATTTGCGAGCTAAAATTATTTTCTGGGAAACTATCAAAAAATTTCAAAAATAATTTAATTTGAAAAGCAAAAAAAAAAAAATGCAGATTATGCAAGTATTATGGTTAAATTTATAAGTAAAGAGAATAATTCATTCTACAAAAATTTTAATATGAGAGAGTTCATGATTTTATTATCCAATATAAATCTAACTTTTGGTGGTATTTCCATTTGCATTTGGTATTCAAAAGGACTAGAAATTTTGATGAGTCTGATCAGTTGTTTTACATTGCAATAAATTTTTAATTTTAATTGATTTGCATCTTAGTGTGCAAAACAATTTTACTTTTATCTTTCTAATTCCTCCCCCTCCTAATTTACTTCTTTTTACGTTATACTTATTTTGTTATATTTATGAAAAACCCATTTTTCTGTGATATATTTATTATTTATTTGATAAAGTTGTAGAAACGAATTCACTTAATTCTGAATTTCCACCCCGAATTTTTCTCCATTTAAGAACAAAAAGGTCAAAAAGGTCATTCCATGTTCACACTGCGCCCTTTAGCTCTTGTTGCAAATTAGTCGGAAAGCTGCCTCGCGGGCCTCCCGAGATAAGTTTCTCGTGGCGCCAGCTTGTTAAAATATTTCTCGATCCTTTAGCCGCTTGCGAGGCGCGCGATTATTAGCACAAAAGTGCTAAAAAGCTTGTCGAAACAAACTTTAACGAGCGCGCCACAAAACTCTCTGAGACTAGAGAAAAAGAGGAGATTGACGGATGCCCAGATAGACAGCGCTGCATGACGTCAACTCTTTGCTTATTTAGTCGCGAATTACGTATGTGTGGAAGTGCGATCTGCCGTTGACAAGTTGCTAAGTTCGCTCAGAACAAGTTGGTTTTACGCCGGCAGCCCACTTAAGATTGAAAATAAAGTTGATCTTAAAATGTAAATAAGAGAGATGGCAGCTGCTCAATGTTTTAAGGAAAGTTGATGATTGCGATTTTTGGCAACAAGTTTTCAAGATTTTGGCAAAAAGCTTAAAGCTTGCAAATAACTTTTAAGTTTTAAAGAAAATCAATACCAAGGCGATGAGAATTATTAGTAAATTGTAATTATATATTGTAAATTTATTTGGGGTCGAATTGTCAAATATATATTCAATTAATTTTGAGTTACAAATACTCAAGTCAGGTTCATATTTTGCTGATTTGCTCGTTTTTCGAAGGGTGAGGGGTCAAAATCACTACGCCTAAACCGGCTAGGAATTTCAGTTAGATTTTTTTTAGATGGTCGAAGAATACATCATACGTTTTTTTTGCGAAATATTGAGATCAAATTAATTAAAAAATATGGCCAAAGAGTTTGTTTTGCTTAAAATAAAAAAAATTTATTTTGTTCCCCAAAATTTGATTTTAGTATATCAGCGTTTTTATAGAGATGTCTGTATAGCCCGTAAACAAGTAGACTATAATTCTCATTGGGAGGAAAATTATAACAATTGTTTGATTAAAAAATGTACTAAATATCTCAGCATTTTCGGCCCAAGCCTTAAAGAAAAAAAATGTAAAATCATTCAAATTTTATAAACCCAATAAAAATGCCACAAATAATTAGGGGCGATAGATTTCTCCAAATGTCATGAACCAACCCCAGATCCCCCTTTAAGTTTGTATATTTTTTTTCCAATGAAGGTTTTTAACTGTTTAGAATCTCAACAAAATTGCAGATAGAGCCATCAAATAAAATGAAATATGTGCGAAAAGGGGGTGAGAAAGCGTAAAAATACACACGTCAATGAGCATTTACGGAAGCGAATGCTGCAGGTAGACGGAAAAAAGCAGCGATTTCTCACGCCGGCTAGAGCAGAGATGATCCCTATCCAGTCACACAATCGCATTATATTATTTTATACATTTAACTCGGCGAGATCGAGACTATACTGGCTGCAACATCTGCTGTTGC